TAACGCCTTGCGACTTTATTCTCCGGCTTCGGCGGAACATGGCGATGAAGATATTTCTTCGACCCCCTGACGCCACCCGCCTTACTAGCATCGAAGGTAATCTTCGGCTCCTCATAACTCTCCGGACAGCAACACGCGATATTGCGAATACACGACGTCTTGAGCACCTCGCGAATAGTAATGCGTTTATCAGGAACAGGGTGTAGCATTTTCAGCATGAGGCGTTTGATAGAGGGGGGTTCGATGAGAGAGAAGAGTTTCCCACATTTGGGGTGGCCGTCGGGCCCGTCGAAGATGACGCCGTCCGGGTGGGCGGCGAGCCAGGTGGTCCAGCCTTTGCTGAAACGGGCGTAGTATTCGAATTCGGTTTTTGCCGCTTGCCAGGGACAGCCGCCGAATGTCATGGTGAGGTAGACGATGGCGGTCGACCAGATGTCCAGGGGCCGCGGGTCGTAGCTGTGGTCTTTAGCGAGGACTTCGGGCGCGATGTAGGGGAGGCTGCCGCAGATTCCTGGGGCCGAGAGACGGATGTCGCCCATGTTTATTCCGCACTCGCCGCCAGAGGCGCGGAGGCCGGGGTGTTCGCCGCTAAAGACTTCTGCGACGCCGAAGTCGGATATCTTGAGGTGGCCTTCCTTGCTGAGGAGGAGGTTTTCTAGTTTGATGTCGCGGTGGGCGATGCCGTGACTGTGTAGGTAGTCGACACCGCGTAGTAATTGCTTGAAAAAACATAACCGGTCGTCCCGACTGTAGAAACCTTCAACACCGCCGGCAAACAACTTACGTTCGACCAGCGAGTATATCTCTCCATATGTACAAAATTCCATGACGTGGTTCCAGCGGCCGCGGTTCGTACATAGGCGTACTGTTTCGACAATATTAGGATGATGCAGACTCTTTGCAATGCTGTATTCCGACTTGATTTTGAGAACATAGTCTTCTTCCGTCTCCTCCTTGTCACGTTCCCGAAACTCTTTTACTGCCACCAAGTCTTCTTCTCTTGTGATGCCTCCTCTTCGTGCCATGATTCGCACTTCGGACGTTGCGCCCTTGCCGAGAATGCGACCTCTTTTTCCCGGCATCAGGCTCGAACTCTTGAATTCCTTGTCGAGCTCGCACCAGTCTATTATAAAGTCGTCTGGAAGATTAACGCTGAGTCGTCGTGCTTTCATGCCGACGCCTTGCACAGCGGGTTTGGAAAAGGTAGCCAACATGCCAGCAGTCGGCTTTTGTCCGTGCTCGTCGATACGCGGGACCTGCTCTGTGCTTGCCGAGCGTCTACGGGAGAAGCCAGACCTTTTGGACGTGTTGTCGCTTCCGTTTCCAGCCCAGGTGACGCCCGGGCGGGGTCTATTCATGCTTGTGTAGGACGCAGGTTTCTTCCCAAACATGGGCCGCTTATCCGTCGACATGGTGCTCATAGGTGAGCCAGACGGAGGAGAGTGGCCGTGAGATGATCTGTCTGAACGTCGGGTAAGAGAAAAGGAAAGCCTCTTACTCTGCCTAGGAATGTCGACTGCCGGAGTTGATACTTCAGCCGGGCCGTCTACACCAGTCTTGACGATATAGGTATCAGTCTCGGCAGTGGGCTTTGGGAATCTGCTGGTCGAAGCACTTGAATTCTCCGACTGGGCGCCATCCTTGCTGGAGTGGCCCCGGTGTAACTTTCCACGGAACAGCTTACCAACACGCTGGCCGAGACGGCGCCTTTCGGGCGGTGATTGGCGGTCAACGGGTTGCGATGTGGAGACGATTGGTTGGGGTTGTGAAGTTTGGGTCGCTTGTTGCGGCGGGGTCTTGTTCCGCGCGTCTCCCGGCGCAGGGCGAGGCGTCGCGAAAACGTCGTCTACCGATTCATCGTCACGGAACGGGTGCGGGTAGGGCGTGCCCTCACTTGTATGGCTGGTCGGGGTGAGGGGTTCGGCGGGCTCACTTGCGGTGCCGGTGCTTTCGTCCTCCTCTTCAATTGCAAAGCGGTGGTCACTTGGTCGTGAGTCTCGGTAGTGAAGACAGTCGGAGAGGATTCGCTCATCGAAGGAGATTGACAGCGGACGTGAGTCGTCGGCAACCATGGGCATGATGGGAGAGGAAGGGGTCCGGGGTGAATGTCGTGAGATGCTGGGGGTTGTCGCTACGCTCGTTGGAGGGGGTTCGGACAATGGTAGGAACCCTCGAGCTCACTGCACGAGTGCAGGTGTAGGGTGGGCAGCAAGAGCGGAGTATGGTAGAAATGCTGTATTTGCGACAGAGCCATTCACACAACGTGCCGAGGGACTGGGGGTGAGGTAGAGAGTCGTCCGAGGGCGGACCCGACGACTAGAATTGAGGCCTGGCCGTGCGGGCTGGCGATGAAGTTGGCAACTGACCGTGCGGTGATGCAGTTGCAGGCGCAGGCGAGGGGTGAAAGCAAAAGCACCAGGCCAGGGCAATGCGATCAGATCAGTGACGTTGGCCGGCTCGCTTGCACTTGGTCGTCTAGGATAGCGACGACTTCCGGGCTTGACCTCAAAAGGGGCAGCGAGGGCGCGGCGGGCGTCTGCGCAAAGATATATGTGGGCTCGAGGACACAATACAGGCACTGCTGCCCGCCGTCGAGGGCCTAAAGTGGCTTTAATTCAAAGCCATACAAACCCCGGCCTAGGTTCCCTGCGCCAACCCCCACTGTACCAGAGCCCACTACCCAGCTGCAAGTTTGATGCACCTCTTGCGACAAAAAGACCCTGGACCTGGCGCTCCACTCCACACTGCGAAATGTGTGGTTGATGATGTGCGTCGGCGATCACACTGTGCAAAGCTTGACGTCGGAGCCTCAAGACGGTGATGGTCAGGTGGCAGGACTAGCCACCCTCAGCTCAAATTCCATCGGACCGGCGCCTGTCATCCAGTACTCTTAGTCTAGCATATCCCGTCGCCCGCCAGAGGGCATGAAAAGACGTGCATAGCAAACACTCAACTCATTTGGCCGGAGCGCACGAAAATCCCGCAACGTGGTCTAAGCTGCTGCAGTCATCAGCTGTATAGAGTAAACCGACGAGACGACCACGGGCAATGCTGTACTGCCGCCAAAGGCGCGACCATCGTGGGGGTTCACCGGCCCCGGGTACGAGAGTACGAGACTTGGTTTGCTGTCCTTTGATCTGGCGGGCGGATGACCAGACTAAACCCACACCAGTGTCGTCACTAGCACAACAAACTCGCACCCCTTTCTTGTACAGCATGGACATTGTGGGTCTGCAGTTATCTGAACGACTTACTCACCCAGCCGTCGTCGTTGCTTACTCTAATTGCGGGGTTCGTATCAATTTACCCTTGCAGTCTGCAGTAAGACAGCCGGACGACGGCTCCCGATCGCGAGCAGGTACACCTTGATCGAAGTCCATCAATCAACGGCCCGTGGAACTCGTTTCAAACTTCCAAAGTAACCCCGTCCGACACATCATCCGTCCGCGTGTCCAGCTACTCTTTCTCTCTCTCTCTCTCTCTCTCACACACACACACACAAACTACCACGTCGACATCCTCCTGCAAGACGAAGCGGTGAGCAACATTGGGTGCTGAAACTTGTGGTCAAGCGACTGGCTTCCCAACCCGACACCCTTCCCCACTGTCACATACAGATGCACCTGCAGTAGCGAAGTGCTTCTTTTCTGACCGCACAGTGCAAGGCGCTGACGCCCCCCCCCCCCGAAACCAGCATCTTGCAGCAAATCTAACGCCAAGCATACCTACTCCACCGCCCGCGGCTTTGACTGCCTGCTTCCCCAGCCCGCGTCTACGGTTTTGTGGGGTACACGCGATAGTAAGTGATTATTGCGCGTTTTGTTATTGCCATGAAGCCGGATTTGAGCCGGATCTGATGTGCACGTCCATGTTTCCTTTTCGTTCGCGTAGGTTGTGTACTTGGGATAATTTTCCATTGGAAATTTTAGTCCTTGGATCCTCGTAGTGCAGCGTCGCAGTTTCCATCACGACATCCCCCCACGCCCAGTCACCACACACTTCTTGGCACTTCTCCATAGTACCCTGTCCCTCGCCCTCGTCCTCCCCCCGTCCATCTCCGATTAACCAAAATACCTCCCCAACCAAAGCCTGACACACACACACTTTCCGCAACAGGTCTTGCCAATTTGCACATGGGGATCCCGCAGTTCTTGGCAATAACCCCGAAGCGGAAGTACAGTAGTTATTTGACTTTTTTTTTTTACTTTTATTGGGGCGAAGGCTTGGCACACTTGGGTGGGTGGAACTGTGTTTCCGCGCTTGGCATTTGGCATTTGTCTCAACAAGTGGTTAGTTACCGCTGTGCTCTTCTCGGCAAGGCGTCCAGCCCCGTGCTAAATGTAACCTGACATAGTGATGATGGTGATGATGGTGGTAGCTTGGCGGGAATACACTGCAGATGAGATAATCAAAGTAAGTATATCGAGTTATTATCCTGACGTGAGGTTTCTTCTACACCACCACACCCTCCTTCTCTGCAGATTAGAAATGAACATGGAACCGGAACACAGCATACTTACATATTACAAACTCAATCCAGTCCCTCAGCTTCCCAGCTTCCCGAAATCCAATCTATTCCGCGCATCTCCCCCTCTCATGCGCTAAAAAAGCTTTCCACCAACAAGAACAGTTGCTTGTTTTACTTGTTTTGAATCAAGGTTTGACAACCACGACGGGACATGGGCTTGCTCGCCCCCTTGAACTTACGCCCAAAGTTTACTACATAGGCAGCGCTACACGCAAAACACCGTATATAGTTCCCGCACTGTAGATCTTGCTTGGCTGTATCTTGGCAGTGTTGTTCAGTGCTACAAAGGACGGGAATGGAAAGTGTGGTACACGTACACGGAGAAGACGGAAAACACACATGTTCCCCCGCCCACACCCAAGCTCACCAACAACCATGTGCATTTATAAATTAAAAACACTCTCTTTTGTGACGTGTACTTCGCAACGTGGTAGGTAGAGTATATGATTGGTGTCTTTACAAGTACGACTTTGCTACATGTACTACAACTTCCTACTTACGTCCAGGAGTGAAGACTAAGAACTAGGTATCCTATAACTACAGAAAAATAATAACCAAATGCTAAAAAAAATTTGCCGCATAGTGTGATCGATAACTGAAGGAAACAGAAAGGTAAACCATAGTGGGTGGGAATCAACCACCACTGCTATATACTAAACAACAACAACAACAACAGTAGTGATATGCCCATATATGAAAATGTTTGGGTAAACAAATCCAGTCCCACGCACAGCGAGCGAGACATATGATGATGATGATGATGACTCCCTGAACTCCCATCTCCTCTCCATCACCCACCTCCCTACCCACAGCCCAGCACAGTCTCACCCGCGAAACCATGAAAAACTTCACCAACACCCCTACACATCACTCCTTCTGCCCCTCATTAAGCACCAACTCCACAACAACCTGACTCCTCTCATGAGCCGGATGTTGCAAACTCAACTTAACCGTCCTATTATGCGCACTACCCCCACTCAACCCATCATCCAGACATTTAACATCTCTACCCGCAATCACCTGTCTAAGTCTCCCATTCTGCGCATTCCGAATCTCAACGAAATCGGGGTCAAACAACAGAACATACGGTCCATACATGGCGGCGGATTTGGCTTTGCCCACGAATTCCATGATGACGGAGCGGGAAATGTCGCCATTTTTGTTAATGTATACGGCGCATTCTTCGTAGCAGAGGAGGAATTCTTGGTCGGACAGGCGGAACATGCCGAGGGGGTTTTGGTTTTGGAGCCGCGACGCGATGGTTGCTACGTGTGGTTGTTCGAGGTCGGGGACGGACCAGGGGTGTTTTTTATCTAGCGTCAAAACTTCAAACCCCTTTGCTGTGGAGATGGCGAGGGAGGAGTGGAAGAGGTTGATGGTGTAGCATTCGGCTGGGATGTAGAATTCATCGTACTCGCGGAAGAATTCTGTGCGACCGGTTTTCCAGATGCGGGATTTCTTCTCTGTTGACTTTTGGTACACGGGCTCGAGCACTTTGAAGGTTGAGGAGATGTTGTCGCGTTTTTTGTAGAAGACGAGCGTTCGGTCTTTCATTACGCCCGTGGCGAAGAAGCCAATGTCGCGGGCGCCGGAGAGCTTCTGAGGGGCGCGGCGGGTGGAGTCGCTGGAGGGTGCTACGCCACTCACAGGACAAACGGCATCGAGGTGGTACGCGATGAGTGATTTGTCTGATATGAGCAGCATCAGGCTAAATTGTTCTAGCACGGCTATTTGTGTTACTCGCGGGATTTGGATTGCCTGAATTTGTTAGCATCATATCACTTCAAACAATGACATTTCCTACCTTTTGCCAGCCTCTGGGGTTGTCAAAGTCCGACACAAAGACTCCTATGTCTGTGCCGACCGCTACCATGTGCTTGCCATACGGCTGGTTGAAAGCTGTTGCGCAGTTGACGCGTGCTCGGCAGATGGGAGCAGGACGACCAACATTGATGAAAAGCTTCTCCACCTCATCAACTGCACGGTCCAAGGGCGTGCCTTTGATGGTGATTGCTCTTTGCGATGGCATCGCGCTATCGTAGGCAAAAGCAGCATCAGCCATGACACGCAACCGGAAGGGTTCAGCGTTTTGGGCGAATAATGCTGCTGCGTGTCGTGTCTTTGCGATGATGAGGTTGTCACACCACTCTGCTCGGTTTTGAGCTGATGGAGCGTACAGCGTGTACGTCTCTTTACCCAAATGTTTTACCCGGAATGGGTACAGCACCTTTTCGTCCTTGGCGACATCATTCGACGCAGTGTTGACAAGTGTCTTGCCAGAACCATTGGTAGTCTGCGATCCGAGGGAATTGCTGGTGTTGGTGTATTGAAGGGCTCCTGGTAATGGGCTGTTGATGCGCGCTGCTGCCCCACCACCAACCCGACCGGAGACAGTAGTGACTGTTGAAATACCCTTCATAGTAGAGCGGACAACAGGATCATCGTCTTCGCTTTCGAGCACAAGCAGATCCATGGGAATTGGTAATTTGGAGACGTCATACTTGTCAGACTTGGTAAAACCATCCGCTTCCCTGTGGGCGACTGTTTTTGCAAGTACCAGGTAATGGTCGAATAGCAGTGCGTGCGTCTCAAGCCAGTTGAACCGATTAGCACCCATTCTTTGTAGGTCACCCCGGAAGATGAGTTCTCTCCCGAGATGATCAAGATTAAGCTCCACTCGTTGCATACCCGGTCTCAGGATGAGTTTGTTTTGCAGATCGGTGAGATTGACCTTTCGGCTCATTTCAGCGACACGACTGTCGCACTCTAGAGTCACCGCCTTGATCTCCTCTTTGGCGATTTGAAGGTTTCGCTTTTCCTCGTTGTCTACCGTCGAGTACTTGATGACAGTATCGATGAGAAGACCATAACGCTGCAGTCGGTCAATGGGCCCCTTGAGATATGTGTCCCAGCCGAGTTTGTTTGAAAGTTTGTTCTTCTGGGCTTCGTCCAGAAAGGTCCGGAACAGCATATTCCTGTCGGCCTCTTGTCGAACAAGGAAGGATGCATAGGGAAAGGCAGCTGCGTATTCTATGTAAGCTTGTTTCGCCTTCCGTATCCATTCTCTGAAGATGTCGCTGAAACCAACAATCCACGGGCCTTGCTCTTGTTGACGGTATTTTATCTGCGGGAGGAGATGGTCTTCGTTTGCTTTTCGCACCGCATCAACCTTGCTGAATACATCCCGGATGAATTTGTCGAGCTTCTTAGGGGGTATGACTGGCGGTTGGGCAGACTGTAGTCGGTCGCGGTACAGATGCCGTAAGACGTCAAGTCTGTTCATGTAGTTGTCCTCTCCCTGTACAATCTCGTGTAGAATATTTTGGCGTTCAATTTCCTTCTTGTTCGCGCCTTCCAGGTCTTCCTTTTTCAACTTGTAGAAAGTAGCCCAATCCTCTGCACGAGGAGCAGCCGATGGGGCATGGAGATCGATCTTCTTGAGGGTGCGTTGGCAGTGGTGTGAGTAGCATCGACCAGGACTTGCGTGTGTGTGCAGCATGGGCGCATAACATCCTGCTCCTGTAAGCTGGAAAATGACACCAGTCATGCTGGCTGTCGAAAACTTGAGCCACTCCTCTTCATGTACAAGTGTGCCTGCCTTGTACATGTCTGCGACAACGCGGCTACTCAGCGTCTCGGCATCAGCAATGTTCATAGTCGGGACTTTGTGGGTAAAGAGGGCGATTAAGCCTTCTTGGATCGGCGCTTCCTTGAGATCGTTTTCACCTTCAGTCATGCTCTTAAGCCAACTAATGATGGAGCTAAGCGCCCAGGGTTCGGTGCATCGCTTGAAGTCGATGCTGGACAGCTTGGCAGGGTTGAAACGCTTGCCGGCGGGGATGGTGGGTAGGTCGATGGCTACAGCTTCGGCACTACCAGGGGTTAATGTGTTGCCGTCACTATCCATGGCGCCGCCGTAAAAGGTGTTGCGGTTACCAGCACCTCTGGGCCGATGTCCTTGTTCGGCGTCTGTTTTCGACCGTGGCAGTGGTATGGCATCGCGGGCGTTGCTGTGCTGGAGGAGAGAGGTAGAGCGGGGCACATATGCTCCTGTGGGAGATATCATTTGCAGGGCATTAGGATCGGTAGGATATGAGCCGCGTGCTGAAGGAGCATTTCGCCAGTATTCGTAGGAACCCGAGCCGGAAGAGCCATTGCTTTGGTGGTTCAAGCGCCGAGGGCTGGTATTGACCGGAGGAGGAGGCAGAGGCCGATTCGAGATGCCAGGGTGGTAGAACATGTCTGGCGGTTCGCCTGGCATGACAGCCGAAGGCCCCACGAGTGTAGAGCCGGATATGCCAGAGGCGTTGTCCATGAGAATGACCTCATCGCCCTCATCGTAGCTCCGCCGCCGCGCGCTAGGTTCCTCCAGCCCCCCGGTACCAAACGTGTCCACACGCGCATTACTCGCAAACGAGGGGAAGGGGTGGATCGGGTCGTAATCGTCGCCGGGATGGTCTGATCGCCGTTGCGACCCTGAACTTGATGCTGTGTGGCCACCGGCTGCCAGTTGGTCTGGATCTCCGCCGTAGTTGAACGAGGGCATGAAGCCGCCGCCATAAGTACCCACGTCCATGCCCACATAGTCGCTGTCGCTTGCGCTTCCCCCCTGCACAGGTTCTACAGGCATCGGGGGTGAATGCACGGACGAGTAGTTGCTGTATAGGCCGGGGCCACCACCACTTGCCCTTCGAGCTTCGTCGGCCCTGTCTTGTTCCTCGGCCATTTGAAGTGCAGCCAAACCGGCAGCTGCCTCCACATCGCTCTCGTCGCTGGCATAGGTTTCCCGTCCAGGGGGATATGGCACCATCTGGCCCCCATTGTGGCCATTCTCCTCGTAGTATTGGCCGTTGGGTGGTTGTACTTGGGCCCCTGAGGCGCTGGTCGACGTCATGCTGAGAACATCATTGAATAGCTCGTCTTGGTAGTCATTGGTGGGCGAAAAGTAGTCATCGTCGTCATCCTCATTCGGCGGCGGGGGAGGCAGCGGTCGCGACGACACGGTGCTGCTTCGCTGGGGGGAACCATGCGGTGGGACTTCGGGCGTAGGCGGGAGTTGATTTGAATGCCCAGAGTATCTCTCCCCGCGCTGGGAGCCGTAGCCGGTATCGTATGTGGGCGGTGACGGGAGCGGGGCATGCGACGCGTTCGAGGCGTAATATCCCGAAGAAGCGTTTGAGGCGGGCGTCGCGTAAGCTGACGTACGGCTCTGCACTGACGGAGCCCGTGCAAACTGCGAACTCTGGTATGACGCGGGCGAGGGAAAGGGAACCGTTGGCGACGTGGGCGAGAACCCATAGGGGTGGTTTGCCGTGTTTGTCCTCACGAGACTGTTGCTCGCATACACGGCTGGGTTGTAGGGCTGGTGCGAGGAAACAGACACTGGCGGGGCAAAGGTGCGGTTTGCGCCAAACTGCTGGGGATTCGGCATAGTAATGGGCTGGGTGTTGTAGTCCTGAGGGTTGTAGCCGTAGCCACTGCTGTACCCGCCCGCCGAAGTTGGCGACATTGGACCCTGAGATGGCTGCGGGGAGCTGTTGGCACCGATGAAGAGCTCATCATTCTGGCGCGCGGCCAAGCTGTTGCGCCTTTCGGGCTGCATAAGAGCCCCGTAGGCCGTGGGAGGTCCTCCATTTGTATGACTGATTTGGTCGGCACTGGATATGGAGCGGCGGTGTTGATATTGGGCGGGCCCGCCTCCACCACTCGAGTGCGGTATGTTTGGGTTGTAGTAGTTCTGGCCGTTCCCGTAGTACGACATGGCGTATGGAAGGCGCGACGGCGGCGACGAGGAAGGCGCAATGCGTGTTGAGGCGGTTGACAGTGTCGGTCGTCAGTCAGTTGGTCGACTCATTCACGAGGCTATCTGGCAGACTTGCGCGGGCACCATGACCGGGGCCGCTGAGAGATGCTGGGCTTAGGGGTCTCGAAATCTAGCCAGCGCGATTGTTGTAGAATTTGGGCGCAGAAAAGAACCAGAGGGTGTTTGCGACTCTGCAATGTCGTGCGCTCGCATGCGCTGCCGAGAAATGTCTTCTCCCGTGTCTTGGAATGAGGACGGGGTAGCGCTGCCTGTGCGTCGTGAAAGTGTGGAGCAGCGTGTTTGGGCGTCTCTGGCGTGGGAAACCGAAAAACGGCCCGTTTGTGTGGCGCGGCGACAGGACTACGAGACAGGTGGGTGGCCAAGTAATCGACGACTGCACTGCAATTCGTCGTCGTCGAAAAGGACGGATAGGGCGTGTGTGCAGACGTCGCGGCCAACTCGCTGCTCTCAGCCCATAACCAGCCCAGCACTTGTCTATCAAGCCAAGCCGGGAGCGGAGCCCTACAGTGTGCCTGACCAACACTCATCACACATGACAGCCACCCTACCCGACTAATTTCTTGACTATTCAACAATCTCGGCACTGCATCATGCATAATCACGGCGAGAGTATCCTGATGATTCACTCCATTTCCCTTGGTTCCATGCTTGCAGTGCCTTCCTCTTCCTGTGTTGGTGTATACCCCCTTATCAGCTTCTCATACGCCACAACTATAATCAGCCGCAGCTCAGCAAATGCTTGTGCGCATCGTGGGATGACACACTTACTTACCATAGATCGCTGCTGGAGCTTACCCCGCATGTTGCCTATGCTGTCACTGTCTCCGCCTTATAGTTGTTATATCCGAGGTTTGACAATGCACACGTATATACCAGGGCATCACTGATAATCCGCACTTGTCATTTTCCACAACAGGGTCCACACTCTTACTCTCCCATATTGCAACATGGGTGTACAATCGGATCCACCCAAGTCGCTCTATGCAGCGCCTGGAAATGATGCAGACGAAAATATGCAAGTCCGCGACCAGCTCCCGCCCAAAACAGACGAGCATGGATACCAGATTAATGAACAGCCAATGGGGACGAAGAGGAGGGTAAAGGTCATTCTCATGGGAGCGGGCGCCTCATCTCTAAACTTCTTCAAGAAAGCCGAGGAAGAGATGGAGAACCTTGAAATGGTTTGCTACGAAAAGAACAACGACATTGGGGGTACATGGCTAGAAAACCGGTACCCTGGATGTGCGTGTGATATCCCGTCTGTAAATTACCAGTAGACTCCGCAACAATCAATTCAATCCGGTCACTCTCCTAGACCCACTTACCTATCTAGGTAGGGCTTAAACTCCTATAGGTAACTACTAGGCTTAAAGCGGTAATCAATCAATCCAATCTGAACCTTCTAGGACCCACTTAATTGATTGTTGCGGACTGTGATTACCAGTTCTCCTGGAAGATCAAGCTTTGGTCGCACTTCTACTCGTACTCGCCTGAGATATGGGAATACTTGAAATCGATTGAGCGCGAGAACGACTTCATCGCCAAGTACATCAAACTGCGCCACCGTCTGGAGCACGTCGAGTGGGATGATGATGCTGGACTATGGCGGTGCAAGGTTCGTGATCTGGAAAAAGACGAGGTTTTCGAAGATAGTGCCGAGTTCTTCATTAATGCTGGTGGTGTCTTGAACAATTGGAAATGGCCAGATATCCCGGGGTTGTCCGATTTCAAAGGAAAACTAATGCACTCTGCAAACTACGAGGAAGGTTATGATCTGTCTAATAAGAGGGTAGCTGTCATTGGTTCTGGAAGTTCAGGTGTACAAATCGTTGCGGCTATACAGCAAAAAGTTGAGCATCTCTACCACTGGGTGCGATCACCCATCTGGATCACAGCAGGCTTTGCACAAACCTGGGCTGGAAAGAATGGAGCAAACTTCCGATGTGCGAAATTCTCATCTCCACCACTTCCCCGTCGAGCCTGATGTGAGCTAACCTCCCCAGACAGCGAAGAACAACTCAAGTACCTATCCAACAACCCCCAAAAGTATCTCGAATACCGCAAACAAATCGAAAACGAGCTAAACCAGCGCTTCAAATTCATCATCAAAGGCAGCCCAGAAGCCCGTCTAGCCCGCGAATACGCCGCCACAGAAATGCGCACAAAGCTAAACCACGACGCCCGTCTGACGGAGAAAATGATTCCAAAAAACTTCAACCCAGGGTGTCGTCGTCCAACCCCCGCACCGGGCTACCTCGAAGCCCTCGTCGCCAAAAACACGACCGTCTTCACCGACCCCATCAAAACCATCACACCCACCGGCTTCATCGACCAAGACGGCACCCCCCACACCGTCGACGTAATAATCTGCGCCACAGGCTTCAACACCTCATGGCTCCCGCGCTTTCCCTTCATCGCCCACGGCCACGACCTACGCTCTGTGTGGGGCACCGAAAACGGGGTAACATCGTACCTCAGCGTGGGCATACCAAACTTCCCCAACACGTTTTCCTTCTGCGGCCCCTACGGCCCCCTCGGCCACGGCTCCTTCATCCCCCTCATCGAACAATGGACACGCTACATCTTCCACGCCATCACAAAAACCCAAATCGAAAACATAAAATCCCTAACCCCAAAACTTACCCCTTCCCTCCACTTCCGCCAACACGCCGATCTCTTCCTCAAACGCACGGCGTAGATATCACCTTGTCGCTCGTGGTTTAAACAAGGGAAAACTGATGGTCAGGCAGCCATCTGGCCGGGATCAAGACTCCATTTTTTGAAAATGATGGAGAGTCCACGGTATGAGGATTTTGAGATTGTGTATTGGGGCGATAATGTTTTTGCGTTTTTGGGCAATGGGTTTGAAATGAGGGAGTTTGATGGGAGGGATATTACAGATTATTTGGGGGGGTTGGATGAGGAGGGCAGGGATGTGCAGCCCGTGTTTGATGAGGGGTTGAAGGATGTGTTGGGTGGGTACACGTTGGGGGAGGAGTTTTTGGTGAGAGGGGGGTAGGGGTTGAGGAAGAGTGTAAGTAAAGGTCAAAGGGGAAACTGAGATTGCGAGGATTGAAGAAGTAAGCTAGAAATTGATGCTTTCTTAGTAGGTCAGTTCTTGGCGCGCGCGACATGGACACATGGAATAGAGAGTACAGTATATCATGTTTCATTCTACTCTGGAATCCGCCTGCTACCTTCGCTTCCTGACAGGGCCTGTTCAATCTGACATTTCGGCGAGTTCGCTGTCTAGCTTACTCAGTGAAAGGCTTACTTGCTCGCTATCGGCTGTGACTTGGGTGTTCGATTTTTCCAGGTCCGCCAACTTGTCTGCTATCACCTTTCTCTCGATTGCGATGTTGGCCTTGACCTTCTCTAGATCTCTCAACTGGGTCGCCAATGAAGTCCTCTCGATCGCCAATTTTTCCTTGGATATCGCCAAATTTTCCTCGGACATCACCTTGATCGTCCTTCTCAGGTCGTCTCGCAAGAGGGCTTGTGCTTTCTCTGCGTTCTTGCGTTCCGCAACAATCTGAGCAGAAACCTGTTTGGCAACCGTAATCGCACATACTGTCTGGTGACGTTCATGTGCAGCCTTGTCGGGAAAGGTAGCTGGGCATCTAGCACAGGGTACCATACACTGCAAGATATCCTCTGTGCGGTCACCGCTACCCTCTTGATTCAACAAGTTGCGCTTGAAAGGCGGGACATAGGGTTTGTTTGGCTGTCTTGGTTAGTATGTACGTCTACTTCAGGTTGTAAGTGTGTGGATAGACATACCGTAGCAGTCTCGCGTTCTGGCCTTGGCTCGGACGCAAATGTCTCCTTTGTTTCCATGTTCTCCACGCCTGATCTTTCTGGAGTAGCGGCGTCGGTATCAATTGACTTGGCGTCTTTATCATCCGCATCTTTCTCATCATCATCATAATCTTCTTCTTCTTCTTCTTCTTCTTCTTCTTGTCCTTCCATCATAGCCTCATCTTCTTCCTTTTGTATCATCGCTTCATATCGCGACTTCAGCTTCATACTCAGCTTTGATCTGGCAGGGGGTGCTTCGCGCAGACTGATTTCGTCTTCTTCATTATCAAGACCGTTCCTCAGGTCCTGTAGAAATTCTGCGAGCTCGTCGTAGATTTCGTCGGTCTTGGCGCTGACGCCAGCAGGGTGGCATTCTCTGCATTGGTTGTACAGATTTTTGCCTCTGCTGTAGCATACCTCTGCTTCACAATAGTCTTCAATGCTACCGAGCAGAATCCAAGTCCTGATGCGAAGGTAGGTAGGTAGGCGGGGCTCTTCCACTAGTTAAGTCGCGCGCTTCTTCAAGGCATTCGTCCATGCGGTCTTCGTCCATGAGATCATAGAGCTTGTCAAAGGCCGGCCCAAAGTCCTTGTCGTTAACACCTTCAGTTTTGACGTCGGCTGCTGAGGCTGCGGACTCAGTCATGATTTTGATGTTGTCTGTGGCTCCGGGGTATGGGCGTGGTGTGGGGTTGTATTGTGTGGGTGGTGGGTAAAGGCAGGTAGGTAAAGGCGAGTAGCTGCGTGCTTGCGCAGAAACGTAGTTCAAACCCGTCAGAAGAGATGTCAAGGTCGCGTAAAGATTACAAGAGCGCGGAGACTCGTGGGCAGGCGCCTCTCGTTGGCTGCTTATTCCGCTTCACCCTCACTGCACACCGGCTTGTGTCGTCTGTTTGCTATTGCCCCACTTAAACGACTGGAACAAACGCAACACCAAGCTGGTTTTCTGGCAGCCACGAAATTTCTTCACTACTTTCAATCCCACCCAGCTTCTCTCTAGCAATTTAACCTTGGTTCTGCGCCACCGGAACCGCATAACGAACACTATGCCGGCGGCATCTCCGCGAGAGACTCGCCCGCCAGATGCAGAATCTGAGCTTGAGCGGGTATCCAGTTTGAGCGATGTTATTCAGCACGGCAGTCATAATTCCACGTCTCCATCCGTTCCAATGGCAGCGCCTCACTCACCAGACGGCTGCCACCGCCACGCTCACGACTCCAACTAGCAATCCCACGTATGCGTTCAGACACACGGTATAAGCGTTGCGATACCCATTGATAGTACCGTCGAGGTCTTCATGGCGTCAGGGTGGTCTCGAACAAGCAGGGCGGTAATGGAATCTTCCGAATATGAATCCGATGAGGCACCTAGCGATCGACGTCGGAAATCGCGAGCCACAAAGAAAGCCAGGGTTGAGAGTACAATCACGATCCTCAAATGGGAGCCAGCATTTGCGACACACGCAGCAGTCACAGACGTTGGTTTAGATCGGCTCGACATGACGATTGACGACTCAACCAAGAACACCTCGCACTTCATAGATCTTGTACAGCACCAAGGCCTCAGGGCCACTGAGGATGCAATGACTGGCTCGGTCTACACTCCTTCCAGCACTGAAGCTATGCATGTTTACGATATGCCTCTCTATGACGCAGAAGGTCGTTTCTATGAGCTCATTGAAGACTCAGTCGCGCTTGTAGACTACGAGCAGCCGGACGGACGTGTTGTCCAAGCCTGTTCAATACCAGCTTGAAACATGCGAGATTCTGCAGCGAAAGAAATCGAGCTGTATGTCATGCATGTTATTGTTAAGCTGATTGGAAGCCGGATATGTCCCTGGTGTTTCCAGAACAACAGGAATCGGTGCAACAAAGGCCAACCGGCATGCAATGTCTGTCAGATTGCAGGCAGAGGAGCGCAGTGTGCGACTGAGCAAGCTGCATTAGTGAATCGCAAGTGGAATACTTTCACCAAAGAGACGTGTAACGACCGCGCCAAAATCGTCCAACTGGGTCGCATCACTGTCGACATGACGAATAGAGTGTCTCTAGATCTGGAGATAGCTCGATGGGAGCGGATCGATAGCAACGCCCGTGGAGAAGCTACTGTTCTAACAGTCAGGACATTCATCACGATCACCAGTCTCGTTAGGTGGAAGCAGATTCACCACCCGGATTTCGACCTGGCTGATCTCAATGGCTATGGCGAGGCTGTTCATACCTCGGTGTCGACTGTCGTAGAACCATGGGGCAGGTTCGGCTACACTAAGCTCATGGCTTACAGCCGTAAGGTGGCTAGTAAAAAGAAAGGTTACATTCGCACCATACTGCCTCCAGCCATACACTGCACTAGCGAAAAACCGCCAACATTCTCTACAAGCCCCCTTGACATCGACGTCGAAACCGTAAAGGCTCTGCCGTCCATGGACACATATCATGTGTTTGGTGGAGAGCCAGTACAGGGGGCGTCGAGTGAGAGCCTTGCCAAAATCGACCTCAACAACCCCTCCAAGCGCGCGGCTACGAAAGCACTGCAAACCATCATGGTTGAAATGGTGGGTATGATAGGGACGTTTGCACAGCTCGCGCTCAGTCTCAGCGACAAGGTCAAGTCCCACATGAAACACACCCGCCGCTTGTCAAGCAACAAGTCAGGTGGTGGTGGCTACGCCAAAGGCCCTTAGCTCGGGAACCCTATATGGTCGCTCCAGGCTTTTCTAAGCGGGCGACACTGGCGGTTTGTTGCCAGTAAAAAGGTACTGGCCGATCTGGACACAAGCGGTATCGATGTTGGAATTTATGGAGATGCGCAGGGCAAAATCACCTCCAGTCGGATCCGAGTCCGTACTGAAATTCAAGATCCAGTTTGCCATGCATGGGTCATGCAGCAGTCGTTGAAGGCATTGTCGGATAATGAATATCTCTTAAGCGCAGTGTTTTTGGCGCACGTGGCCGTGGACCAACTTGAGCTTGGTCTAGGTACGTACCAAGCGTCAGATAATTGCCGACTATTGTCAATGTGCGTCGCAAGAAGCTCGTCAGAAGACCGACCACGTCTGTATGCAATGCATGGCAGTTCGTTCGTGCGCTATCATGGTCAAAGAGCTCAGTGATGATGGATGGCTAGTCGAATGCACTGGATGCGCGGGACGCGAATTTCAAACGGTCGACTTGACAATGCTGTCCTCACGGTTAACTCCCATGGTCAAGAAGCTATTCTACAATGATAGCAAGGCACAAACACCGCGCTGGACTTTGTCTCGGGAGTATTCGACTTGTTTTGCGCGGTGTCTGGGTTACAATGAATGCGCGTAGTATCTGAGCGTTCATGATATACGGGGTTGAGCTATTCTGGTACATCGTATCAGGGATACACAAGTCTTTTTCGTAGGTAAAATCTAAGTAAAAGCGCTCTTTGGAGACATCAGTTAGCAGGGTAAAGGCCTATGCCAGGGCGACGTTCAAACTTGGATCATGTGATGTTTGTATTCTTCTGGACTATTGTTGCCATGTTGAGTTGTATATGGTTGTTGAGAGTGACCATACGATATTATGAGGCATGATCACGTCCCAATTCATCACGCTTGACGCTGTAGCTGTGTTATCTTGTTGAGCCGAGGCTGTGTAAAAAGAGATTGAGATGGACGAAGATTATCGGACCAGAAGACTAGTGAAGCAAAAACATGGTACCACGTAGAAATTCCCTCTTATCATGCTGACGAGCGACTTTCGAAAGTGACATCTTCGCTCTTGGGATATTGGCATGAGCGGTCGTGCTGACGGGTACCTGGCTTGATAGCGGTACATGTCAGCTAGATATCGCGCATCAGCTTGGCCAAAGCTTCCATCAGCACTGCAAGTGTCGCGAGTTCACGTGTCCTTTTCGTTTTCAGGTCGGTCCTTGGGTTACCCGGTTGGGACGGTATCGGTGTCGCGAGATCAATGCCATCGGAAATCGAGTAGAAGATTGACTCACGGCGCAGTCGATCATCCAGACCGCTCCACAGAATCCTTCAATTGTCAGCCAAGCAGATAAGGGAAATAGTAGGGTTGGCGACGATCGCCAATGCGTGCTGTTAAGTAAGCCGAAGTAGGTGCTTTCTAGAAGGGTGGTGCTTGGCGCGCGCCAACCCTCTTGGGTATCTTCGTATCTGCACTCACAACATTCCAGAATGTCACTGGAAGAAGGTCGGTTCTTATATGCGGTTGGCACCGACTTAGCAACCGACATGTTGGTATTGGCAGGGCGGTATCGAATGACAGTGGAGAGGCTTAGAGATTCCAGCATGTTCGCGGCTGGGCAGAGAGCAGGAAGTAGTATCAGAATTTGCTAACAGATAATGGTGTGTGATAGTGGTGGTCAGCTAACGGCCTTTGCACTGTCCCGGTGTTCAACCCGTTGCGCACGGGCCCGGTTGTAACGCGGGGCAAAAACGCCCCGGCTGAAAGTTGGAACCGGAACTGCAGACATGGCGCCTGACGGTTAGACAAACAGCATCGCCTTGTAACATCAGCCTTGAACTGGTACCGGATTCGACCAGGCAAAGAGGCTACCACCAAACGGGAGATAAGAGATGCCTACATACTGTGATTGTGTTAGCGAACAGCCGACGGGGCGCTTTTTGTCGGACTCCACAAAGTGCGGATACTTGGTTATCGGGCGCTGGCGAATTAAGGATAGGCAATCAACTTGGCTCCGCATACCAAGGCCATCGCCAAGCTAGGAAGCCCAGCGCCCGTTCCATCAGTCCAACTGCTTTGAGAAGGAGACAGAGGCGGAGGGCTCACGTTTGCGCCCTCGACCGGGCGGATGGCGCTACAGTCATGGGCTCTGCAATCGTTTTCTGCACAAGGTAGGCCAACCCCAGCCAGCCATACGCGTCCCCGTAGCATGATTTCACTGCCGACACTCTGCCTTGGCCGTCTTGGGTTACCCCATCCGTTGCGACAAGCCCGCTTGTGGTGACAGGCCGTTATCAGCGCGCTGCTTGACTATCGATCGGCGCCTCCCCGCCTGTACTGTACGAGTACTTATAAACATGGGGCCAGCCCTACTACCGCGCTTCTTCAAGGCTTTCCCGCCCACCAGTTCCTAACGGTTTCTTCTCCCTGTTTGCAATTTGCTCTCGTTGTTGGCGTCTCTGCGTTTGTGTTACCCCCGCCCTCTCGGGTTTCCTACCTCACCCGCCTAACAACATCACTTCGCATTCAAAATGGCCATTTGGAATAGAGCATCGCACTCGTCCGACGGCGGGAGCCCTCACCACTCGGATCCTGAATATGGCGCCAAATCAGAGTACCAGCATGCGACTGGCGAGTTACCGCCCACCGACAGCGAGGGTGTTGTCGTCCACGCCGACCACGGACATCTGCACCGTGGCCTGAAATCGCGACACATTACTATGATTGCCATCGGTGGCGCTATCGGAACTGGTCTCATCATCGGCACTGGCAAGGCTCTGGCGCAATCTGGGTGAGTCGCATCCTAATTCGGATGTGAATGAAGCTGACACGTGACATGCAGTCCCGGTTCAATTCTCATTGCTTACACCTCGGTCGGTCTCATTGTCTATGTTGTAATGACTGCGCTTGGAGAGATGGCTGCCTGGATCCCCCACGCTTCTGGTTTTGCTGGCTATGCGACGCGGTTCTGCGACCCGGCTCTTGGATTCGCTCTTGGCTGGACGTACTGGTTTAAGTATGTGATTACGACGCCGAACCAACTTACTGCTACCGCCTTGATTCTCTCAGAATGGAAACACAGAGACGAAGTTAATCCGGGTGTCTGGATTGCCATCTTTTTGGTCGCCATCATTGCCATCAACTATTTCGGTATCAAGTTCTTTGGAGAGCTTGAGTTTTGGCTTAGTGCTATCAAGGTCATCACAATTGTGAGTTTTGATCGTTTGGTCAGAGACGAGTCAAACTAACAAACAATAGGTTGGTGTCATTCTCTTGTCATTCTTGTTGGCTGTCGGCGCTGGCCCTAACGGCGAAGCGACTGGCTTCAAGTACTACAAAGACCCCGGAGGTTTCAGGCCTTACATCGCAACAGGCGACGCCGGAAAATTCTTCGGTTTCTGGAGTTCTCTCGTCAACGCCGTTTTTGCCTACCTCGGAACCGAGCTCATCGGAGTTACCGTCGGCGAGGCTCAAAACCCGCGCAAGACCATCCCCCGCGCCATCAAGCTGACCTTTTACCGAATCCTGTTCTTCTACTGCCTCTCCGTCTTCTTCCTCGGAATGCTCGTTCCCTACAACTCCTCAGAACTGTCATTTGCCAACCAGGCCACCACCGGTGCTTCTGCCTCACCTTTTGTCGTCGCCATCAAGCTAGCCGGAATCAAGTACCTGCCCACGATTGTCAACGCCGCCATCCTCCTCTTCACCTTCAGTGCATCCAACTCCGATCTCTACATCGCATCGCGTACCATCTACGGACTCGCCGTCGAGGGCCACGCCCCCAAGATCTTCAAGTGGACCGACAAGCGCGGTGTGCCCGTTCCCGCTCTAGCCATTTCCGCACTCCTCTGCTGCACAGCCTTCATGAACGTAGCAGACGACGCCAAAACGGTATTCGGCTACTTTGTCAACCTAACCACTATTTTCGGTCTCCTCTCTTGGATCTCGCTGCTGGTAACGCACATTTGGTTCGTGCGCGCGCGCCGCGCTCAGGGCATTACAAACGACCAACTGGCGTACACGGCGCCATTCGGTCTGACGGGTTCTTACATTGCCCTCTTCTTCTGCATCTTGATTGCTCTGACCAAGAACTTTTCTGCTTTTACAAAGGGGCCGTATGGCAACTTTGATGTTAAGACTTTTGTTACTGGATATCTTGTAAGTTTCCTCCTTATCGTCTGAAAACCTCCATAACTAACGTTGATATAACAGGGCATCCCCATCTACCTCTTCTGCATCTTCGGCTACAAGTACACCAAGAAATCCAAAATGGTCCAGCCGCACCTCGCAGACTTCTACACCGGCAAGGCTGAAATCGATCGCGAGGAGGAAGTCTTCCTGGCCCATGAGGCGGAGAAGAAGGCGAATCAGACGGGCAAGGGTGGTTCGTGGTTCTACAAGACATTTATTGCTTGGTTGATTTAGACGACGACGATGATGATGATGATGATGATGATAGGGATGAGGGATGTTTTGCTGCATGACTGGACTGGGCATATAGATGAGACTTTCATCTATCTATGTATGGTTTATTGCGAAACATAGACATACGATGGCGGTAGGATAAAAGCGAATATTTTGAATATCTTTTATGAGCCTGCTTGATGCATAGTTGTAAATACTTGGGAGTGGATTTGCAACACTACAGTTACATTTTGGCACGATATCACACATACCTCCATACCCCCAGCGCACCACACATCATCCTACCATATCCATCTACACTCCCCTCTACTCTCCTCGCCTCGCCTTCCTTACTTCACACGCCAAGCCCCCTACCCTATCATCACCTCCCGCCGCGCCCCTTTCCGCCTCGCCCTCCACTAACCCACTAACCCACTAACCCTTCACTAACAAACCACAACACGCAGTCACAATAAGCTCAAAGCCAAGCCTCCGCCCCCTCCACACTTGAAAGCCAAACCCGAAACAAGCAAAAGCAAAAAGGAAAAGGTGCGCTGAGCCAAAAGATGCCGTCTTTGCCGGCACCGTGGAAACGATGGCGCGCATGGGAGCGTGGGTTGGGGTTAGGTCGGGTAACACGGCAGTGGAGGGAGGGAGGGGGGGGGGGGTCTTGGGAGCTGGCGTGGGAAGCGGGAAGCGGGAGCTGGAACCTAACTAACCAACGTCAGGGCTGAGAGTCGGGAGCCGAGATGGCGGGGTTTAGTATTACTTTTTCGGGGGGCAGGGGGGAGCAATACTACATTAACTAGTAGTAAAGAAAGCAGAAAGAATAGTCGACATTGCATACTACGTCAAAGGTCAAGGAGGACGTATAAGTACCCGCACGCCAACAACCCATACTACATCGTGGCCAAAACTACCCCGCTCGATTCCAAACAATCGAACTCGCCGTCGTGGTCGCGCTGAAATCCTAGACTGTGGGTAACTTAGGGCACGAGGGGCGAGGGCGAGGGCGAGACGAGGCGTGAGGGCACGTGGTAAGACGTGCAAGGCAAACAGTCCGCCTACCGCCCACCGCCCTTTTCCGCACGTAACTCAGCGAGCCCTTTCTGTGCCCTGGGGTACTTTGCTTGTTGTTTGCCTACTTTCGGAGGTGGCCGACGCCCGCGTGTAGGGTTGTTTGGAGGCGTGCGTGGGAGGGGGCGCATGGGAGGTGTAGGCTTGTGATGGCGGTGTTGGAAAGGACTGTGGCTGTGGCTGTGTAGGATGACTACGGTGGATGTGGATGTAAGAGGAGGAACGTGGTATGTATGTAGGGTGGGGTTGGGTAGGTAGGGTACTGTGTGTGCTGGTTTGTTGGTTTGTGAGGTACAAGGGCGTGTGAGAAGAGGCATATAATGAGTCATCGTAACCTACAATGCGCGTACGGACGGTGTATATGATACATATTTGGAGCAACACGGTATGCCTCCGAGGTAGTCCAACTACCCTGTCGCGTTTGTGACGGCGAAGGAGTAATCGTAAGTGAAGCTAAGGTCCACCACTCTTACCTATCGCGATACCCGTTTAGCCGCGTGTGTTCGTGGGTCAGGTCAGCCCTACCGTTGGAATATCGTCAGATGAGTCTTTCAGCTTCACGATACTCATAGCATGTAACACAGTAATACCTTCGCTGTCAAGTCCCTCTATGGGCTTAGACAATGCTGTTGTAGGCCGTAGATGTGTTCGGGATAAGAGCTTGAAGGCAACAGCTGACCTCTCCTTCCTTTTGAATATTTGGTGAGGACCATCTCAAAGGATGCCAGGCACGAAGAGGCCGTGTTATTCTCACGATGGGTATTGGATACGCGATCCTGGTGGAGAGGATGAGGGGTGGATGGGGAGGGACTTGTGGTACAAGAAGGGCACGTCTAGTGTGTTGAGTGTGCCCTTTGTGTGGGTATAGTGGAGACGGTGTAGTGAGGCGGTGATGGGATGGGAGGGGGGTATATATTTTCCTATTCTCTTTATTTTGAAGTTTATCACTGAGAAATCAACTTGCATCTTTCGCCTTTCTATATCTTCCAACTGCGACGGTTAGGAAGTTGAGTTTATCGGCTTCTTCTGAAACTTCAGTGTGCGTCTTGAGGCATACCACGGCATTATCGACTCTGTCGTTCACAAGCCATCACCTCTTCGTCTCCCAAGTCACAACTCTTCGCCCACCTCATCACCGCAGCTCACTCACTACCCCGGAAAAGCAACCATGGACACCCTATACCCCACTACACCTAACGACCTCTCCCCCACCTACCCCAGCGAATACCCAACCCAACAACCCACCCTCCACTCACACCACCCCCTCCCCTTCGCGAACACCCAACCCTCTTACAACCCATCTTCCAACACTCCCACTCCCCCAATCTTCCTCTTCTCCGACAATATATCCGACTTCTTCGCCCCCTGCGCAGACCAACCGCCTGATACTTGGTATTGCCCCAACCCGAAGGGAGGGTGCGAGGGTACATTGAATATGGATTGGCAGACAAGATGTCCGATTTGTGGGGCGGAGAAGCCGTCGTAGGCTATGGATAGTGGATAGGGGTGGCGGTGAAGGCAGAGAGTATGAAGCGGGTGTGGGTAGAGGGTGGGTAGAGGGTTTAGTATCGTTCGGAAGCGGTGGTTCAGGGGTCATTGTTCTAATGCGGTAAACTGTACTATGGTAGTATCTATTTTCGCGCGCGTATTAGAACCTAGAGCTTGTGAGTTATTTGGGGGGACATTCTAGATGCGAATGAGGGATGACTAGGGTGGTGATGAGATTGGGTGTTGGTTGAGGGGGAAGATGGATTCCGTTTGTTGGTTCTGGCGTTTGGGCGATTTTCACGCTTTGGTGGAAGAAGTTAGGATTGGCGTTTCTAAGATAGTGGCCTGGTACTTGATATTCGAGGCTTAGAATGTGATGTGGAAATGTAATATATGACATTTATTGAGATGAGGAGAAAGCTAGTGTCTGTTTCCTTTCAATCTTTCGAGTTCTCGGCGGATCTTCTCCAGAAACGTCGGGATCCGTGATATGGAACTGTGCTACTAGATCTTTCCGGTTCTAGATTCAAGTCAAGATAGGCGTACGATGAGCCTATACATCGTTAACAAGGTAGAATTCAAGAGAGGCTTGTGATCTAATCGAACATGCGATAGGGCTCAACGCGTCACTATGGCAAAGTCCTGGGGAGCATCGAGGGTTGTCGATCTCTCACTGCCCGTCGGATTCTGCAGATCTATTCGCTCGGGGGGTAGAGACGACGGCCGCCTTGGCAAATGTTGTAGGATTGGACGCGATCTTTGTCTGGGTTTAAGGGGGCCCAGTCGATACTGTGGAGGATGCCTTGGCCGTTCCAGCGGCTGATGACTGCCTGTACAAGATCTCAATGCACGCCTGTGTTCCAGTAATGGTCAACACTTGTCCTAGGACGTGTACTGCTTCCACATAATAGCAGAAAGACGAGATGACCGTTTCTTCCTCACGTCGATCTTGTAGATCTTGTACTTGATCGCATCAACAGCCCGGCGCCAGCCCAGGTGGAAGGATTCTCGGCTCGATGGCCTTGTTTGCGTCCCGTGTTATGGTTGGACATTGGAGCACTCTGCGGCCTCCGGCGTAAAATGGAGCTTGCTCTTGGTACCCGTGTCATCCTCTAACAGAACTGCCCCGAAACCTGTGCGAAGCTACATTCTAGAAAAGATGGTCAGACAAACCGTTAGTGGTGCATAATTGAAGCACAGTATACATAGAGAATATGTATTCTCATGGAGGGGAACAGAATCTGAAGCTATCGACGAGGCCCACGTGACGGATTGTGATGCTGACGGGAGGCTGAATAAAGACACGTGATCGTATGTGAATACCAACATTGATGCCTACATACCCGCCAGCTGACATGCCAGAGCATCTGAAAAGAAGTCGGGCAAAACTCTCTCAGGTATTGGCGATTTATTCTACTAGGTCTCAATTCAATCATGATCCCTATTCAATGCTCGCTTGTCCCCTCAAAAAGGCTTGCTGAAGTAATTCAAGTCGGTCGCTGTGCATAGGCCTACCGCACGATCGTCAACACTAACGTCACGAGTAGAATCGCAGTCCTCGCAAGATCCTTGTAGTAAGCTCAGGCAATAGGTTTCGTATTCACTCAATGATCTGAGGGGTGTCGGAAGATGCGCCCCGTGATCTTTCGAAGATCATCAATTTCGCTTGAATACACGTAACTCGTTTGACTCTGTAAAGTATTACAGGAGGTAAGAATGAAAAAACTCGGTTAGAGTTATCACATCACCTTAAAAACGATACGATCCAACGAACTGTACATACAGGAGCGCCTTTTGCGTCAGTGTCTTCGTATATGATGTGGAAACTCTAATCGACATAGACTGACGAACGCCCAGCGAAGACATCAACACGAAACCCTTCCAGACAGACTCAAAATACGGTTGGCAGCGCGATATCTTACAAGAAGTACCAGCTTATCCATATATGCAGAGTAGCAACATATCCCTATTCTGCGGCATCAACGAAGCCAAAAGCCTGCACTTCAGCTGGTCATGTTAATCGCTTTGATACGGAAAAATCGTCAGAATTTGCGTGCAACGGGAACACATCAATGACAATCTTGGTGACTCTGGGCATTGCCCGTGTATTGAATTTAAACTTTACAATGCGATGAACCCGTGCCACTTGCGGTGCGGCCCGAATTGAACAAGCACAGGGCAAGTAAGCCCGCAAATAAAGGTTGCGGAGCGGTGCGGCCATGCCCGGGCAGATCTTTTCCATGCCGATCAAAAAAAATACGATATGTAGTTCTCTTGGTAGCGGGTGGCTCACCAGTAGCCTTGTTTGCGGTAATTTTGGATGCGAGCTTACCCGTCATCACTACCACGTTTTCGTTAGCCAGGTGTACCCGGTTCTGAGTAACTTTGGCTTGACGACACTATTCGCAGTGTATTATCTAGCACTAGGTTGGCTTTCGGCATGCAAGTATTATAGAAACTTTCGATGTCATTCACATATCCTACCTAAATAGTTACGAGGTCGGACAAGGTCGCGCAAGCCCAGGTACGGCCTCCCGGTCAACAAATTCGCCGAAGTTAGTCTAAATCATTCGTTTCGTTTAGGGCTGTGCTGATTACAGCAGAAGAGACCTGCCGGCATCACGCGGATCGAGATGCTTCCGCGATGCAAGCGAGTTGACGACGAACGGAGACATGTAGCCTACGATCGTACCCGTAAGCAGGCTACATGTACCCGTTGTCTCGTATCCAATCCCACGATCGAGTACGGGTATCATTACTGGTGGGAACGAGTTTCCGTCATGGGGCAAAAAGCGCAAAGTGAATGAAAGCGGAAGAACTCGGTTCGAAGCTCTCATGTGCGCTGTTGGATGGTTCCATGATTTCTTATCTAATGTCCAAGTTTGAGGAAAGACTACGTGCGTCAAGAGTTGGGGTGTTATCTGAGTACACCATTCGGAGTAGCTTTGAATATTGATGATCGTTGTCACGTTGCATACCAGGCAGACAATGGTCAATGATACAGGCAGAATGCGAGATGACTGTTATTACTCTATTCCAGCATGAACTGATGTCAGTAATTCGGATTACACTCACGATTAGCAGCTTCGTAAATCAGCCAAGGAGTTGTCCGCGATCGCGAATTTACTGCGTCGTATTTTTGTAAATGCCGCACCTCATTCTAGATATACATATGTACCCCGTTGAGTCTAGTCAGATTTCACTCTAGCGAGTGCACTCCCCAAGGCGGGAGACGACTTGCTGATACCCATGCTGCGCAGAGAGTTGTTGGTCGACAAAGATCCGCGCTTCCAAAGCCGATGCCCCGTACGGCAGGGTCTGTATACCGGAGCCCCGGAGATCAATTCCACGTCAGCATACCCTTAGTTTGAGAACTTCGGGCTTTCTGATATCCGATGTATCCCAAATGGCTCTAGATTGAAAGAAGTAAACACATGTACTGATGATGTTGTGCTATTTGTAATTCAGGTACGTCACCACGACATGTGCTACTTGGTCTAGACTCCATCAGCTTCACTGCGCAGATTCAACAAAACCACTAGCACCACAACACCAAAAATGGTCAATCTCAGTTAAGAAAAAACAATATCATTCTCTGTAAAGACAGGATTCAGCTAACAAGCCTTGCAAAATGATTGTGCACCCAAACACCCGCATAGGTCCTGGTCATCCAGCTTCTCCTGAACCATATTCCTCCTTCATCCGACCCTTTTGCCACCATATAGGCACATCCGCGGAGGGCTAGCAGATATCAGTTGACATGAAATGGTGTGAAAATCTGATTGGCACCAATTAGTATCACGAAGTATCGTCACGGTCTTGAGCAATGTAGGATACACGTACAAGGGAAACATCCTATGGGTCGGAATCGCGAACGACAAGCGTTTAGGCCCTAGGGGGGTGGCACTTTTGGTTGGGGTCGTTGGTGCGGCAGCTAGATCCCTGAGGGTCGGCATCTGGCTCAGCCTCTGGCTCACGGACGACAATAACCTCTGGCTCGCGAGCGACAAGAGCCTCAGCTCTAGGAGGGTGGCACTTCTGGTTGGGATCGTTGGTGCGGCAGCTAGATCCCTGAGGGTCGGCCTCTGGCTCGCGAACGGCAAGAGCCTCAGCCCTAGGAGGGTGGCACTTCTGGTTGGGGTCGTTGGTGCGGCAGCTAGATCCCTGAGGGTCGGCGTTGGGTTTGGCGTTGGGAACAGCAACTGCCATGGTGATGACGGCAAAGATGGTGGCGATGGTTGAGGTCTTCATTTTGATGCGCTTGTGAGAAAAGAGTCTCAGTTGTAAGGTTGATTGTGTGGTTGATTGAGTTGGTGATTGATGGTTGGTGATGATGAGAAGAATGGGTTGCGACTGGTGTGCTTTATATGTCTTTCTTCATGGACAGTCGGTCGTTCTCTGGCCTCTTTACCACTGCTGTGGTCGTCATCTCTGATGTTGATCCACTCCATATTCCGGTTGGGGGAGGTTCAATAACACCCGGATGTCTCAGGATCGTGGAACGCGTCTGCTCACTCGCGGAGGACCGAATCTGCTTCCAATGGGTTCACGCGGAAGCAGGATGAGATAAAGTTTAAACGTTCGGGTAATACAAGAAGTGTAGTTGGAGTAAAGCGGAGTGGTACGAGGTTTTCTATCTCAAACGGACAAAGAAACAGTCTCTGAGCATCTGCTGCTAGAACTGGGAATGAGGATTCTAGCGACCAGTTCTAACTCAGGTGTCGTCTGAAGTCATGTAGAGATCCGTAGTGAGTATTACGAGTTCTGAGATATAACGGTATCGACAGGAAGAATATCCAATAGGAGCTGGTCCGCCTGCATCTGCATGAAGGTGTAACTTTGGGCATCATTGACCCCACGGATGTCTTCGGAGAACATGAGGTGCCTTTACTCCATATCAGAAGACCACGACTTCTCGTATTGCGTAGCCCAAGAGCGTAAGCACTTGACGTCTCTTTGATCCGCGGGGAATAGAGTCCGCTGAACAGAGAATTTTGGATAAGGTGCAACATGTCTACGTCCAGATCATATCACTGAGACTTTCAAGTCGTTATGCATCAAAGACTCCTAGATTGTTCAGGTAGAGCAATGCTAGAAATTACTGCTCTGTTCAAAGAGAAGTTCCGGAGCACGAAGCCCAGATTCTGGCCGAATATGGAATACACATACCGATGATCTGCAATTTCCGGCCAATCAACGTAAACGATGCTAATTCTCAGGATTTCCCATAGATCGCCCGCCATCTGATAATTTGCGCACTGGAAATTTGCAGCGGGGTCTTGGTTTGAGCGATTCCAAGTTTATGGAGCAAACCTTGGAATGATGTAGTGGCCATTACAGATACCTAACAGTGCACCATATACATGAAGTCCCCACGATAGATCCAAAGACGCCCTTTACAGTCAATGTAGACTCAAGAAACACCATGAGATAAACGGAAATACCCGCTAGACGTGTGTTCCAAGCCTGGATCACTCGTATCGCACTACCATGAGATCGGCCGGGCGCGCTGCGGTTCCAGAACATCACCGGCAAGAAACGACGTCGGCCTCGCTTAGACGACAGAATTGGCCGCGGCAAGCTAATGCAGAAGGAGCTCAGTATAGTTTCACACGACAGTCACGCGGCTTCACATGACGCGGCATACACCCTCGGCGCCGTGCTTGCCGATGAGCCTCCATCCACCCGCCAGGAAGGATTTCGTGACCCCAGAAAGATTACAGTATAGGAACATTTCAGGTGCTGCCGAACACTACAGACAGTCTGCTTGGAGCGAAATCAGCCATCTACAATGTAGAGACCCCATTCCTCCATCAACCGCTGTGACGCGTCGGGTATCTTCAGCTGATGACGGTCCAATCAATCCGTCGACATCCCAGCACCGCGCTCTGCAAGCTTAAGCCCGGATCACGGCCGGTTCAAGTTCCAAGGTTACCAAGTGGGATGATTTTGTACGCCTGAAGCCTCATAACGGATGCCAAGACTCTTCGCCGTTACCAACATTGCCTGCCGCCAGCTCTCACATCCAATCTCACACACAGTACTCCAAGCCACTTCGCCTAGGTACCCCTATTTGCCTGGAATTCTACGGATGATCTTCATCCAATCTATTCTTGGTTCTCTTTCCCCCTCTTTCTCCCTCCAATGCGTTCTTGCTCTTTGCCCCCCTCTTTGTCCCTCTGTCCAATCACTTCTTTGCTCTCTCTGTCTCTTACCTCGTACTTCTTACATCAAGCTTGCGAAAGCAGAACAGGGGGATACGTGGATCTCAAGGGGACGGTGGGGTAGGCAGTAGTGAAGTGTTGGGACTGAGACAGATCTTCCATTTCTCCATGAACCCCTCAACTGCAACTACCGCGGCCATAATCCTCCTACCATCCTTGAATTCGCTGGACTCAGCCCCGGATGTATCCAACACCCGCCGACACGTCTTCTCATCCTCACCCCAACCTCCCACACATCGCACTTTTGTCCTTGTCCCAACTTTTCACCAACGAGATCGTCGATATTCACTCTTACCAACTACACCTTTCTGCATAGCCCTCCCACTCACCGCTCGCGGCTCCATACTTCCTCTTCCCATTCGTCCACCTACCACTAAGTCCACCGCTCATACACGCAACTTATTCTCACAAAAAAACAAACACCTAAACCCCATACCTCTATCCCCCATATCCCCTGGTAGTCCACCTCATGCAGTAGCCGCGCCGTAATCCTACCCGTCAATACTTATGGAAAACATACATGGTATGACTGGAACGCGTTGGTGTTGCGCAAATGTGGTACACTGCGTGCGGCTATGGTAGGGACGTTGTACGAGAGGTCGAGGGTGGTGACACGGGTGTGGTACTGGGAAGGCTGAGAGTTTAGGTTGGGTGGGTTTAGTGACAACTAGGAGGTGATACGATAGTTTTAAGGAAAAGAAATGCCAACACGTGTGAGTGGCAGGATTTTATTATTAGAAGAGAAATCAATCTACTATCTGTACTGATTAAGAAACGAGGAGGAAAGGAAGGAGAAAGTGGGATGGTATCTACCTTCCCTCGCCCACGTTATTCAGGAATCTAAGTTCGTAACCCATTAATCCACTCCGCCGACTCCGCAAAATCCCCCCATCACGGAGGTAAGCTCGGAAAGCTTGACAGAACTTCCATGAAATTCCATGATGCACTGTTCGTACACGAAATATAGGTACCGTAGTCCCGTAGAAGAAAGAAATTCCCTCCTATACACCGCACCCCTTTAGAAGTTCGTAGAAACCCCCGCCTTACTTCCCCCATTCCCATTCCTCATACCCTCTCCCTCCATCTCCACAGCCCCAGACCCCCCACCACCCCCACTCTTCCTCAGCCCAACCCTCTCCGGCTTCAAACTCTCCTCATGCAACTCCACAGGCGTCGTCGCACTATTACCAGCACGAATCTCCTCTCCACTCAACTCCGCTGACCTTGTAGACTGCAACACCTCATTTGCACCCAACTCGCTGACAGGACTCCTCACGCCGTCACTGCGCGCATCCGGGTTGCTGAGGCGAAAAGTCGGGGTGTTTGCGGCGGTCCAGATGTGTGGTGTTGACAAGCTTGAGACGGGGGATGTAGGCGATGACATGGGTTGATGGGTGGGATGAGCGGGTAGTTCGGGGAATCTGGTGTCGAAGTTTCCGTGGTGCTGGTTCTGAGGGGGTGGTTGATAGTAACGGTTAGCTCCTGCAGCTCCTCCATCGTGAGGGTATCCTGGGTCTGGGGTCTTGAATGCGTTATGGATGGGTGTTTGCTGTGGGGGAGGCAGTAGAGCGTTACTGTAGAGTTCGGCTTTGTTCATCTGGGGCTGCGTGGCTTCGCTGTATCGATTGTAATTTGTGTCGTCTTGGAGGACGGGGAGAGTGGGCTTGCGGTCGGTGTTGTGTGTCGGATCCCACATGTTTGCTGGAGAGGGCTTGAAGACTTTGCGTTCGCGGCGGCGCATGAGGAAGTAGATCAGACCGGCGATGAGGGCGAGGCCGACTGTGCCGCCAGCTGCTGTTCCGGCGATGGTGGCCGTACCGAATGCTGGCGGGTCTGCAGGACCGGTAGTTGAGTTGTTGGGGCCGAAAGTGGTCGTGGGTTGGGCATGTGCGTGGGCGGTATCTGTATTTGCCTGTCCAGAACTTTGGCCTGGTTGATCGTTATTTGACGCTGATGCAGGTGCAGTCGTAGGTTGGCCTTGGTCTGTCGATACGGTAGTCTCTGTCGGATTTGCGGGGATAGCAGCTGGAGGTCCGTCGCCTGACTGCGATGATTGTTGCGGTGGAGAGCTATTTGCTGCTGAAGTTGAGGTATTTGCAGCATTGCTACTCGGTTTTGCTGAAGTACCAGCATCTGTCGAACTTGGTTCCGTGGTTGGTGTAGGCTGGTCTGTCGATGGCTCGAACGAAATAGCAACATTACCACCAGTCGTTTCCGTAGCAGTCTGCATCGCCGGGCTAGTACTTGAATCTCCAAAGACATATGTGAACCAGTCATTCAAGTTGCCATCCACCTTAAGAGGCCATTCTTCCAGATGTGTACATTTGCCGTGCATGGTGATTAATGTGGCTGCCCGAATTAGCGCTTTTCAATCCAGCTCTACCTCCCGAACTGCCATACTGTAAATTTCTTGATCAGACACACAATCACTGATCAGGCACGAGCCATAGCCCTTGGAGAAAAGGTTCACATAACCTTGATGTTCACAGAAACTGTTGAAGTCATCTGCGCAGACGTCTCCAACTGTGCCGCCGGCGATGCAACCCTTCTACAAAGTGTCAGTCCAAAAGATAAGCTCGATGTTCAAATACTCACTGTGCAGTCCGGTAAGATGACGTTACTCGGATTCGAGCAGTCAAGACCAGCGGTCATGGCCACCAGTAGAACCAAAGTCACAATCACCGCCTTGATCATGATGAAGAACCTGCTTCAAACGCCGTGTCAAAGTACAGCTCGAATCGTCGCCAAAAGATTTTCAAGTAGCAAGTCCAGTCCAGTCCAGTCCAGCGACTATAACCAACTAGCTCCAGCCTTACCCCACCACTTGTTTGCTCCCTCCCCAAGCGCTCAGCCCAATTAGCGCTCCCTCCCCAAGCGCTCAGCTCAATTAGCACTCTCACCCCAGCAAGCGTACTCTCTCACCTCGCACCCGCCTCACCCTGCGTCGCCCGCACAGCCTCACCTGTACACCGGAGGTCTACCCAAAGAAAGCGTGTTTTCAACGATATTTGTGCGACGGCTTGGTTGGCGGTAAGCTGTATGTGACGGCAGGGTGTGTGGGAGGAGATTTGGAATAGGCGGGTGGTTGTGTGACGGGCGAGGAGACTGGAATATGGGTGGCAGGGTTCCAAGTGTAGGGTGTTCACCGGTTTTTATGAGGTGTGTTGCTTGTGCTTTCATGCTCTCGATGTTGACGTTTTCGTCTGTGGAGGGGGAATAGATGGGGATAGAGTGTTCGACCATATTATCATTCTCACCACATTGTCGCTGGAAGATTCGCTGTATGTTCTTCGCTTCATCGTTCGCAGATTTCCTCCTCTCTCGCAATCTCTGTCTTGAGCAAGAAGCAGCATCCGCTAACTCCCAACCACACCATTCCCTAAATCATCCTCCCTTCATCCCAGCCTCTCCTTCCCCTACCAGCACCACCACCAATACCCCTCCTCAAACTCTCATACTCGCTCTCGGCCTCATCATCATACGCCCTCGGCGACCGTGACTGTGGCGGCACCGGAGGCGGTGACCGTGACGTAGGTTGAACGACTCTCCTCGGTTCCCTCCTTAAACTCTCATACTCGCTCTCCTCATCATCATAAACCCTCGGTGACTGAACTTTTGGCGGTACCTTCGGAGGTGGCGGTGGCGGCGATGCAGGCGGAGGACCTATACTACCTCCTCTCCTCGCAGCGCTGAAGTTAGGGCTTCTAGGTTGTTGAGCCGAAAAAGGAGGAGGAGGAGGAGGAGGAGGAGAAGAAGGACTGACGCTTGTATATCGCTGATCCCAGGTGTTTGTTTCGTACTCTGGTTCCGTGTTTGCAGGTCCAGGTCCAGTTCCAATCCCAGTTCCAGTGCCATAACCGTACGCATTCCCACCAGCACCGCCACCACCGTAGTTTTTCTCCTGGATCCTCATACCCACATCACCAGCAGCAGCAGCACCAGCAATAAACCTCCCACCTCCATACCACTTTCCTCCCCCAACCCCAAAACTCTCCCCTGTAGGTGATCCAACCAACGTCCCTTCCTCTTCAAACCCATCATCTCCCCTACGTCTATCCATCAACACCTCAATCCTACCCCCCACTCCCTCAGGATGCGTCGCATCTACCAAAACCGCATTCTCGACGCGCAGCTTTTTTGCTTTCTTCTTCGAGCGGTAGTATAGGAGGGCTAGTAGGGCGAGAAGGATGAGTGTGAAGGTCGCGGCTGTTGCGGTGCCTGCGATGGCTGGGGTGCTGAGGCTGTAGGGTCGAGGAGTTTGGAGCGGTGTGGTGAATGGAAGGGATGGGGATAGGGATGCCGTAGGGGAGGAAGTGGAAAGTGAGGGCGAGGAGGAAGTTGCGGATGAGGAGGAAGTCGGTGAGACCGAGGAGGTGGACGGATACGTAGAAGGAAGATAAACCTCCCAACGTTTCGGCACATCCGTCAACGCCAAACCAACTTTCCCGCAGTTGTACATCAGAGATTCGAGAAACTCTTCTCTCCCCAAATCCCCATAACATGCATCGAGCACACACAGCTGATCAAACTGCGTATTCTGCGCCAGGGAATTGCTGGCGTGGCAGATACAAGATAGGTCACTGGGGTTACATGCTGCGTGGGGTTTTGTGCATTTGAGGGGAATCTACACGTATTGTTAGTTGGCCGTGAATCCGGACGAGGGGAAGGAGAGAGAGGAGGGATGGGGAAGAAGATGCACACACCCCACAAATCGGAATCTGTATATCAGCGGGTGTTTTTGAAATTGTCGATACCGCTGCTACCGTCGTGGTTCTTGTAACCAACCGCGTTGTCGGCGTAGCCGTTGTTGTTATACTATTCCTCGTCGTTGACCCACGCATCTCCGTCGCTTCCATCAGTGTACTCGTCTTCGTCTTCGTCTGCATCCCAGGCGCCGTCTCCGTACTCGGCCCAGTGCTGACTTGCGTCCTACCCAACCCAATCGTTGAAGAGGAGCTAAGTGTATCAAACATCCCCCATTCACCAGTGATATCGCGTAGTCTCATTCCCAAGTCGACGCAGCCTTTCTTATACGCCGTTATGAATGCTAAATTGCGTGTTAGCCACTTCCTCTCTCCCTCTCTCTCACACACACGCCCACTTACCCTGTCGATCACGGTCTTCCGAGCATTCCTCAAACACACATCGTGCGTTGAAAAACTCATTATCAGTCAACGACTGCGCTCGGTTGCATACACAACGGAAGTACGCAGTCTCGTTGTCTAGTAAGTGTTCGCAGTGGAGGCGGTGGGGTGGGGTGCGCTGGCAGTTTTGTGATATCTAGCACAGTCAATAACGGCGCTGTGTGGAGAGAAAGACAGGGGACGTACGGCGCAGGTGAGTACCATTGTAGGGCAGGATATGAGGTGACGACGTTAGAGCAGGAGCTGGATGCAGGCTGTGGGATGGTTATAAGCTTGCAAAACGGCCTTGTTGTGTTGAGTCATGCTTCGAATGAACAACATGAGGGTTCTCGAAATGCCGTTTGCAAGTATCCACGCGTCGACAAACACTCCCGCCATTCACAGAAGTGATTCGTCGGGTGAGGTGTCTGTCGTCTGTGCCTTTACCAATCCACAAAAGGTATCCTTCAAGCGCGATACCCACTTTGCGCGTGTAAAGTAAATCTGTCAGTAAAATAACATAGCCAGCGAGGTAAAACAGCAACACTACCCCAAATTGCAAAATCACACCGCACCAAATAAACAGCCACGCCAGAGGAAGAGAGAGAGAGAGGAATCTATTATCATTACTGTATTTCGCATCATATCCGTATCACATCTTCATAACCACATGCCCATGCCCATACCCATGACCACCCTTTCGTCCAAATCCTCGTTCAAACCCTCACCGCCGTCGTCGTCACCGCAGGTCCCTCTTCCTGTTCCTGTTCCTCCATCACCGGAGCAAACTCGACAGTCCTATTCAAACTCCCATACTCGGGCTCCATGCAAACCTTTGCAAGAAGTTGTTTATAATCTGCCTTGACATTAGCCCTCATCCTCAACCCCAACCCCACCCCCATCCTCTTCGTGAAAACTTACTAGCAACACCCCCCGCCGTACACTCGGCCTTCCCAGCCTCACCATCCAAACACGGCTGCACAGTACTAACATAACGATCGACTTCGCTCTGTTCGAGTGTGCAGATGCAGACTAGGTCACCGGGAGCGCATCCGTCGAAGAGGCCGTTTGTGGTGGCGAGACATTTGGTCTGTTGGGCGTGTGTGTTAGCTGGGTGATTTTTGAGGAGAAGGAAGGGTAGGGTAGGTGGGGAACGTACGGCACCGCATGTGGGTAGTTTGGATTGGCGGGAGAGTAAGTGGGTTGTTGGTAGTGTGTATACAGCGGGAAAGATAGTGAAGATTGCGAGGAGGGAGCTGGTGGCGAGTTTCATTGTGTCGTCTGGAGTGTTTGGTTTGTTTGGATGTTTGGTTGTTTAGATGTTTGGGTTGTTGGGTTTTGTCGTGGTTGGGCGTTGAGGTAGGTAGAGCCGAGGTACGTTTTTATGGTGAGGCGGAGGTGTGGAGTCGATGGCGGCGGAGTCGGTGGCGGTGGAGGAGGCGGGCAAGGTAAGTTTATATTCAGCCGCTCGACACTTTATCGTCTCCGATGACGCGGTGCAAGTTGACGTGCGCTTGCGTTTGCCTAACGTCAACTCCGGTAAGTAGTAGCACGTAGCCTCGGAAGCAGGTGTCCACTTGTCGTTCAGGGTAACAAGAACCAAACTTCAACAAAGAAGAGGGTCCAGTCAATCGGAAGACCTGCCCTGCCCACTCTTCTTTAAACGATCAACGAGGAAATCTTTGCCCTAGCAACGCGGGAACTGTGTGCGACAGCCGGGTTCTCGTCATACATACGGTGGGACCGCCTCTATAAACTATTTTCCCCGCCGCGTTTTTGTGCACCTGACCGCTGCCGCCGATAGTAGGCGGCTATCGCTGTAAAAAAAAAGGTTGGGTTCAAAACAAGGTTCCCAGTCGTGTCAAGTGCAGGGTCGTGCACATGCGGCTGCATCTTTTAGCTTCCGCAGAGGGGGCTGGGGCCCAGATGACGGAAGGGGCAAAAGATGGACACGGCATTGTCCAGGGAACGACGCTGTAGGTAGCAACGCGCGTGCGGCGATGATGCTGGTAGGCACCTCTCCACCAGAGCGATATAGTTCCAAGGAACTTAGGCCAGAAGAATAGTTGGTGAGAGCATGTTGCGATTAATTAGTTATATTGGATTGGACATTACAAAAAGTGTGGTGTCTGTTGTTGTGCTTGCATGCAGATACAATAGGTTCGAAAGCTTCTCGACTCTTTCACCGCGACCGCTGACTGAACTTCCCATCTGAACCTTACTACTACTGCCATCCTGGAAAAGAAGAGAAAGGAAAAACAAACGAAACCCCCGATTATCAAATCTACACAGCGCGCGTTCGTTCCAATAGCCTCTCGCTCTTTGCCGATATCGTTGAATGAGAATCTCGACCAGAACAACGTTCTCCTCGGCCAACCCAGAAATTATCAACCCCTACTCCACAACACCCCCTTAGAACAAACAATCCAAACAACAACAACACGCCAACCCCGCGCACAAACCCGCAAACAACCCACCACCACCGCCACCTTGTCTCCTATCATCCTGATAGTAACCCCCCGGCGGCGGCGGACCCTGCTGATACTGCATCTGCTGACCGTACTGTCCTTGCGGGGGACCATATTGACCCTGCGGAGGACCATACTGGCCCTGTTGTTGGTACGGGTTGGGGCTGGCGCCGTAGTACTCTGGCTGGCCGCCGCCCTGGTTGTAGTACGAGGGTTGCATGCCGCCGGGCGCTGGACCGGCGTCGTGGTGGATGGGCGGGGGGTTTTGGGGGTAGGCTGGTGGTGCGCCTTCCTATGGGGTTGTGTGTTAGTATGGTGTACGTGGTGGGTGAGTGTGATTAGGGGGTGAGATGATGTGTGTGAGACGTACTGGTTTAGACATATTTGCGGTTTTTTGTGTGTGTGATTACAAGAAGATGTAGATGTAGTGGAAGAGTGACTGCGTCGTCAACTCGAAAAGAGACAGATGTTGTCGTCGGCGACGCGTTGTGGCAAAAGACGGGTAATGTTTCGTGTCGGCTGTTGATGAGCTGTGCTGTGCTGTGCCGTGCTTACTACTCGGACGTTACTCCTGACCGAGTCGTGCGATGTAAATCGGAGTGAATTGGAGTAAAAGGAGCGGAGTCAAGAAGGTCAAAGGGTAAGAGGAAGGAAGGAAGAGACGAAAGTTTTAAGCAGGAAAGAGTGACAGATGTGGTCAGAAAGGATTGATCCACGCATCACACACCAAATGTCGCGGCATGCGAACGAGCGTGGCTGAGTAAAAAAAGTGGCGGATGCGCTAAACCCAAAACATGGCTAGGCCCACCTCCTTAGCCACCCTTGGACACGCAGCGCTCATCCTTTTCTCACTCCGAACCCGACTTATCCGTCGTTTGTGCATATTTTAGCTTCCTAGATTTAGAGAAATGCATGTTGGGGGCGGCACAAGGCGGCAGCGGGAACTGACTGCGGCAGTGAAACTATACGTGTTGTCTGCGGCGACTCAACTTATACGAGGCGTACAACGTTTCCAAGCCACATAGCCTCACAAATGTACGTGATGGCTGCTGTTGGAAACGCATATTGCAGAAAACAACGCAAATTCTCAACATGGGTGCAGACGGTCAATTTAGGCATTTCTCATTTCAAACATCCGTGAATCAACACATGTTCTGGACACTGCACCTTGACATCGCATTCGGAATCGCTTTATTCACATCAAACGGACATCACCAATGACGACATTCAATAACATTAGTTGAACATGTTGTATTATCAAAGCATGTGCTCGCAAGCGGCAGTATACGTGAGCATGGTGTCACAATCACAATGGAAATCTATATAATCTGAGTACACAAACCTTTGTTTTATATGTTCGCGTTGGGAGTGGGCGTCGAGGAAATAGCGTAAACGTGAGATCGGGAGGCATCGAAGGGGAAAGGGAGGTGGAAGTGTTCGACGTGCTACGGACCGACCGAATAGTGTACAGGACGCAAGGAACTCGAACCGTATCGACATCGACCGATCGACCGAAACAAGGCGACAAACCGAATCGAATATAATCGCCGTAACCGTTCGCCAAAGAGAATCCGTACCGAGCTTTTCGACTGCTGATGCATTAATGTCGTGGCAGGACATAGAAGTAAATCTAGCCTCCACTAATAGACGTAACAAAACCCAAATCCCTCTCTCCTTCAACAAAACACCGTGCTGTAGCAATTTTGATAGCACTCGTGTCAATACTGGCCTTGTGTAGACAGTGGCGCAGACAGACACTGCCTGCGGGATGCATGGCAGCCTCACCTCTACTCGGCCACATCCAGATCCTCGTGCACTGGTGGAGGGGGAGACTCGACAGCTTGATGTTGATCAGAATCATTCGTCGTCATGGGGGTCGGAGGGCTCACTTTTCACTTCGCCGGCCGGGTCGGCAGCGCGGTCGCGGTCACGCCGGTCGTCACGGTCACCGCGGTCGCGATCGCCACGATCATCTTCGCGATCACGCACATCCTTCATCTCGCGGTCGCCATCGATGGGGCTCCTGGATCGGTCGCGATCACGGCGGTCGTAATCGCGGTCGCGACGTTCATCTTTGCGAGGGGAAGCACCACGCTCGCGACGAGGAGACGGGCTGCGACGCCTAGGGGAGCGAACACCACGGTCCGCACGATCTCCGCGGTCGGATCGGTCGCCACGGTCACCGCCACGCTCCGAACGCTCACCACGGGGACGGTCACGACCGGAGTCGAATCGCCATGATGCCGATGGAGGAGTACGGGCCCACTACGGCTTGTTAGCTAAACACACGTCATCAAGAACAGCCAAACTTGCCTCAATCTTCAACAAGTCGTCGCGTCCGATGCGCTTGTTGTGCATCTCATGGTATGCGTCATCGGCATCACGACGAGACTCATACTCTACGAACGCAAAGCTGCTGGCCTGTTAGAGCCCGGGTCGTTTGCCTAGGTCAAAGGCTAACTCACAGTCTAGACGATGCCGAACGGGGGGCTGGAATGTCGCAGCGGACAAGGCGGCCATAGCTTTAGGTTGGTCAGAATTGCTTCTTCGTATCGAAAGACGGGGAGGTGCAAGTCGGTGCGCAGGGATATGGAGAAGGAGAGGAAGCGGCGTCGCGCGAGCAAGCTGCCAGAACAGCTGCTGGGCGGAATGACAGAGGGTGGAGTATCGGAAAATCGGAGACTGAATTGGGAAACAACGATGCGAGGTCATCGGACTGGGACGAAGCCTTGGGGGACATACCGCTCGAACTCGTAGGCAAGGTCGCGAGCGCGCGTGCCGTGGCCGAAGCCGGTGACGTAGAGCGTAGTGCCGCCGCCGCGAGACATTTTGTAACTGTCGGTTGTCGCGTAGAGATGGGGAGGAGTACTAACAAACTGGGGCTTCAGCAGCTTGCGTGCGACTCGGATGGGTGAGGTTGATGGTCGAAGGTTGCGAGCGGACAAAAAGACCTAGAGGCAGCGACAAGCTTGGACTAGCGCACTGGCCACCTCACTTGGCAGCCTCACCTCACGACGTCAACCGCCGTCACGACCTTGGCTCATGCAGGCGTATTTATTCGTTATATTGATATTACTCGGCTATGCCTGCAGGTTTCGCCCGGTTCCAGCTGATTATTACTTGGCACAGCTTGCATGATGGCGTTGCGTCCGCTTCAGCTTCTTGACTACAAGAGCTGAGGTTCGAGAAGCTGCGATGGGACTCGACTAGCCGATCCATAGTTACGGATATACTCAACCATCGATCGGCATGTAAGATTCTTGAGTTCCATCATATGCGTGAAGTTGAAGCTTTTTTCAATCGCATTGCTGCAGCGACAAATAACACCATTAACACACATCGTCTTACCACACTAGGAAAGAGGTCACACGAATCACATGATATCCAACGTAGTACTGCACAACATAAACATTACTCTATTAAGCTCTATGCAGAAAATGTGCCATACGGAGTGCCCTCAAGTTTGAAGTATCCAGGCTGCAGCTTCTGGAATACGCCTGTGGGATCGTACTTGTTAGCAATGTCCTTTAACTTCTGCTTATTCGCAGCTCCATAGCTGCCAATAACATCTTGATATGGCGACGCATAGTTCATGTAGATGTAATCGCTATTGAGATCTTTCTTCGCTGCTTCTTCGACGAGACGTTTGTACAAACTGTTGCTAAAAGACATGATGCGCTTGTTGTCCGCGACGTTCGTCCACATAATGGCAAGGTTGGCGATAAAAATTGGGCCGTCATCAGGGTTGAGGCCGAGTGCGTTTCCACCGTCCTGTTGCATTTGTTGCATAGCCGGAACTGTAATTGCTTGGAATGAGAGAACAGGTAGGATTCCCGCAGCGTCTTCAATCACGGGAAGCATGTCGAAAAAGATGTCGATGAAGGACTTGAATATGTCCTTGTCGACCTTGAAGGTGCGATCCCAGTACGTTTCTTGGATACCATTCGGAGCTCCGGCGCCTAGTGTTTTCGCCAAAGTCGACATGTTGGCAACAGCGGTTTGATCGAATATGGCTGGGATAGCTTTCCATTCATCGAAGACGGGTGGCCATGGGGTGGGATCGGAATATTCCAGGTCCTCGGCTGCAATCTTCATCCCGTTCTGGAGCGCAAATGAGACAATCTGAGCTTGCTTGGTGTCTTTGCCAGCATTTGTCGCGTAGTTGTAGTAGGCCGTGTAGACTTTATCCCACTGGTCTTCAGTATGGGCGCGTTGCCCTCCCCACATTGGACCTTGCACAAACGTCCTCATGTTGAGTTTAGTCACAATGCCAAAGTTGTTGCCGCCTCCTCGCAGAGCCCAGTAAAGGTCTGGGTTTTCAGTAGAACTTGCGGTTACGATGATAGCCGAGGCAGTGACGACATCGAACGAATCGACGTTGTCGCAGGCCCATCCGCGTGCATTGGCATAGTGGGAGATGCCCCCTCCGAGAGTCAGTCCAGAGACGCCGACCGACGAAATCTACCCCAAGTCAGAATATACTCTTTTCTCGCAGGTCGAAACAAGACAAAGTAGACAGTGACTTACCCGCCCACCTGGAACTTCAAGTCCATATTGCTCAATCCAGGGGTAGACATCACCCCAAATATTTCCAGGTCCAATGGATGCAATCTTCTTATCCGACGACAGCGTCTTCTCATTCAGCTTCTCCAGTGCAATCGTGATACCGCCTTCAATGCTCGATCCACCCGCAAACGCAGCATGACCACCTCCTTTTACGGCAAATGGACATTGTGTGAGTCGAGATAGCAAGACGACAGCCGAGACCTGCACCGCATTTCCCGGTTTGAAGACACAAAAAGGATTGACGGCGACTTGCTGGGCGGCCCAATACTCGCTGGTGAAGTTATCGTATGTCGGAGTTCCTTCCGATAGCACGCTGCTGTTCCCAAAGGCAATTTGGAGAGCACTACACTAGATTCGACATAAACATTGGGTCTCTTCGCGACGATCATCTATTTCAGGAGACTTACAGCTACCGAGCAGGCTTTGGGCGAAGACTGCCCCACCAAGTCCGCCAAACCGGGGACAGCCTTGATGTTGACTCCGCGCGCAGATAGTGCTTCGGTCACATTGAAGTTGGGGGGCTCAAAGGCGCTTGACAGGGAAGCAGCAGCGAGCGCGCTTACAGCAACATCAGCAAGCCTCATAGTTGCTATTTGCGGGCATACAACGTGAATAGGGAACCTGGTACCGACAGACTGGATCTGAAGTGCAGGGCGCCATTGACATTAATGTAGCTTTTCCATCTTCTCCGTGGCTGCAATCGACATTACCATCGGCGCATCCACCTGGTGCGGCGCCGACTAGTTGACAGGCGAGGTCGAGATCAAGCGGCTCGTTAGTAGACCGTCACCGAAGCAGGCACGGCGCCCGTGCGTGTGTTCGTGGAGAAGGGGCTAGCTCGCTGTAGGATATAGTGCCGGCGTGGCGAATAGCTGTAGTCTTCACCCCAGCATGATGAGATATGCATTTTTAGGCGATGTGAAAATGAGGTTGGAATATGAGAATTGATAGTGTAGTTAAGGACTCTTCGGGTAGTTGTATCGCTTACGATGGCGCTTCCAATGGCTCAGGTTGCCGTGCCTCAGTTATGCTTCGTAGCCTTGTTCTGACTTCTATGGTAATGTGTACGAAAGCTGACGGATGACAAAGGGAGTGCCTAGAATTCAAAGCGGCAAGACACCATGGGTACCCAGATAGCGTTGCGAAAGGTGGGTAAGGGGAAGGCGTCCGCGAGCCGCCCCTCCAACTTTGTAATTCGTAGGGAGAAGCCGCAACAACGCCACTACGCCGACAATACTCTATCCTTGCCAATGGCCGCATGCATGAGCTGGACTGATTACGAACCAGAGCTGAATTTTGTGGCGGCTTGTATCGCCGAGATTAGACGCGCAAAGCTGCTTGAAGATGGGATTGCAGTTTCGCCACGAGGAAAGGACGAGCGTGCGGACAGAATCTATCAAGTGAACAGCCAGACCTTAGCTATCTCCAATCGGCATCTTGCAGGGGCTTCCTGAGAAAATCTAATAAGATGCGAGCAGCGCGAGAGTCATGCACGCACAGTACTCCGACACCAAAGCTAACGTACATTTAAGGCGTCCTGTGGGCTTGCCGACGCTCCTCCGCACCACGGAATCAAATGCGCTAGATGGCGAACATGAGGTGGCGTGACGGCTCCACGGTTCGCCTCTGCACCAGCAGCCGGAATCTGTTCGTTTGAGCAGAGCACATGAGGTCGTCGCAAAGAAACGCGATTCCATACTCCAGGATTCCGGAACCGCGATCCATGGCGGCGGAGATCACTGCGTCTCTCCTCTACGTGGTTGGACACGGGCTTGGCCCCCATGCAACCCTGTTTAGAAAGTTGCAGGCTATCGCGGCCCTTGTCCTAGGCTTTTCCTGGGCGCTGATGGAAGCCCTTGCATTGTAAAGTGGTTTATCCCGGTATTTGGTCAATCAAATACCAGATCATCTACGTCCTCGAGCGGCACGGCTCCATCCGCCAGACTTGAGAGGGATGTCCTTGGAATCCGCCGTATAATCAACATCATCATTGTCTGTATTGTTTCGCCTCCTTGCTTTCCGACCATCATGTCGACGGGTGCCGATTGGATTGCCCAACATGATCTGCTGCGGATTGACTACGCCATGCTCTCGATAACATCGACTGTCTTCGCGATGCGGGCTGGCATACAGCTATGGCGACGTAGGCATATCGAAGCGCAAGACATCCTGCTCTGCATCGCTTTCCTAGCCTACCTGGCGTTCACCATCCTCTACATAGTCATCACACCCATCTTCTTCAAGATCCAGGCACTCCAAGCTGGCCAAATCGCGCCATGGCCTACCATGATGGCAGACATCAAATTCACATCAGAAGTCATGTGGCAGAGTGGTATGGAGTACTGGACATGTCTTTGGTTTGTCAAATTCTCGCTATTGGCGCTTTACAAGAAGCTACTGGCGGGAATGCCGAAAGCTTACCTCTGGACTTGGTGGGGTACGCTAATCTTTTGTATTGTGGTAAGTAAGGGTACGGACTAGAGTCTGAGGCGCATTTCATCCCGAGACCGTCTTCAGCCACGCGTGACTGACACCCGGCAGACTTGGGCCACATGTATCATAACGGGGCCGGGATTAGCGTGTGATGATACCAAGAAATTCTTCAATCAAGGAGTCTTGTGTTCTTCACCGGCCGAAACTCGTCGACAAACCGCAAACCTTTACTATGCGTACGCTGTGGATACGCTTACTAATTTGATGGGTATGTCGAATATGTAATCCCCTGAGAAACTTCCGTTAATAAGACAGTCATGACTTTACCAATCAGACTCATCTGGAATCTCCAGATGGAAAAAGCAAAGAAGGTAGGATGTGGTCTGTTGTTCGCATCTGGTTTTGTGTGCATACTCTTCTCGACCATCCGTATCGTCCAAGTCGGTCAAGACGGAAAGCCTCGATCGCCAGACCCAAAATGGCTCACAATGTGGACCATCATTGAATGTTCAACAGGTAAGAGAAACATAGACTACTTGGCGCACGTTATTAACACCTCACCAGCCGTCATCATAGGCTGTGGCCCAATGTTCGCGTCAGTGATGCCCAAGAGCAAGACCCGGCCTGCCAACCCAGTCTCATACGATTCACACGGCTATGTACGACAATCACCCAATCGCTCAGATGAGTCCGGAAGTCACCGCTTGAAACGTATGCTAAGCTCCAAGAATCGAGAGAAGACTGGTGGTAAAGGGACGGAGAATATCAGCGTATCCAGGACTGGACATGATAGTCAAGAAGAGCTGCCAGAACGTCGGACTGGAGGCACTGGCATTTTGATTACGGAAGAGCTGAGGGAACAGCATGAACAGCGTTTGGAAGAGGATCGGCGGATGGAAGATGCACGGCTGAAGACTGAGCAGTCGAACGTATGAGGTGGTCAAATAACGGTTTGGATCTATTAAAGTCACTCTATGCGCAGGAGGAATGGAGGAAGAACAGAAAGTGCGGATCCACCATCTGCTGCCGATGGGACCACAAGCTCTTGAGAAGGAGCAGAGTCAGGGCGTAAGGAGAAAATAGGAAGGACCGTAGGGATTACCCTCTCTCACATGTCCGATAGTGATGGAGATTGCCCTTGATCTGGGTGAGTCACTCTGGGACACTGGAATCTTCTTCCCTGGCAACTGGATGTCGCTTAGTCAGAGCCATCAGAACAGGCCAAGACAAGTGCTGAGTGTTCCTGTGTTTTCACCACGTGTCCTAGACACATTCCAAGAGCAAATTACAGACAGATCTGATGGGTAAGCAAATGAGTCGTGGGCGATAGAGATTAATGCTAGACCCTCATAGACAATAGGCCGGGTGGCAAATCTCATGATGCGTATACAAGACAAACTGGCAGTATCCCTATAGCGGAAACAATGGTAGTGACATTATTCTATTGTCTGGCGTGAAAGTGAACCCTGGAATTGTATTGGCCTTGGCGGCATGAATCGGGCGGCTGAACTATGGCAGGGCTAGTGGGGCGGCAATTGCCGGGCGCGATTGCGCAGAACTTGAACGCAGACGTCTCCAAACATTAACTTGATCTCCCCCACACACTCACCACGTATATGCTAAACCTGCTTGACACGCGCAAGCACTTTTAACGACTGACGACTTTTTCCCCACGACCGTGATAAAAGCACACGCGACCGTTCCACGTGCAGCAAGTCGCGTCTTTGGTTGTTCCCCTTGTTTCTCGCCCACCGCCTCATCTCGAATCCACGCGACTTTGGCCGTCCCAACACCAGCACACACGCACGCGATGGCTCTTGACTTTTCGAGCGACTCACCTATGGCGGCGCAGCTGCAACAGGTGGTGCAGGCCAAGCTTGCCGAGTTTGGATGGACGACAGGCGGCGACGACACGACGCTGTTCGAGTACATTCTGCTCATGCTGGCCAACGACAAGAACGAAGCGCAGGTCGCGGCGGAGCTGTCAAACGATCTTCTTGATCTCGGCCCAGAAAACACAGAGACGCAACAGTTTGCGCAGTGGCTATTTGAGCAGATTGAGCGTTTGAAGCAGCAAGCAAATGGCGGCGGCGGCGATGGACCCGTCGCGCAGTCGATTGAGAACAACCAGATGGAGAGCACATCCCACGACAACTCGGCATCAGTGCAAGATACAGAAATGGAAGGTGCATCAGAGGCACAAGGCGTCATGTATGGCAACACCTCATCTTTATTCCCCTTTCAGCCTCGGACGTCTAAAAGACGCCCAAACCGCCTTTACGATAGAGATCAGCAGAGTCTAACAAGGAACAGCCCCACAGGCCCCAAGGCGATGCGCAATGGCAGCGGCGCTCAAGCTGCACGGCCCGCACGCGGCGGTCGCATGCTTAACCAGCTGAACAAGAATATGGACCGAAACCACGACTCAGTATTGCACCGTGTGCGCGGCGCTGGAGGCGGTGTCGGCCGAGTAAATGCGCACTCCCGCGACCCGCCCAAGGGTCCCCGGGGACAGAACATTGGCCGTGGAATCGAAGCAATGGCGAATGGTCGCGGCATGGGCAACGCCACCATGAACATGGGCCAGAACAATATGGGTGGTATGAACGGCATGCCTATGGGTGGTATGCCTGGAATGCCGATGAACCCAATGAGCGGCCAGAACAACATGCCCGGCATGGGGCTCAACCCTCAACAGCAGATGGCCCTCATGCAAATGTACGAGCAACAAGCGCAGATGATGCAGCAAATCTTCGCTGGCGGCCCACCCACCGCTTATGTCAACCCCAACTTCCAAAACAACCGCGGCGGCAAGAAGCCACATCGCGGCCAAGATCGGTCGCACCAGGGCGGACGAGGAGGCATGAACCCAAACGCAAAGCCGTTCACTAAGAAAGAGGGCGAGGACGAGACCATGACGGATGGCCCAGGTGCAGACAATGGTGGCATGGACGTCGAGCTGCCTTCTGGTCGCCCAGACCCCTCAGTGACCATGTGCAAGTTCAACCTGCGATGCAGCAACCCCGACTGCCACTTTGTCCACCAGTCGCCCGCTGCAGTACCCGGCACTGTCGTCGACATGAACGACTCGTGCGATTTCGGTGCGGCGTGCAAGAACAAGAAGTGCGTCGGCAAGCACCCATCCCCAGCGCAGCGACAGAAGTTCCAGTCCGAGCAGGAGTGTGCCTTCTGGCCCAACTGCCGTGATCCCTCATCGTGCCCGTACAAGCACCCCACGTCCAAGCCGTGCAAGAACGGTGCCGACTGCACTGTCGAGGGCTGCAAGTACGGACACAGCACCATCATGTGCAAGTTCAACCCGTGCCTCAACCCCCGCTGCCTTTACAAGCACGAGCCTGGCCAGAAGAAGAACAACACTAATGTGTGGGTTGCCCCCAAGGAGGGTGAGCACGTGAGCGAAAGGAAATTTGTAGACGAGGAGCAAAAGGAGGAGCTCATCATCCCCAGCAAGGATCAAGACATGACGCAGGCACCTCCCAATGAGAGTGTTGATGTGCAGTCATAGAGTGGCTGCCAGGTATATATGGGGGACGTGGATATGATACCAATCGGGAAAGAAAGGGGAGGACTTGGTGGACATGGTTGAGCATTGTACTATAAGTCTGGATATGGCTCAATGAGGCGTTATGGGCGGGGGCATTGCCCTGAGGAGGAGAGATTTTTCTTTTGCAAAATGGAACCTTGTTTCTAGCGGCCGTTATGGCTGCGCTCTTCTTCTTACACACATTCTTCATGCATATGGTGACGGTGAATATGTCGTGCTAGCTCCATGTATGGCATCGGCCCTGCATATGAATCGATGACGGCAGCAGCGGGTGGCCCAAGCTCGGACATTTTGGCCGAACGTCGACATGCGCAATTGCTCTCTTGTGAATGTCATGTAAGCTTCTGGTTGTCGCCCAAACGTCCTCATCTCGCGACCAATTGAACGGCAATGCGGTTCCAGAATGCCTCACAGAAGACGTTGAAGACCGTTGCCGCACGCCCCGTGCTTGCCTCTCAATCGCTGTTCACATGCCGCCCGCTACTCGCATTCAGACATGGCCCCCGCCTCGTCTCGCAATGTCGCTACCATTCCACAGACCCTGAGCGGATAGCCGTCCTTGGTGGAGGTATCGCTGGTCTTAGTAGCGCGTATTATGTCGGCAAACAATTTCCCAACAGCGAGATTACGTTGTTTGAGGCGGGCAATGACCCTGGGGGGTGGATTAGGACGAGACGTGTTGATGTCAAGGATGCTGAAGGGAAGGAGGGGAGTGTATTGTTTGAGCAGGGACCTAGGGCATTGAGGCCTGCTCCTGCTACGGCGGCCTTGGTGGGTTGCGTGCTATCGTCTGATCGAAGTCTTACTAATGTAATGTGTGCAGATACAAGAACTTGGTCTCATAAACGATGTCACATATACCAAGCGCACTGATCCCGGCGCCACGAACCGCTTCATATACTACCCCGACAAGCTCAACCGGCTCCCGTCCAAAATGCCAATTGAAATTCCAAACTTGATTTCTCTCTGGCGATCGGGGCTGCTGGCCGGTTTCCTGGGCGTCATCAAAGAGCCATGGGAAAAGACGCGACCAGCGGGCCTTGTCGATGAAACAGTTGGCTCCTTCATCGCCCGCAGAATGGACAAGCGGTTAGCAGACAACCTCATCTCTGCAGGCTTCCACGGCATCTACGCAGGCGACATCTGGCAGCTCAGCGCAAGGACGTTGGCGGCGAATCCGTGGAACCTGGAAAATACATTTGGCAGCGTTATTGGCGGGTTTATCAAAGTGCAGAATGACGCCGTTGAGCCCCGGGGGAACTCGTTCGTGCATGAGTGGGATAGAAATCTTATGGCGAATATGAAGAAAGAGCTCGAGGTCGACGAGGGATTTTGGTCGAATCTGACAGAGAGTACGCAGTTTTCATTGCGGAATGGGTTGCAGCAGCTGGTCCGGGCGCTGGGGGATGCGGTGGAGGATCTGGGGAATGTGAAGGTTAAAACTATGGCGCCGATTCAGAGCTTTAAACCGCTTTCTCAAGACGGCAAATTAGGCGTTGAAATTGTGTCTGGGGTAAGTTGTCTAAAAATACTCCACCGTTAATATTACTAACAAATCGTCACAGCAAGAAGGCTCCACCTCAACAGAGTCTTTCGACCTCGCCATCTCCACTCTCCGCGAAAAAGACCTCACCCCCTACGTCACAGTCATGACCATCAATCTCTATTACCCCAACCCCCACCTCCTCCCCGTCGAAGGCTTCGGCTACCTAATCCCGCAATCCGTGCCGTTTGAGCAAAACCCCGAGCGCGGCTTGGGTGTAATCTTCGACTCGTCCGCCATCAAAGGCCAAGACACCGTCTCGGGCACCAAACTCACCGTCATGATGGGCGGCCACTGGTGGGACGGCTGGGAATCCTACCCGACCGAAGAAGAAGGTCTCGACATGGCAAAGAGCCTGCTAGCCCGCCACCTCAACATCACGGATGAACCAACTGCGCATTATGTTAATCTCGCAAAGGATTGTATACCGCAGTATACGCTGGGTTATCAGGATCGTCTGGCGGGGTTTGCGGAAAGGATGAGTGGCGAGTTTGGGGGGAGAGTACGGTTTGTGGGGAGTCAGTTTAATGGTGTTGGTGTTAATGATTGTGTGGCTGGGGCGTGGAGTGTGGCGAGGGAGTTGAAGGATGGCGGGTGGATGGGGCGGAGTTGTGGGCTTGATAAAGTGGGGATGGGGGAGCGGTGGATGGTTGTTCCGAGTGCGAGGATGAAGTTTGCAGATAAGGGGGGGAGAGATTGAGAGGTGGTTTGAGGATGTGGTCTTTTTCAACTGAGAGAGAAAGAGAGAGAGATGGGAAATATGAACACGATTAATGTGCAAATACGGTAGTGGGAGTGGTGTGTGACGCCCTCCCCCCAAAGTAAAACAAGACAATGGCAAGGCCGGGTAACGTTACGTGATCAATAGTATATAAGTGTATATGTAATTCCTCGTTTCCTATTCACTTTTTATTTCTCTTCCAACTACAAGGCTTACTTTGTTAGATAAAAGATAAAGTCTATGTCACACAGACCAACACGCTCAATCTACAACATCATGAGCTATCCAGCAACCACCCAATCCAGAAAGCAATTACAAGGATCACAAATACAGACAAAGCTAGCTACAAAAAGCCAAACCAGCATAGACAACTATACACTATTGTTAAGTCAATCCCAGAGAGAGACAACAATAGCGTAGAAAAGATAATCCCATATAGGTTCAGACCATGGGAAAGTCTTAACTACAAGGTTACTGTATCAAAAAAGAGCAAAGAGGAAGAGGCAATTGCACACACGGATTATATCCTATCAAGGAGCGGAGATAACTTCACCGCAATCTACTCAGATGCCTCACAACACGACAAGGGAATAGGGATCGGCGTAGGTGTAGTAGCGTACAGCTCCACCCACGAAGAAACCTTTTCTCAAAAGACAAACATTGGATGCTCCCAACTAGTCTACAACGGTGAACTAGAGGGGATAGCACAGGCATTTGAACACGCGGCTACAGTGGCACAAGAAGGCCAAGAGATCTACGTATACGCAGACAACCAAGCAGCAATCCATAGGCTTAACAACCTATCGGACAACCCGGGACAACAGTGGCTACTAAGATGCATCAGAGCTGCAAAGAGAATAACGACAAAGAAAGCATCGATCCACCTGCAGTGGGCCCCAGGACATAACGACGTCAAGGGCAACGAAAAAGCCGACACGCTAGCAAAGGAAGCAGCTAAAGAGAGACCAACAACATCGACCACAGCGAGCCTAGCCTACTTAGGCACAGAAATCAACAAAATACAAAAAACAGAACAACTGATGGAGTACAAGAGGTATACCGACAGGCCCACCAAAAACAGAAGCTCCTACTCAAGGATCTTCAAGCTCAACACACATACAACAATCAAAGTCCCGAAGGGAACACCAAGAGAAATCTCGAGCGCGTTCTACTCACTCAAGCTAGGACATGGATACTTCAACTCCTACCTTAAGAGATTCAACAAGAGAGACTGCAATCTATGTATATGCTACAAACCACAAACACCACAGCATCTACTTCTAGATTGCAAACAGTACAAAACACATCGAAATACACTCAAAGAAGCAATACCACACAGACCCATCACCCTCCCACTCCTCCTCCAAACAAAGACAGGCATCAAAGCTACTCTAGCCTTTATTGCAAGTACTAGGATTGGCACGAGAAAATGGCACCTTGGGCAAACCACCGAACAGACAGACACTGTATAAAACTACAAAAATGTTAGAACAAGGTCTCCTCTGGTGGTATGACTACCATAGGCGACCGAGTAGAGGTACGAAAGGTAACCCTGTATTGGATTGAACTTCACTAAGAGCTATTGTTCTATCTACTTGTTGTTATGATGATCTTAGGACGTACATGACAGATCATCATTCCGCGTCGGTCCTTCTGCTCGGGCTTACTCCACGAACCTCACCTCGCCGACCTGGACTGAACCTAACATATTCTTAACAAATACACTAGATAGATTTTAGGCTCTGAATTTAGTGTCGGCATACACACGGTGTGTCGCCTAATAAGGCCCAATGTACCGCCTCGATCCTACTTCGGCCCAACTCGGACCCAACGCTATGTATACCTTCGTAGCCCCCACATTCGTAGAATCATCATACACCAGAATACCAATACACAAGATTACCTTAGCTACTGTTATTCACCGTACGATCGTACAAGGCCTTCCAACACTGATCAGTGATTGCACGGCAGTCACAGACAGTTAGGTTAAGAAGAGATAGATTCTTTACCCCGCGCGTTCCCTAGATTGCCTATATCAGCAAGGCGGAGTTATCTATGCTAAGCTCACTGTTAGCTATATCAGGCGTCGTTCGTGGCTAGCGACCGACCGTTACAGCCGTATCAGAAGCGTTCCAAGACGCCGTCTATACACGCGCCAACCGACCGGTTGAGATTTGACCCGTGTACAACCCACGACCACCGACGCATCTCTAGCGAACGCAGCTAGCGCAACAAGCGTCAACAAGAACACAATGGCAGGAGAGAGAACATCATCGGAAAGAGCACCGGTAGCCAGGACGCCGGCAGTAGGAATGGCGAGCAGTAGTAGAAGAGTGGTACCCACACTAGAGGCGCTACTAGGGACCACAAACATAAAACCAAGAGAATGGCATCACATCGATCCAGAGATGTGGGAGGACAACCTTGAAGCTCCAGACGATGAGGTAGGGATTACTACAGCAACAACGTACATTGCGCGTGCGATTGCGGACTATACAGATCGACCAACAGCAGATGAAGAACTCTTTTGGGAGTTCCGTCAGGACTTTGAAGGATGGACAGAGGCAATGTTCCTACGTGCCCAGCCAATATACACAAAGGAACTAAAGCGGATCCTCCGCTTTAAGGGAGTGTATACTGGCCGTATTAATATGGCACCTAGTGAGTCTCTAGCTAGGTTATTACGCATGGAGGAGTACCTAGAATGGCCTCAGGACGTATTCCAGTCGGCTGTGTTTGACACACGATCAGCTGCGCACATGTTGCAAGAGCGGGCACTACGGCAACAACGCAGTGAAGGATCAGTACAGTCCACAGACAGGAGATTATCAAGCCAGGCCCAGAGCCGAACCCAAACGCCTGTAAGGACAAGAGGCCGAGACGTAGACAGTCGGCAAACCCGCGATCAAGACCAGACCCACGCCCGTGTGCAAGGACGACAGGAGACCGTTGAGGAAGAACAACAGATTCAGGACCAGCTAGCAAAAACGATTGAGAAAGCCCAAAACCAACCAATCCGAAGCCAGCCTGTAGAGACAACTGAATCCGCACCGCAGCCAGCCTATCAGCGCGTCCAAAGTCAGCAACCTCCCCTCACCTACAACAACTTCGACCGATTCCGCGAGTATACACCAGCATACCCGCAACGTCCGAAGGGACTGAGCGTTCCCCCAATTGTGCCCTCTGGTGAAACAGACCCGTACAAGGCAGTTCCACCAATCGAGTTTGGCAATGAGAAACTGGATCCTAAGACGATCAATGTCTTCGTGAAAATGTGGGACCGAGACAAAAAGTATACGGGAAAGCCGTACGACCTCCTAGACGATAAATTGAAGATCTTCTACAGCATCTGTTATCACGCAGACATCGAGCCAGGGCAGTTCCATGCAGTCTTTCCACGGATTCTCGACGGCCGCGCAGAGGAGTATTACCTCCACTTCGTCGATCAGCGGATGGATACGTTCTTGACTGCCTACACAAAGCTCAAGAACCACTTCGACACAGACGTCAACCACGGCCATTACTACGCGGACTGGACGACGACATCGTTTGTCAAAGTCCGCAGGGAGAACCCCGAAAAGAACCTCCACGAGGTCCTTGACATCATGCTGGACAAGCTCCAATTGTGTCAAAGAGCACTTGGACAGCAGTACATGGGAGAATACGCGCTCCGAACGACTGTAATCACAGCATGCCGAGGCGTGAAGGAGCTCGAGATGGCACTCTACAAGCCGTCTCTAGAATGCGAGGTTCTGTTTGGAGATCTGCGATCGTCAATCGAAAACTCACTCGCCATGACCGTCTCCGTCAACTTCACTGAGGCGGATACGGATAGCCAGTACTACTTGGATCGTCGGTACAACAACAACAGCTCTGGAAGATTGCGAGGGAATTACAACCCTCGCGGTGGACGCAGCGGATTCACCCGCGGACGCGGTGGGCTTCAGCACCGCTCTGGAGTCAACACACAAATCGACAAGAAATGTTACGTCTGCGGCAAGACAGGCTGTTGGTCCACAAACCACACGCTTGAAGAAAGAAAACGCTCAAAAGCGCAGTACATCACACACTGCGCGATTACGGGAGAGCAAATGGAGTTTAGCACATTTCTCGTCGCGTACGAGGGGGAAGAAGTCGACCAGTTCTTCCTAGAGGAGCAAGACGAAGATGATGAGCACAGTCCGCAACAATCAATTAAGTGGGTCCTAGAAGGTTCAGATTGGATTGATTGATTACCGCTTTAAGCCTAGTAGTTACCTATAGGAGTTTAAGCCCTACCTAGATAGGTAAGTGGGTCTAGGAGAGTGACCGGATTGAATTGATTGTTGCGGAGTCTACCGGGCTCAGACAAGACTCTGTCATCCACATGCTGGCTGCCGCCATCGAAGTTGAGATCAAAGACATTACGTTTGACTACTTCGCCATGCACGACATCTGCTGGGAGCTCTTGGGGAGAATGAGGAACGAGTGCCGTCCTTACATTGCCGAGCGATCTGCTACGCAGTGGGAGAACCAGAAGGATAACTTGCCATTCATCGTTGGCTTCGTATTCTCGACGGCTGCGGGTAGGAAAGATATTGAGACGAAGGGTTTGCCAAACGAGGAGTTGCTCAAGACCGTTACGGGTGTTATGAATGCCTTCTTGGAAGAGGGCAAGGGTACTGTCATTACCGGGCAACCGAGGAAGATTTGAGAGTATCAGTCGCATTCACTTTGCAATCTCATCTCTCACTTGCGGATTGCCGCGTGTTTACCGCTATCGAGTGTGCACGGGCCATACAAAGTGACTGTGACTATGACTGTGGCACAACGTCATCCGACAACTATTTAACAGCTTATTTCCCAACACACCGTGAGCTTTCTGTTCGCCTTTACCTACCTTCGAAGTTAAAGCCTATTCACAGCATACACCGTTACACCATCCACCATGGACACCGCAGAGAGCGGCACTGTCACTGCGCCGCCGCTATCGAGTGCGCAAGCTCCCCCGTGCTTCGTGTGCAAACAGCCTACAACAAAGCACTGCTCCGGCTGCGGTAATGCCCACTACTGCTCCACTGCCTGCCAGTGACAGGATTGGACGATGCACAAGTTTATCTGCAAGTCCTTCGCCACTCTCGAGGCTCGTCCCGGTCCCGACTTCTTCCGCGGTATCTTCTTTCCGCCTGACGAACCCCTCCCGCGCTTTGTTTGGATCAAGTACTACTCCAGTGAAGATTGGACGACCATCGCACCTAACGAGGTCACCGGCGAAATCATGTCCGGTCACTTCCAGCCCGGTACCTGGCCACTAGAGCGCCCAGTCAGTCACTGTCTTGGAATCTTCCACACTGACAGGTATATGACCGATGGATCATCTTTAACCCCGTTCATCACCAAGTGGATCGGCACAGCGTCTGGTACCTACTTCCGCGGCCCCTACCTTGCGCACGGTCATGAAAACGATAATATGGACGAGTATGAGGAGGTGGAGGAGTTCGGACGACCTTGCGACTTGGATACTGCCGACTTGAGCTATCTGCTAGACTTCTTCAAGGCCCAAGGTGCCAACTTCCGCAAGGGTACCGATTGGAACGGTGTCCTCTAAGGATTACCAGGGAGTTGTTCCTGTTCAAAGCGAGCAACAGAGGACTTGGAGGACTTGCATTTCCGTTCCTGGAATTGAAAAGTTGTGATGTCCATGCATGCGACGGGAAATGGCCATGGCACAGATAGCATGAGACACACACAAACACGAATGAGAAATCCAATATTTCACAACAGAGTTTTGACGTTCCAAAGATAAACGTTGTGGAAGCTGTAGCGACGTGGGGCAGTTACCTCACAGCTCGAGTAAGCACCTGCCGTATTGAGAAGGACCCCGCACCCTGTACATAAAGGACCTGCGGCTATCGTAGGTATACAGAAAAGAAGTAAATAGGCATCTTCCCTGGCCATCACCATTATCTCGTCTTCATCTTCGTTTTCTTCGCATCGTTTTTTGGAGTTTGCAATTATGACTTTCGACATCTCAAAGGCGCGCGAGCACTTCCCCGCACTTCAGCAGGACCAGGTGTTTTTTGATAATGCTGGAGGCAGCCAAACGCTCGCATCTGTAATCGATTCGTAGGTATCTAGGATAGTTCATACTGTCTTCGGTCTGACTATTGCGTAGTATATCACAATATCTCTCAAAAACCAATGTCCAGCTCGGCGCCTCGTACCATACCGGCTCCCAGTCAAACACCAAGTATGAACAAGGTTACCAAGCGGCTGCAAAATACATCAATGCAAGACGCGATGAAATTGGTGGGTTATGATCTTCCTTTCGGTATCGCGAAGTCTACTAACAGCCACTTCGTCCTCGGGTCTTCAACAACCCAGCTCTTCATGAACCTCAGCGCCTCCCTGCAATTCCCCTCTGCTTCGGAAATTATTCTTTCTAAGATGGAGCACGAAACTAACGTTAAGCCTTGGCTATTCATGGCCGAGCGTCTCAATCTGACCGTGAAGTGGTGGGAGTCTTCAAAGGAAGATGGATTGAAGCTTACCGCCGCGAATCTCAAACCGCTGTTGAACGACAAGGTAAAATTTGTCGCATGCACACACGTCAGCAACATACTGGGATCCATCCATGACGTAAAGTCCATCGCGGACGCAGTGCATGAAGTCGGTGCGTTATTCTGTGTGGATGGTGTAAGCTATGCACCGCATCGAGCGGTAGACGTGAAAGCATTCGGAGTGGACTTTTACTCTTTCAGCTGGTACAAAGTATGTGGACTGCTTCTTCTTAATCTCCAGTGTGTACGTTCTGTGGTGTACTGATGATGACTCCCAGGTCTATGGCCCCCACATCGCCGTCCTCTATGCCAGCGACAGCGCTCAGCAACACATGAAACCCATGTCGCACTACTTCAACCCGACCAAGACCCTCGAAGACAAGATTGGATTCGCAGGCTCAAACTACGAATGCGTCCAATCCATTCCGGCAATCGTCGACTACCTCTCCGGTGCCTTCCCTGCCATCACCGAACGTGAAGGCAAGCTGCAGACCATTTTGCTTGACTTTCTCAACTCTCGGCCTGATATCACAGTTCTGGGTTCCACTTCTGCTGATAACAAAGAAAGGGTGCCGACAATCTCTTTCACTGTCAAGGGCATGAGCTCGAAAGCTATCGTGGCTGAGGCGGAGAAGATAAGTAACTATGGGTTCAGGTGGGGTCACTTCTACTCCAAGAGGCTGTGTGATGAGGTGCTTGGGCTGGAGCCTGAGGGCGTGACAAGAGTGAGCATGGTTCACTACAACACTGAGGAGGAGATCAAGGGACTGGTGGAGGTGTTGAGGAAGGTTCTGCCACAGGTATAATGCAGCACCTAGTCTGATTGGAATGGTAATTGAATTAGGCTTTTTTCACGCTGTATCTTGCTAGTCGCGCGTTCGTAACAGCTCAGACACCACAACCCCTACTCTCTGCTAAACCTCTTCGATCTCGATCTCGATACCGCCGATAGTGGGTACATCTTCGTCATGACGCGAGCGCTTGGCTGGCTCGCCAGGGCGTGCGGTGAGCAGTTTTTTGAAGGTGTCGAGAATGATTTCGTCGGTGAGGTACTCGTTGCGGAGAGCGGCAAGCGATTGTTGTTCGTGACTATGTCCCTAGCCTCTTACAGCTTTGTCTTGGGTTGTTCTGTGAGGTCAACCGGTCTGGGTAATATAAGGCTTGAATATGTAGAACTGGCTAGTTAAGTACCGTAATGGGGCGTCTCGCTAAGCAAGAATGGCCATTGGAGCGACCGCAGCTCATTTCCTTTGCCCTCCACTCCGATTTGGTACCACCTGGGTGTCATCAACAACTTGAAAGTTTGGGGTAAGCACCTGATCCTGAAGGCTTGGTCTGACGACTACAATGGGCTTCGTACACTAGTATGTCAAGTATCTTATGATACCTAGGTGATCTGTAGATCGCGCCACTTGGTGTCTTACCACTCTGTTCGCCAACTAGTAGACCTCAAAGGCGACGACATTCCTCTCGCGATAGCTTCAGCGGCACATGCGCTCGAGTCCAAGACCGATGGTGGTTTTCTTCCAGACATTGAACGCATGTTCGACCATTACGCCTGTATTAGGATGATATTGCCAAGGGGCAAAGATGAACGGAGACTAATTGCTGCCAGACAGCCTGCAGAGTGGTGGCCATCGTACTTAAGAATGATGAGAACAGGGGTATACGATGGTAGCGAGCCAATATCGAAACAGTGCTGGCTGACCTGCTCGGGTCAACTCTCCACATGGACAAAGGACATTCCCCGCCTCGACAAGATCTGTCGTGAAATCGAGAGTTCACCAACTCTCAACTCCAACGGCCTCAAGCTACCAAGGGCAGAGAAGAACGGCGCCCCTTGGTTATGGGACCCAGAGCACATGTTCGAGAACCCCAGCTGGGACTATCTTCCAAATCTTTTCACCAAGAGGATGGCGCGAATAGACCAGACGTGTGACTGGTCTAACGACCACGATGACGAAAGCAATCAGACACTGTTCCTGACATGTGTCGTGCTATGGTTCAAGCTAGATGGCGGCAAGGACGAGATCCTTGGGCTTCGCATGACTGTGTTTAGTCGTCACGCTCTCCGATTCTCGATTGAACGCGCGCTCCACGTCACACCGGGGTCGATTATGCGATCAGGTTGGAACGCAAAGTACACAGCGTCACTCAGTCAGTACGATGACGCTCAACGGACGATCACCATGGAAAGCTGGATGATGACCGTAGAAAGGGTAATTTCCTAGTCGACACAGCCACAATCGCTACTTGGACGGAAGTCATCCGCGATTTCTTGAGATCATCTGTGTTCTGGATGTCGAGACGCGGTGAGAGCCTTCACTAGTATTCACGGAGAATCAGGCTTCCCGTGCTCAGATTTGCCAGGCACTGATTAGTCAGCTGCTCCGTGCGCGCACCATAGATATTCTCCCTCCTTCTGTAGCTCCAATACAACAAGTTAACGCACGTTTCTCCACCTCCATCACTAGGACTAGTCTCTCTATGGCAAAACGGCTCCCCGGCAAATGAAGGATTCATGCAAATCATGATGGCTACACGCGGCCGCACGGAAATGGAGAGGCTGGTGTTGGAGCAGGAATGTATGAATGCAGATACAGCGTCGAAGGAGCTGAAGGAGTTGAAGGTTAGGTATGGGGAGTTATCGGGAGAGGGGTGGAAGAGGATTTCGGGGTTTGGGACGGTGGAGGAAACGGCGTCGTTGAGGAAGATGAGGGAGTCAAGGTAGAAATTGGAGGAGAGAGTGATCGGATGGCCATCACAAAGATATCAGGCGCCTTTCAAGGAACAATTCGCGTGCTGCTACTTTTTAGATAAACCGCTTTTGTGGGGAGGTGTTCCTAGCGAGTGAACAGTAGGCTCTATTACTGATGATTTTTTAGTTCAAGGCGGGGAACGAATAGCCTACATTCATCTCAAGCCCATCCACAAAGAAACGAAGAAGACGTAAAATCACAAGAATCACCAAACCCATCACCAAATCACTCATGCCAATACAAACCTGACTGTTTGTCTGCCTCCCAGCCTACCACAATCACTTCTAAACTTTCCAGATCCACATCTCAACCACAACTACGCCTTTGTCCCAACCAAATTCCCTTTCCAAGTCCCCCAAAACCCAGACTAATCCCTCCCAAGCCAGTCACCTCAAAATGCCCACGCAAACCCCCCAAGCCCAAGCCCAAGAGCCTGAATACGACTCAGATACATTACACTACCTCTCCCGCATCCAAAAGCTAAAACTCTACCGTCGTCAACCAACCACATATGCAGTAAAAACGACACCCATTCCACCAAAAGAAGAACACTCCACCTCTCACGACTGTTCGAATAAAGAGCCCCCCACCACCCCCGCCTACTCAAGCAAAGAAACTTGCACCACACACGCCCTATACTTTTCCGCTGCTGATGTAGCCACAGCCACAGCCACATCATCATCATCATCATCATCATCAAGAGAAAAGAGCAAGAGAGGCTCAGCTACGAACGCATTAACCACACAAGCTGCGCGTAGCCTATGATCCTCACATTCCAGTCGACAATTTTTCTGCTAGTTTCAGTTACGGGAAGAGACGAGATAGATACAGTGCGATAATCACCTAGTTTGAGAATTGAAAAACATGTATCGGGCGTCAGTCAGTCGGTCGGCATGGGGTAGGTAGACTGGCTCGTCCTCGCACACTACAGCACACCATACTACACATCAGGATACCCTGGAGATCAGTCCAGGAAAGACACCAACACTCACAAGACACACCCTTACACCAAACCACCTACCACACTTCCCCCGCATACCACTATATTAATTCTCAAACATCACCACCACCGTCGTCGCATGCATTTCCTCTTCTCCCGTCCTCCTTCTCCATCAACATCTACATACACCTACTTCCTTCCCCCCAACCCAACCCAAACACAATACACAACCACCACCCACCCACTCCAGCCATCCATACAATCCCACCCACCCATCCCCACACATTGACACTGCCACGCAAAAGCCTAAGCGTGGGGCAGTCAGTGCGCAACGGCTTTTTCCCGAACCATTCACCCCCCCCCCCTCCCCCCCCCAAAAAAAGAATAAAAGGCGAAACCGGGCTGTACATAAGTACCGGCGTAGCGTGCAGAAATGTACCGTATATCATATGCCGCGGCGGCGGCGGCCGGTGAATCATCGACTTATGCGGCAAGTCTGCATGTGCATGTTTCGTCTACTTGCTAAAAAGTAAAAAGCTTGCAGCGCGGTGCAGTGCGGGGCGGGCTACCGTTGTATTCCCTCGTAAAGCAAAACCACACGGACGAGAAAAAAAGCGGGTGATTGTTTGAACGAGGTAAAGAAGAAGACGACGATGTAATTTTGTAGTTATGTGAGTGATGGACGGCGGACGTAAAAGCAGGCCATGTAGCTAGCTACCAAAACACACATCATCACATCACATATCCCAAGTTTCCACCATCTGCCTCATCGACCTAGCTACTACGTATCAAAGGAAAAAAAGTTACAAAAAAATAACGCTGCGTACTTTCGTAAATCAATCAATACATACTTCCATCATCATAAGCGTCGTAGCTCTTTTGCTTGCCAACACATCAAGCCCGCTTTTTACTTTTTCGCAGAGAGAAAAGAAAAAACAGACAGAAAGGCACACAACAAAAAAGCAAAAAACAAACAAGAACGAGAACGAGAACCATCATCCTGCCACGTCGTAGATCCAGCCAACAATCGACAACAATCAAGGGTATTACATCCACCAACCAACAACGACAACGACAACAAAAAAAGTCCGAAATGCCTCCGCGAGGAGCAGGTATAGTGCAGAGTAAAGAGGCATAAAGAAGTTTCGAATAAAAAAGCGCGGAGCGGAGAAAGGCGACGGGGCGGCGGCGGCAGCGGGAAGGGCAAAGGAAAAATGTACAATCTGGGTCCGATGTCCATCCAAAAAGGGCGCTTATCGCCCTGCCCTGCACGCATTGGGCGTTGTGGTGTGCGTGAGCAGTTTTCCAATCTAGCAAACAATAACAATGTGACCTGCACTGTTTCGCGCGCAGCCAAACATGCAACATGGAATGCGAGCGGGAAAATCGAACCAAAATTGATGAATCAAGGATAAAAATCGAGCCGAACTTTTTTAGGCAAACCATGCAAGCCCATTGAAAGGCTAACGGAGTCCGCCGGAAGCTTTTCGTCTGAATTTTCCGCCCATAACGAAAGGAGATGAAAATAGCAGTTTTGGTGCAAATGGAACCGCAGATAAGACATGGAAAAACATTCAACTGGGTCGTATGCTACCGTAATGTGCACAAGTGCTGGATTTTCGGAGAGCCCTATGAGGTATAGGTGGTGGCGGTATGAGCCCGGCGACGTAGAGGTCGCTGGGCAACATCCCGTTCATGCTCTCGTACTAGTCTGCTCTCACGCCTACGGTGGCTGCGTCCGCTCGTCTCAGTCATTTCCTCTGCCTGTCTCCGTGGGTCTCGAACCAAAGCCATCTTATCGCCCGAGTTGCTTCCCCTGTCGCTGCCGTTGTATTGGCTCTCTCCACGGCCACCGCTAATGACGAGGTCGGCCATGCCGTTCTCTGCTGGAATCATGCGAAGCGTGCGACCTTCCATATCGCCGTTGAATTGCAAACTGAGTGGTGCGTTTGCATCGACTCGGAGACGAATCTCATTGTTTGCGTTGGCAACGGCAGTGCGGTTGGACTGGCTGTGCTTCTCGCTCCCAGAAGAGCCGGAATGAGAGGGCATGGAGGGAACCCTCGAAGCCTTCTTGGCGGCGCTGTGGATGTGGTCGTTGAGTGGATTATGAGTGCCGCGCTGAGCACTGATGTACTCTTCGGCAGCACTCTCAATCCGCTTGATCTTGTGTTCACCCACACGTCCTTTGCCTTTGCCTGCATCTGTTCCGCGGCGAGTGCGGGCCGGAGGGGCGGGAGCTTCGGGAACGTATTCTTCCTCGTCATCTTCCTCGTCATCTGAGCCGCTGTAAAATGCTCCTGGAGCATCATACATGACCTTTGAGTTGCGGTTTGAGCGTTTACGCTGCTGCTCCTCAGCCTCGTACTGGGCAGCAAAAGCGGCTTCGGCTGCTTTCCTCGCAGCCTTTTCTTCGCGTTGTCGAGCCTTGGCCTCTTTGGCCTCTTTGGCAGCTCGGCGGTCTGCTCTCTCTCTCTCCTCGCGGTAGGCTTCGTAGTTGTAGGCAGTGTCGTAAACCTGGGCGGACCTGCGTCGCTCACTCTTTTCGCTCCTGTTCACCACCACCTGAGCACCACCACGTGCGGGGTACTCGGACTGAACCTGTCGCTGCAGAGAGACTGGTCGGCTGACAGACTTGCGGCGCTCAGCGACTTGTGCACTGCGCTGTCGGCCGGCATCCTGGACGACAAGAGATTGGCGACGAGAGCGATCTACGTCGACAACCTGGGTAGTGTTGGCATGACGCATGGTGGGCCGCTGGGGTTTCTCCTTCTTGCTCTTCGACTTGGCCTTGGGAGCAGGAGGCGGTGGCATGATTGCACGTCCGTAACGCTCGTCGGTGGGCTCCGGCTCATAGTACTCGTCCTCTGAGTAGTCACTCTCGCTGGCACTCTCGCTTTCGTAGGCTCCGGACTCGATCTGCAGCGTTGTGGGGAACCTGGTCTGGGTGGCGCTTGCACTCTGAGCCTGGTGGCGCCTGGCCGAGTATGGGTCGCGAGGCGGGGCTTGGGTAATGACAGGCTTGGGCCCATTGCGTGCCATGTTGTTGGCATGGCGGACAGGTCTTTCCTGACCATCGTATCCATATGGTGGCATTGGATAGCCGTTAGCTGCAGGGTAGGGGGCGTGAGGGCCCATGTTGGGCATTCCGTATCCCATGTTTTGGTAAGCCGAGTGTGAAAGCGGAGGGCCGTGCGGCTCCTGGGGTGGGCTGGGGTATGGGTTACCCATGTAGTACTGGGGGCCTTCACCGCTGTAACTCATGGGGCGAGCGGTAGATGATCTGCGAGGGCGAGCGGTAGCGGGCTGGACGACGACCTGTCCCTGCTTGTAGTATTGGGTTTGATGACGAGCCTGGGAGGGCGAGGGAGGCGACGGGTAGTAGGCGGGATCAGAACGCATGGAGCGTGTGTCCTGCGTGTTGATGGACAGACGGTTGACCTCTTTGGCGGATTGAGACGGCTGCAACTCAGGCCGGGTCACGGTAGGTCGACGGCGAAGGGGGGGAGCACTGCTCTCCTCGAGTCTGCTGTCGCGGCGGGTGCGGTCCGGGCGGTGCTCTTGGGTGATGGTGGGCCTACGCTTCTCGGCGGCAGGCTTGGTCGACGTCGAGGCGGAGCGCGACAAACCTCGTGGGCGTGAGGTGCTGCTGGAACCGTTTGGTCGTGCGTCGGACTGGGTTGGGCGGCGAGTCTTTTGGGGCGGCGGCGGTGCGTCGGGTAGCGGAGGGGGAACAGCTTGAGGCTGAGCAGCGACGTGTTGAGTCGATTGTTGCGAAGGAGCACTTTGAGTCGAATTAGTGCTGCTCGAAGTGGCGGCGGTGTAGCTGCTGTACCCTGAGTCGGAGCGAAGGTCGCAGTTGGGGTGCGCCCTCTCCTGAGCGGGCGGCTTTTCTTTATCCAAGTCCGAGGGATGCGAGCGCTTGGTGGAGACGTTAGCGGCATTGGGCGAACTGCGGCCCTGGAAAGACACGGGACCGTCACTGTCGTCGGAATGGTAGTCCTCGCAGGTGGGCTGCAAATCCTGTGCGCTCGCCATTGTGACGGGCGCAGTGTTTGTTTTGGGGATGGTGAAAGTGTGCGCTGGTCGAGACAAGAGAAAATGGCAGAAATATCTAGCGGCTGTTGATAATAAAGCGTTGCGGGGCGATCCTTGACAGTCAGGCGAGACGTCGCGAGCGCATTATTAGCACGGGCGTTGGGAGGGAGGCTGCTACCGTCTCATGTCCGAGGGATGAGTTTAGCAGACAGAGTCAAGTCAAGACGTCAAAGACGGGGAGTGAGGGTGAGGGCTTGGGACTAAGGGGGAATGGGAGTGGGTGTGGAGGTGGAGGAGGAAAAGAGCAGCAGCAACAACAGCGCAGCCTGAGACGGAGAGGATATGCGAGGTATGACGGGCAGAAAACAGTTCAGGGTGGCAGCTGGCAGTGGCAGTGGCAGGCATGCAGGCGCAGGCGCATTTCGGGCGTCGACACCAAACTTTTTTTCCCCCGCCCGCCCGTAAAAAATCAAAACGGGCTGGTACTATACGCTGGTTGCGAGCGGTTGACACAGCCCTGGCTGCTGCATGCAATGCGTCTAATCGTTGGGCGCGCACAACAGCCGTCGCTGCCCAGTCAACCTCTAGGCCGGCGTCGACAAGGCGTCGCGCATTCTTGTAACGCAGTAGCCGGGACACACAAAGCCATGAGGGATGCATGGCTGCAGTGACGACAACGATGCATTCCAGTCGTCTTTGTCGTCTTGTTTGGACTGGTGAAGAAGTGTGAGGCGGCGGGCAATCTGCGACGGTTTCGCAGTTGCATGCCTCCACTATGCCTCCCCCTGCACCCTGTCCACCACCCTGTCCGAGTGCCCGTCTAGTCTACTCTTCCAACATCGCCCATCATCGCCCACCCTGATGCTGATCATAGTCGTCCTCGTCGTAAGAGATTAAGAATAGCCAGCTACCAGGCCAGCCTCTATTGGCTGCCTCAAATGCGCAACATCCACCAGTTTGAGTGGTCATGAAGCTCTCCCGGTCGGCTCAGCTGAAACCGGGAACGCCCGGCTTGATATCTCTTTGTTCACCTGTCGAATTTACTCATAGTACAAGACTACACACCGCCTCGACTTGCTTGGCGTTATTTATCGTGTATTACACTCGCGGCCCTCGACATCTGCTTCCGCACGGTGAACGGTTGCAGGGCAGTTTCTCCCTAGTCTGCTCGTATTCCCACGGCTGCAGTTCACGTCATTGAGCCGCTCACCAGAATTTTCTTCTCACCACCTAAGCCCCTTCCTTTCTGGCGTGGCCACGTCAATCGCGCCTGCCATGCAGGAACAACACAGCATTCTCAACATGGTCGTGGCCGCAACCGTCCTCATTAATGCCTCCTGGACGCGACGCACAATATCTGTCCTTTTGCCACCGCCATCTCTTTTCCCGAGCCCTCGAGCCTGACTGGCGAGCCCCAAAACACGACGACGCAATTCTCAAATCACGCCTGTCCACACATGCCCTGTCCCCAAGCTAACCCTCCGCACCCAGCAGCAGCAGCAGGACAGCGTATCGGTGTAACAAGCCCATCGAATCGCCTCGGACGCAGCTTCCATCACGCGGCCCGGCAAGCGTTGCTTACCAAGTCTAGCCTACACGACCCCACTCCACCAAGCTTCCGGTGAGCAGAAGCAGACGCACCACATCGAGCTGCCCATTGACCTTTTCCCGTCTGGCCAAATTATGATGAGCATCGAGATTGATGACTGCGACTGGGAACTGGATCCGCGCATTTACGGCACTTTGCTTTTGTTGCCTCGTACTTGGCCCGTTATCGTGACCGACCTATGCTGTCATCACACACGGAAATCGCGACACAGAGGAAAACACCGCATCTCGGTCTTTCCTCGTCTCCCCACCTTGCTGCAAACATAGTCGCCCAAGATACACCACGCCGGACTGCGACTTGGTGCATCTGCTGTATCTCTGCAATTCGCTCGTCCTCGTTATCAAGACGAGTAGCGCAGCGGCCTGACGTGCTCTTGGGCGAGTCCCCATCCAATGCTCCCACACCACCACACATGACGTTGAATCCGTGTTACCGTGGCTGCAATTCGAATCCTGAACCTCAACTCTGAACCCGCAGTTGCGCCATGGGCTAGCCATTGATCCCATGCCCCACCCCGCTCTGGCTCACCTGCGCCTGCAGCAACCTGCGCGACATCAGCTAGTGCCAACCACCAAGTCTGTTGCACATGTTGGCCGCCATCTTTTCTACGTGACATGCCTCGATTCTGCACAAGAGTAGCCAACGATTTCTGAACTGAGCCCTCACTTTCCCCATGACCCTCGTCCACCGACGTCTGATTAGACTCTTTGTGCGACCGCCAAAACCTCCACCCTGAGCCTTTTCGGCACATGGAGACGCCCTGCAGATATCACCATGTTTGGCTGAAGCCTGTCTCAGATCACACATGCGATATCGGCAGCCATTGTGCAACTGCAACCTCGTCATCTGTTTGCAAATGAGCCTCAAGACGCCCGACGGGCAGCGACACGTCAAACCATAACCTTTGCTACGACAGTAGAAGCCGCAGCTGAAGTATCAATTGACGAGTGTGTAGGCTAACGTCGCAAGTCCGTCCGTTTCAGACTCATCCGCCGTCCACGAGGCTGCAACTACCCTACCGTTGTCTGCCACTACCCAGCTCCTTCCGGGATACTCCGGGCGGAATTCCGTCACCAAGCCATCTTGTCAGTCTTGGCACTTGCATCTTTCCCATTGTCAAAGTCATGCACACAATCCATATTCCTTCTAATTTTTACTTTCGCATGCTTCCGCTGGAGAGGTGGTCTTTGCCCGTTGGCCTAGCGCTGCCTAGGTGGAGGAACGCGTGGGACGGTCGTTAAGCGACACCCACAGCAAATCCATCTCGCTCGCACCCGAGCGAAAATACCTTCGACTCTCTAGCGCATAGCGCCAATATACCGATACACTATCCAGCTTCAGTGGCGCCGCGCATTTCCTCTCTAAATCCCTTGCAATACCCTACGCTATACATACGACTTGTGACTCACCAACCAGCAAGTCACGTCGACGGAATCCTTCGCTGCCCAAAAGCGCCCCGATTGGGTTCCGAACGCATGGTTTTGCGGCTCATGGCTGCCCTACGAACCCACATCTAGCACTGTCGCTGTGGTCAATCGGCTCGGTATGCCCAAACGACCCACCCGGCGGCTATAATGGGCGAAAAATTATGCCCTGCGACGTCAACTACAGGTACCACGCGACGACGTGAAGAGCAGAGTGACATCGATGACTGAAAACACTGCGAATCACGCTCCAAGTCGGCATCTGAACAATAGCCCGAAACATCAGCTCAGCCTCACCCTTCGTCTTGTTCTCTCGGCACGACACATGGCAGCCAACTTGTCGTCATATTTTTCCGGTACTCTAGTTCCTGGTATCGAGCTAGGCTGAGGTAAACTTGATGCGGCCATACCAATACCATGCAGAGGCCCAAGTGGCGTCCGCGTCCTTCACGCCTGCGTGTGCATGGGCTTTCCGGCGCGCGGACGACAGGCTTCCCCCCGGCGCTGCAGTCTTTCTTTCGGCTGGCGACTTTGAGGAGTCATATCCTGTACGCTTGTCTGCTATCGTGTAGCGTCGTGAGTGGGGCCGTGCTGCCATCTTGTCTCACATTGGTCACGATGGTCTTTTTTACGCTGCGTCCGCCCATCTCAGCTGCTCACTTGCGGCTCTTTAGTCCGGGATTCTAGTGGCTGGGTCCCAAGGATTCGAGAAGGTATGGTAGGTCGGGCTCGGGCCCGGGAGCTAATCAGATTATGACGTAAAGGTGTATTCCAAGTTTACAAGCAGCTTTCTTCATTCATGCCAAGGCTGGGGTCTAGTACGAGGTCTGTCGCCGTTTCATCTCCCTGAGCTCGTTTACTCCAGTAGTTGTCGGTTCCTGCTCTTGGGGAAGATGGGGCTAAACAAGTACAGTGTGACTCATGGCTGTTCTGCTAGGGATGCCTGTAACACATATACAATGCGCTGGACGAAGTGGTCATTTGCCCTCTTCCCTTCAACAACTTAATGGATGAAGCGCCATGGTAAGAGGAATTAGGCAGTATGCAAAGCCCAAGTCTAGTCAGCCCGCGTAGGATTAGAAGCGTCGTGATCTGATGCATGCATCCAAACTAGCCGAAGCATTCCCGTTATCTCGGGATCTGACACACACTGCTTCTCTTGTTCGAACTACTGGTTAAATGTTCTCTCGCACTCCTTGATTGATTCATTTAGATTACCAGCATCTCCTTCCAAGTCTTGATGGAACTCGATCGCCGTATTTCATCTGCTCCTACCTCACACTACTAGTAGCTGATGCTTCAGTTACGAAATCGCATCGAGAGTACTAGAAAGGCCAAGACTACGATTGATTCCTTTAGATCTTACTTCTGATAATCACATGTAGCTTACAACACACAACACTCGCGGCCTTATCTATTACGGAAGCGGTTCAAAGCGTCGTGTCTGCTTTTAAGACCCAACTGATACCGTTTGGAAACATACAAGGTGTTGTAGGCTGCAAATTCTAGTTTTCCTGTTGGTCTTGCTGGATTAAAAATAAACTGGAGTACAACAAAGGGTGAGAGTATAGTCCATGGGGTGTGCCAATGGGAGATTAGAAGTCGCGGATCAGTATACGACATGCCAGGAAACAGCTCGCATGGAATGAACGAGTTCACCGGTGCTCCGCCGCTTTACGCATCATCTTGAGCAATCAGCGACAAGAACCATGGCCGCCACACAGTCTCCGCCCAGTCCATAAGCCATTGTAGCACTGCAACAACCTTGAGGGTATCAAAACAGTTCCGTGTACTTCCAATCATGATCATCTCCCTGAAGGTCAACCCTTCTTTGTTCTTGGTGACTATCAGCAGGTGCCACTCATGGCCTTGTGAGATGAGCACTGGTATCGCTGGCCAGTCCTTATCTGGGCCTTTCTTACAAAGTAACTCGCATCCATGCAGCCAAGCATCCATCCAGATCCCAACCTGTGCTTTGCCGTCTGTCCACGACTTCATAGGGCCCTTGGTCTCGATGTTGATGGTGATAGGCATTTTCTGTGCTACGGTCGTGATGTGATCCCAGGACTTTACGGTTTCTTCAGTCAGCGGTTGGAGGGACTGGTAGGCGGTTTTTATTGTAGAGTCGGGCTGGAGGCGGATGGCGTAGTCGATTATACGACTGGGTAATTTCTTATTACTAATGAGAGTTGGAGGGTTCGATATGGACGGATTGCCTGAATGATGTTAGTCAGCCTTGACAGCTGGAAGTTAGGGTAAGAGAATGAGCACAAGCTTACACTGATTGCAAGGAGAGCGTTTTCGAATAACGACTTGTCCTAAGTGCTACCTGAAGCAATGGATGATGAACAGATGCGTTCCAAGCGCTCTCGATTCCCCCTGTATCATCATTCAACAACCGTGCATCGCAGACGATTCTGGTAATATCGTCAATTGAAGACGTTGCTCCATACCTAGCACGTCCAGCATCCTTGGCGCTTGGGTACTGTATCAAGCCAGCTTGACTTGCTTGTTGACATCTCTGCAGCTTGGGAAGATGGGCAATTGATGCCTTGAAAGCGTCTGTGCTATCGCTGTCGTAATCCAGTATCCCCATATCCCCACTCCGTCGGCCAACATTTGGGCTGCTGTGTGCATATGAGTGACGCTCTCAGGCGCTTGGCCGACTCTTTCCATGTTGTAGAAATCGACAAAAATTACAGGTCGGTCGGAATCCTCAAGGATCCGGATTTGTCTAACAGGGCTGTACTTTCCGCTGTTGTGCGATTGAAATGAAGAGGTAGAGTCGTTTTCTATGGAAGACGTAGTTGGTGGGAAGTGTGGACTGTCTTCGAGGATGTTGCGAGCGCGCTTCTGGGGAGGAAATTCATCGCCGGCATTAACATCCTCATTAAATGGGGTTCCCAAGTCTATGTCTGTAGAGTGCAGTCGCTTCTTCTTCGGAGTACTGATACTTATGTTAGCTGTAGATATTACGCTGGGAAATGAGTAGATGGGTACCCTGTGGACGAACATGCAGACACGCTGTCAAGCCATAAGGAAATTTTAGTCTTGAGCGATGGTGCTGTAGAGGACATTGTTGTGCTGATGTGTAGAGTTCAGGATTTCAGCGTGGCACTAAAGCTGTAAAGTAGTGTTTGATGTCAATGCCCAAGTGTTACATTACGCGTGTGGTTATGGTTCATTTATATTCAGCAGTTGCGATGCGCTTACTGTTTAGCGTTACTTCTACAGTACTACGTCATTTCCAGCCATACTATCACAACCATGCACCAAGAAGTGAATTAAGCATGTAAGGAGGGCTACTTGAGTTCCCTTAAGTGTCTACTAGGATCACATGCTCCGTACGTGTATAGCTTAGATATTGATTCATACTAATAGTTCTTTATGATTGCGACCTTGCTGCGTTGATGTAGTCATCTGAGAACTTTTGGATGTGGTAGTTTTAAGAGGTACCTTAGGTTGACTATACCATGGTATCAGTATCTAGCAGACTCCGCAACAATCAATCGGATCGGCATGATTGATTCCTATCTAGGTTAAAGGCTGCCTAATAAAGTAACTCTTTAACCTATATAGGAATCAATCATGTCGATCGATTGATTGTTGCGGAGTCTGGTATCTAGACGTTAATGCTCCCGAGGGGTTCACAGGAATGATGGCTATCATACCCAGATAGGCTGACGGGTAGTTGATGACTTCGAGCCTGCTTACCAAAGGTCGACTTTTGGTAAGACAAGATAGATGAAGCAAGCGTGGAAGTGGTCGAGATCATCATCTCGAGGTTGCATGACTCGAAAAATACAGTTGCCCCAGTTATCAATAACCTTATTCAGGGGAAAATCTTCGATATAGCTTATGGTGTTATTGCCATAGAGAACCACCTGCAGCCCTTGTGTTCTATCTACTGTAACATGATCGAGCTGTACAGCCGTTCAGAATCAGCTTTCGCAATGCCACCACCAAACAACTATACTACAACCTTATTCATCTCTATACTCTAGCCTATCTATCAAGCAGAAGATGGTGATCATGGTCTGATATCAGACGAGGTCTGTGGCTCCGAGTAGCTGGGTCTAGCATGTGTACTCGCGACCTATGCGATCTTCACTCCCACCCGGATGACATGAGATACTCAACATACTGGCGTACAAAGGTCACTGTATGCGCCAGATATGCGTGCTGTGTGCTCACTTACACTGTCAAGTATTCTATGTCAAAGGTACTCCTATACTTCACGACCTACTTTACTATGAGGGAGATAGGGGTCTTGTGACAGATTTAGTCCTTGTCTGTACTTCTTCAAGACTCAGCATATGTGGCGTACTCGCTCACAACTTTTTCAAGTCACGGGCATATTGCGTTTGACCATTGCAATCACTCAGCATGTCTCGCGTACTTGACATGATCCATTGATATCTCTATATTGAAGCACACCCCTCCCTATGTTTTCCATCAATCTATTCACGATGGCACGATGGAACAATTCAGCCATTGAGGGCACTCGAGTCTTGGGTGTATAAAAAGCCTCGAAACGACCATTGTTCACCATTAAGATCGCATAGCCGCGCTATATATATTCTATACACTCATTCTCATATTCCAGCTCGAGTCCTCCATCCCTTCCAAGATCGTCACTCGACAAAATGACAGACTCCGATTACCACCACCATGCACACGAGAAGAAGCCTTTGACCTTCTTCGCCTCCCCACTTGCCAGCGACGAGCATCTCGATGACGCCATGCAGCACCAACCTTCCTCCCGTAACAGCAGCGGAAACGACGATGAAAAGAACCCACACCATGACCCCGAAGCCGCCCTCCCCCCTCCGTCGACCTCACTACCCAGACCCACCACTCCACCCCCACTTTCCACCGCCACGCAGAAGCCACAACCCAAGAGCTCTTCTTTGACCTCTATAAGCTCTCCCCCGATCACCGCCTACCTCCACCTCCACTCCACTAACAACCCTCACTAGTCTTCGTCGCAAACCTCACAACATTCACCTCCCTCAAAGAAATAAACGACTCCGCCTCCCTCCGCGCCTACATCGGTTTCTTCGCCCTCCTCTGGCTAACCTGGTACTCAAACTCCCTCTACCACGTACGTTTCACCGCCGACTGCATCTTCGAGCGGATAGCAAAAGCGCTTCACTTCGGCGTCATGATTGGTTTCGCCGTTGTGGGACCTGCATGGGAACCTGGGAAACCGTCGTATTCGCTCCAGAAATACCAGGTTTTGTCCTTCATACTTATGGTTAGTAGATTGGTTCTTGCGGCCCAGTATGATATGACGCTTTACTTTGTACGCCGGTATAAAGATACGATATTGCCGTTGGGTCTGGTGGTTGCGAGTACGCTGACGGCGGCGGTGCTGTATGGGGGCATTACGGCGGCGTTGCCAGCGGAACAGTGCGATGTTGTAAGAGAGGTGTGTAAGCCGTTCCAGACGCGGATTCATGTGGCGTGGTATATTATCAGTATCGCGGAGATTGTTGTGACGGTGGGTATAAGTTGTCATTGGCGAGTCATCTCGTTCAAAGGAACGCATATACAGCAGCGAACGAGTTTGCTTACCTTGATTGTACTAGGCGAGGGGATTATTGTCATCTGCAAGGCTGTGTCAAAATTGGTCAAGATTGGGAGTTATTTTGATAGTAGGGTTACGGGACAGATTGTTGCGGGACAGATTGTTGCGGGACAGATTGTTGCGGGTGTGGTTATTATTGGTAAGTCCTGGCTATATCCCCTACCGCAATTGATTTTCTGGTTCCAGGCTAACACTTCGAATAGACCTCCTTTACATGCTCTACTTTGACCGCATGCACGAAGACCACTTCGGCACCATAAAACAGCAAATCTGGGCCTCCCTCCACTTTTTCCTCCACATCATGCTTGTGCTCGTGCTACAAGGCATATCCTACCTAATAATGTGGGTTGTCGCCCTCCTGCGTCTGGACCGCCTCGACACCCGCTTCCGCACCATCGAAGCTGCCTCCGTCGCCTTCTCCTACCCCAACGGCACCGACTTCGCTAACACGCTCCGCAAAAACATCGATACCTATCTCTGGAACACTGTTCCCAAGGGAGTTGACGCAAGTAAAGCCCTGGGGGTCTGGAATGCCAGTTTAACAACCCTGGCGCAGGGGTATGATGGTATGTTGCACGATAGAAAGAATATGAGTGCGGTGGCAGTCATGAAGCAGAGTTTGAATATAGCGGAGAGTATGGCGATTCAGACTATGTTTGATAGTTTGGGTGTGTCTGTGCCGAAGGATGAGGCGGGGTATGCGGACGTTGTACCGGATAAAGCGAAGGCGCTTGATAAGATGGACCTTCTGAAGAAGTATGAGAAGAGGTTTGAATTGGCGTTTGATTATGTTTTTCTTTCGGTAGGTTTTCTTCTTTCCTTTACCACGCCTACCATCTGGATACCGGAGCTAACTTGCCCATTTAGGCTGGCCTTGCTCTTACTTTCATAGCATATATCGCGTTCCTCTCTCTACAACAGGAAAGACGCCATCTGTGTGAGTACCTTCGCCTCCTTGTCATGCTCGTCACTGGCTTCACTATTTGCCTCATCTGTCTCGTCACCACAAACAAGAAAGAGCAAAAGGTGTACATGGAGAGTGCGTGGATGCTGCCGACAATTTGTATCTTGTTCTTTCTTTGTGTGGTGGCGAGGCATATAAGGAGGCCGAAGTGGATGAAGAGGGAGAAGGCGGAGTAGAACAAGTGAGATACACAGAGAAATGATGCTAGTTCGAGAAGCATACATCGGACGTTGAGATGGGGTAGATAACGCTTGGCGGCTATTCTGCATACACGAAGATAGCGGATGTAGCCGGATCCCTTCTTCAGACATGATCTCGGTATAAATAGCCGTGGGCTTGTACCTATGTGGCAAGTTCATACATTTCGTGGCTATCCCCATTCCGGAAGACCTTCATCAGTAATACCCCCGTCCCGCTCTCCGGAAAAAAAGTGTTGGCAGTGACGATCCGATCAACGACAACCTTTAGATGCTGTTGTTCCTGCCAGGCGCTACAGTTCCCGCAATGCTCTGCCTTTTTTACTAAGCACTTTCGTTCTCGCAAGGCCCCCTTATTCTCACTAGGATATGTCGCCCTTACTAGGCACTATGATTCTCGCGCGGCGCTGTTGTTCTTACCAGCCGCTGCGGAAGCTGAAAAGGTACTTGACCGAGGTAGCCACACGACCATGAGTCGTGTCTACGAGAAACATCGCTAATATTCCGCGGTGTATCTGGTAACCTGCAGGAAAGGTGCTTTAATTGGTGGTATATCTGGGAGAAGGCAGCCGGTAAAGTCCTGTAGGCGTGTGTTTGCATTTTGACGGCGTTATGGAGGTTTAAAAGGTGATAGTTGCGCCGCAAATGCGAAATGAGGCCGGATGGCGCATTGACCCGGACCGCGTATTACGCCGTAGACTACGGACCACGATTATGGGCGGTCTCACCTGTCATCATTTGTCAAATTGAGGTTGCAATACTATTGGTGGAAGCTTTGACATGTTGTATTGGAAGGGCAGAAGGTAGAGCGAAGTTCAAAGCGTTCGAAATAGCGGTGTGCTAGAAAAGGTTGTGAATACACTCTAGGAAGAAATCTATATGAAATCCAGCAGCAATGCGAATCCGAAAGCTCCGCTAGCAGACGGAAACATCAAGAAAAGCTTTTGGTGCCAAGTGTGGAGAAATCGTGAGCTTGTATTTATTTCTCCGCTGGACTCAGGCATAAAACACGACAGTGGTAGTACCCGAAGCTTGGGCTCATACCTAAACCGTGGACTCGGACAGATCTAAACTGATTCATCTATTCATCCATATCTGAACCAGATTAGTGGGGTGCAGATAGGGTTAGCATGACTTTGTTCAATGTTGATAAGAAGGGCGTCCTCCAACGCCCATTTCCTTCATTCTCCTCATCCCCAACTCAACCCTCCACCTGACAAATACCACCCGATTTTCAACACTATCACCATGCAGATTCAAGCAATCGTACTCGCCTTGGTCGCCACGACCTACGCTACGGTAAGCATCTTTCTTTGAGAGAGCATTTCCAGAGACTGATACTTGAGATCCAAGTCATGCTACAAGCACCAGGAAAAGTTCCTCCCGAGCCACGCCGAAGTGCATGCTGGCGGTACCACAACCGAAGACTGGTCGTACTGCCCAGACGAAAACGGATGTTGCTCGGATGGTAAGACGTTTTACCGCTGCAAGAACGTAAGTCGTGCTCCTTCTCTGTCTTTGGGAGCGATGCGCTAACGATGTGCAGTTCTGTGCAGCTGGTAGTTCCTGCACTATTTTTGCTACCGGGTCTTCTTGCTAGGGCTGTGTCAAGTGGACAAAAAGTTCGCATTGTTGGAGACATGTAGATAAAGTTAATGGATTTATATTTCGACAGATAAATTAGTGTTTCAGTACAAGCAACTAATTGTTCTTGTACAACCACGTGGCAATCGCACTTCATGTCCCTAATTGAGTGCAGCCGTGGAAACCGCCCGCCGCCTTTCTAATCTCCTATCACAGTTAGCCGCACACGCTAATAGAACGATCGCAGAAATCACAAACAATCTCCTTGGCCGTCTACAGACCACCTTTCAAGCGGCTTACGATATTCCAAGTAATGGCGCACCACCTTCCTGACATCTTACGGCAGCGCTGAAGATATGTAGGAACAATCCACCGCGTTACGACGGCCACCCCCTTGAAGATGGCCTCCACAATCAGAACATTCCGCTTCCTTATTGCGTCGCAAATTATGCGCCTTCACGGCACACTGATTGCCAACGCCACCCCAACACAGCCGTTTTAGCTAGAATCAGCTGTACAGTCTCCAATAATTACCAAGCACTACACGGGCGAAGAAAATCTGTTCCTTGTCGCAGCATCTCTCTCGGAAAAGATTATGAAGAATCACCCTTACCAAGACGCAGAGAAGTCAACAAACAAAACAACCAACATTTGAGGCGTAGATGTTGATTGACTGGCTCATTTCTTAGGGCTACAGTTTGTTTGTTTGAGTTGATGAGACTGAAGAGCCAATTTTTGGTTGGTTGATTGATTGAATATTGATAGACTTAAGGTTCTGAAGGGACGTTTCTATGACAATTCTGCAGGCGGCTCTTCCCACGTTCCTATCGCAAACTCTTCCGTGAGCTCCTCATCAGTATGCTTTGCTGCTGTTGTCGTGCTTGGTGTTGTAAAACCTGCACGAGTCCACCGTTGCAAGCACACCAAAGCAGCCAGTAACTGCGCGCCAATTTTCCGCCTTTGTGGCTCAATTATATCGCCAGTTCCCGCAAAAACGCGCTCACAATCAGAGCTGGAGGCGGGTATAGTCAACACGTCGATCGCCAATCGTGAAAGATGTGGATACTTCGGCTTCAACGATAACCAGTACTGTACAGCTGTTGGACCCTCCTTGTGTTGATCAGACGTCCACATAGGCTCTTTTAACCAGCTATCGTACTCATCCTCCACCTCCAATGTATGCTCGCCGTCCTCATCTAGTATAGCGTCGATAGCGTCGTCAAAGCTGCTCATGGTAGGTTTTGGCGCAGGGGTTGGTGTTGTGGCAGCAGCGGCAGGCTTGTAGGCAGCCCAAACCCGCAGAAACTTCGCGTGCGCGGTGCTCAATTGTGTAGGTTTGTCGCGCCAGAAGCGCTTAGAGTATGTTTTATATCGTGGATGTAGTGCCGTAGCTGCGTAGTAAATGGGACTTTGGAGGATCTTAGTAAAGTAATTGCTCGCTTTTCGCCTCGCGGCTCGCAGGTTGATCGGGATGTGATCTTCGGGCGCCTCAGATGGCTCGTGGTTGACCGATTCGTATGGCCGAAGGCGTGCATCCAGCTCAGTTATCACACTCTCAAATACTGGGATGACCTCGTAGAGTGCGCCAAAACGGCCACACTTGCCGCGGCCTTGGAGGCGATCTGTAGCAAACTTGAGCGGCTGCAGTATCGCCATGTACTCAGTAATCACCGCCCAGTCAGCCGCCGTAAGGCCGTCTGACCTCATCCACCGCGGCACATCAGGCAGCTTGTTTCCTCTAATAGCTGCCTGTTCGTCAGCCTGTTCAGTCTCGCGAATGTGGTACGTGGCGTATGCGTTGATAGCTTGTTGGAGCTGAACTCCGCGCTTAAAGCAGTCGTAATAGCTGTTCCAACGTGTAACACACGGCTTAATTGGCTCGCGAGTGCCGCCGCTGGCGCCTGTGGGCATGCTGTTAACTGCCTCGCGTTGGCAATCTTCAAAAATGCTCCACTGCTTCGGCGGGTTGATGTAGTTGATAATATCAAGATACACGCCAAGCGGTCCTTCTTTCCGCCACTCCTTCATGTAAAAATCCTCCATCTTTGTGTTCTCCAGGGCGTTGTTATACGCGTCAGCATCCCTCCCGAACATAATCGTTTGGCCAACAAGGTTAAGTATGTGGCAAGCGCAGCGGAGGCGGCGATCGGAGGCAGAAAAGTGGTACATCGCGGCGAGTTTGTTAACAGCGGTGTCGTTATTGTAAGCGTTATCGAGCACAAAGTAGCCGAGTTTGCTGCGATTGATGCTGAAGGATTGCAGGGATTTTGGTTACAGCGTCAGCTATCGCCTCACCAGTGTGGGCACCCACCAGCTGCGGCAGCGCGATGGGTAGGTCAACTATCGCGCCCTTACTGTTGGCGTAGTGAGCAACTACAGAAAAGAAGCCACGTTTGCCGCCTTTTGTCGTCCACCCATCGAAGCTTATATGTACCTTGCTCTCGGCTTCAGCCAACGCGCGCACCACCTGAGGTCGTAGCCAACTGTACAACCTCATCACGAACGCTGACACGCTGTTATGAGACCTCCATAACGCCGCCTCTGCCTCAGGATTAGCAAGCCTGATCATCTTGCGAAAAGCCGGCGTCTCAAACTCGCGGAGTGGTCTGTTGTTGTCGACCAGCCAGAGCGCAGCTGCTTGCCGAAATTCTTGTACGTCGAAGTTTCCTATAGTCTTGTACGCCTCTAGACTAAATTTGACACCGCTTAGAGCTGCCTGACGAAGTGATTGTTGTCCATGTTTGCGGAGAGGTTTGCTTAGGATTGGACCATCTTTGCTGAGCCGATGACCAGGTTTATCAAGCTGGAGGTGCCCGTTGGCGGCAGTGGTTGACTTCGTTACTCGGTGTACACCATTAGGTAGCTTATGAATATGACAGTACTTGCACACAAAGTACAACTCATCTGGGTGGTGAGTACCCTCCTTCCAGACACGCCAGCCGTGTTGAAAAATCCAGCTTGCCTTGCCTCGTGGAGTGCTCAGCGGCGCGACAAACCCCTTTAATCGCGACCAATCGACGCCCTCAAAGTCGCGAAAATCGACGCTCACAGCGCTATCCTCCTCCACCGAAGCCTCAGTGGCAGCGCTAGAGAAAGCTAAAGGCTGTACAATAGAGTCCTCTGGCTTATCAAACATTAACTGCGACTCCCAGGCTGGCTCATCAGTGAGCCGAGAGGCTTGTGAGGCAGCCAAAATAGGCAGTGGTGATGCCCGCCGAGGGCGCTCCTCGGGTTGTTGTACAGGCTTACATGGCGGTTCAATAGCCCGTGTGGGCGGCTCGATAACTTGTGTAGGCGGCTCTGTAGGCGGATCCGGCGTACTTTCTGGCAGCTCTATCGGCTGGGTTGGCTGGCTGCCGTCACCCAACAGCGCTTTGAGCGTAGGTTTGCGCGTACGTTGTGCTCGCTTGAAGGGAGTATCAGCTTCTTCGGCAGCCTCGGGCTTGCGTTTTGCTGGTATAGAGGGCATGGATAAGGCTAAAAGTAAGCCGGAGCCGCGAGAAAGTAAGGTGTTGTTAAATGTTATAAGCCTGATGTCAGTAGCACTAGGAATAGAACATGTGTGAATCGTGTTGTGTATTGTGCTACAGGAATTGAGATCTATGTCTCTGCCAGCTAGCGTTGTGGGCGCTAAGCCTCGTACGTACTAGCCTGGAGTGAGTGAGAGATGGGATGGAACCTAGGTCATATAACTTACACGCGAGTAGGCTTAGTAAGCAAGATCCAACACTAAGAATTCGTCGTTGAGCAGCTATCCCAGAGGCCTCACCTAGGTATCCCCCTCCCTCGCTTACTATCAAACAACACCAATCCTATCAACATTTTGTTCTCAAGATTGGTTGATTGATTGACAGAAATACAGTGGCTAACTGTTGGTTAGTTGGTTGGCTCCGAATCAAACAAATCAAACAACAATATTGATGAGATATTGATTACTGACAACCTTGCCAAGACGGAAACAAAAGAACGGCACTTCTCGCTGCAGACATGTTTCTCAAGATCAACGGCTACGAACTCCAGCCAGTTCCTGCACAGCCAGGTACGATGACGAAGAAACTCGAACAAGCGCTTGTCGCGGCGTGTACGAATGAGTGGACGGCAGAAGACTTGGGGAAGTTCTATAAAAGGGATGGCAAAAGAGGTGCACATGTAGATTACATGTCCTTCAATCTTTCAAGTGCCCCTCCGATTCGTGGTATAATGGTACTAGCCATTTCCGCAAACTCGGCTATCTTATATCAGCATGCGGGGAATGAGAGTGTGGGAACTTGGCTGAGTACCATCTGCAGTTCCGTCCAGGGCGATTGTGTGATTCACGCCAAAGAGGTACAGGGTTGCTGAACTTGTGTTCGCAGTGGATTGACGAGGTAGCTGTTGAGGAATAACGAGGCGGGGGCAACTAGGGGAAGAGTCTACCGAGCAGGATGTCAGCAGTATACAGCCGGGTATAGTATAGTGTGACGGCTACCAAGGGCAAAGTGCTAAGTATCGTGGAAGTAGGTCAATGCGAACCTATCCGGAGGGTTCGAAGGAGCCAATGGGTTACCTGCGAGGCTGCGACTGGCCTATAGAGCATAGCCGATCTCTGCAGGAATTAAGACATAAGCTTCTCCTGGGTCCCCAATTGCGATAACGACTTTCTTGTTAACAAATGTACCCTCTGGGCTTGGTTTCGCAAACGTTGCCGTCGTGCTATGGTACCATCTTGCAGCTGCGGCGCGAGAGCGTCGATCGATTACCGCAGGGAGAGGTCTTGGTGGGTTGAAAGTGGAAATCGCAGTTCGCACAATCGTGATTCGGAATCCGGCAAACATCGCTTAATAGGGTTTGGAGAAACAAGGGTCATCTCGGAGAAAAGTGTCGTGTAAGCACAGTTGTGGAGGAAAGAACGGCAATAGGTGGATGCGGCCCGCTGGACTTACTGTAAGTGGATGAGTGTTCATTGCACGTGATTGTTCTTGCTCGGATGCAGTTCGCCAAGCCCGCCCGCCCCGAAAGGAGGCGGTCCATCCACTCCGCTGAGTCCGCTCCCCATCCCGCCAGCTATCCCCACAAGCTTGCGAGCCGCGACGGCAGCGTGTGTTTGTGGCTGGGCTATCTGAATCCACATTCCCGTCATGTGTCCTTGCGTTTGTTGTGCGTTTCTCCGATCGATGCATCACCGTTCGCAGTGGCCCTGGCTGCTGACACCGACACCATCTCCACATCTGGGCCACGGCCCGTTGAGCTGCCCTGATACGACCCCGGAAGGAACAACACGAACGCGGGTGGCGGATCTTACCACATTCCGTCATTAGCGCTCTTCACGCCTTGCAAAAGTCATCACGAGCAGGAATAGGAGTGAGCGAGACGACATGCACGACGAAAGAAGAAAGAGTGTGATTACTTCCTCCGTCTACCTATCTAACGTCCTTCCCTGTGTGCTGGGACACCCGCTGTGCTGGGACAAATGAGGGGTACTTTGACCTTCAACACCTCGTTTTATTCTTACACCCTAATAATTGCTGTAAGTTTGTATTTGCTATATGCTAGAGCTATTCATAAACTTATCTTACTCCTTCTGACTAAAAATTACATTGCTATTGCCGCTCTTTTTACGAAAGTTACAAGCAGCCTTCTTTGCGTGCATAATAGTGTCGGTGTTGCGGTGGAGTGAACAGTGCGCATGTGCGGAGAATTGAAGGATTGAACTGAGGTTGTATTGTACAAGCTATGGAAAGTTTATGTAGATGGGTGACGTCAACCGTGCTAGTCCCAAATAGGCATCGTTCCATTACAAATGTGAGTTGCGACTGCAGGAGAGACCCCAAACCGTGACAGTCGGTTTACTGTAATACTATATAGAAGCTCCTAGCGTCTAGAACACTTCTAGAAGATTGTGGTTATGTCCTAGAGACCTTGCGACAGCGCGGTGAGTTACGTTTAGCCTCGTGGCGCCTACAACGCCTATGTTCATGCAAGATCGCAGTCGTGGTCGGTACCTCGGCTCACAACAAGCGGCCCCATGTGCCTCACGTAATCATCTCCGCGTAATCTATTTAGCAGGTATCAGAACCGTGGCTTAGCTCTAGCGGGTCAGAGCGTAAAAACTCTAACGCAAAGGGCGTCATTAAGGAAGATTGCTAACAAGACCTGTATCTTATAGAGACTACATTTATACTGCGCTGTAAAGTCTATACTATGTTTACAGTAAAGCGAGTCTATTAACGCACAACGCTAGGAAATCCTGAGGAGAACTACACGACCAGATCCAAGCCCTAGACAAGCTATGCCCTCGCGTACTGCGGTCGTCTTTGATCGATATTCCGGCGGAAGCCATAGGAAGCGTTGCTGGTTGCGCAATATCCACTGATCCTGCACTAGAATGTAGGAGGACTGCGACTGCGGCCTAGAGAGCGATGTGAAAACAGAAGTTTGATGCAAAGGAATGTCGCCTTTATTCGTGTGAAGGGCATGGCCATCTGGCGAGAAAACAATATAAGAAATATCCTTGAAATGGAGATCGAGCGTGCTGCGACGCGTCCCTGTCGCCGCCTCCCACAGTCGTACTGTCTTGTTCCAGGATGCCGATGCGACTAGCTGCCCGTCTGGCGAGAAGGCCACCGCCCTGACCCAGCCGGAATGGCCTTCGAGCGTGCTGCGACACGTTCCTGTCCACGCCTCCCACAGCCTTATCTTGTCAGAAGATGCCGACGCGACTAGCTGCCCGTCTGGCGAGAAGACCACCGCTCTGACACACAAGGAATGGCCCTCGAGCGTGCTGCGACACGTTCCTGTCCCTGCCTCCCACAGCCGTACTGTCTTGTCAGAAGATGCCGACGCGACTAGCTGCCCGTCTGGCGAGAAGACCACCGCCGTGACCAAGTCGGAATGTCCCTCGAGTGTACTCCGACACGTCCCTGTCCCTGCCTCCCACAGCCGTACTGTCGTGTCGCGAGATATCGACGCGACCAGCTGCCCGTCTGGCGAGAAGGCCACCGCCGTGACCAAGTCGGAATGGCCCTCGAGCATGCTGCGACACGTTCCTGTTCCGGCCTCCCACAGCCGTACTGTGCTGTCTTCAGATGCCGACGCGACTAGCTGCCCGTCTGGCGAGAAGACCACCGCCGTGACCAAGTCGGAATGTCCCTCGAGTGTACTCCGACACGTTCCTGTCCCTGCATCCCACAGCCGTACTGTCGTGTCGCGAGATATCGACGCGACCAGCTGCCCGTCTGGCGAGAAGGCCACCGCCGTGACCAAGCCGGAATGGCCTTCGAGCGTGCTGCGGCACGTTCCTGTCCCGGCCTCCCACAGCCGTACTGTCTTGTCAGAAGATGCCGACGCGATTAGCTGCCCATCTGGCGAGAAGGCCACCGCCGTGACCAAGCCGGAATGGCCTTCGAGCGTGCTGCGACACGTTCCTGTCCCGGCCTCCCACAGCCGTACTGTCGTGTCGCGAGATATCGACGCGACCAGCTGCCCGTCTGGCGAGAAGGCCACCGCCGTGACCAAGTCGGAATGGCCCTCGAGCATGCTGCGACACGTTCCTGTCCCGGCCTCTCACAGTCGTACTGTCTTGTCCCAAGATGTGGACGCAATTAGCTGCCCGTCTGGCGAGAAGGCCACCGCCGTGACTACGTTGCAATGTCCCTCGAGCGTACTCCGACACGTTCCTGTCCCTGCCTCCCACAGCCGTACTGTGCTGTCTTCAGATGCTGACGCGACTAGCTGCCCGTCTGGCGAGAAGGCCACGGCCGTGACCAAGTCGGAATGGCCCTCGAGCGTACTCCGACACATCCCTGTCCCTGCCTCCCACAGCCGTACTGTCGTGTCAAAAGATGCAGACGCGACCAGCTGCCCGTCTGGCGAGAAGGCCACCGCTGTGACTACGTTGCAATGTCCCTCGAGCGTACTCCGACACGTTCCTGTCCCTGCCTCCCACAGTCGTACTGTCTCGTCCCAAGATGTGGACGCAACTAGCTGCCCGTCTGGTGAGAAGGCCACCGCCGTGACTACGTTGCAATGTCCCTCGAGCGTACTCCGACACGTTCCTGTCCCTGCCTCCCACAGCCGTACTGTGCTGTCTTCAGATGCTGACGCGACTAGCTGCCCGTCTGGCGAGAAGGCCACCGCCGTGACATAAGAGGAATGGCCTTCGAGCGTGCTGCGACACGCGTCCCAACCTGCTTCTTTCATAGACAGCATCTTGACCTTTTCTGGCACTTGGCTCACGAAAGTTTGTCGTATTAGGCTCCTCTCTGGTGCGAACACTACCGCGGAGCAATAGATCTGCAGCGGCGCATCTGCGAGCACAGACTGAAACCGCAGCACGAACCGCTTAGCGTCGTGAAGAAAGACTGAAACTAGGCTTACAGATAGCTGTGTTGCACATTAGCAGAGTAGTAGCAAGGTGTTTTGTAAAAATCTTACGCCGGTAAGTGCTTGAAGGCTGTCGAGCAAGTCGATGCATCTGCTCGATTCTCTCATAAGGCTCATGGCTTCGAGCCAACAAAAAAGGTGGTGCTGCAGAAATAGGTGCGTCGCGTCTCCGTCAACGATACCTTGCCCACTCTGCTTGAGGTGATCGACCCAGTAACGACACGCATATTGAAGATCAGGTGACAGACTACTAGCAATTGTCTGTTCATCTATCTCGCTCCTTAGCACTCCGGGGCCTGAGAGGCCGCACATGTCCTGACGAAGACCGCTTGATTGAGACATGAGCTCGAGGCAGCGAAATGCGAGCTCCCTATGTGTGCCCTTCTCATCCACCCAAAACGGGCTCTTTCCTTGTTTTGGGGGGTCAACAAGGAACTCGCGAAAGGACAAGTGCAGTAGCCTAATAGGAACGTCCTTCTTACTAGGAACACTAAGAACGGAGTGCAAGCCTTTTAACCGATGTTGGACTTGTGTTTGTGGGGCTTGAAGAAGGCGTGCAAGAGACACGACAGAGAGAGGGCTCTCTAGGATAACTATGCTTCCTACAAGTTCACTAAATGCCTGAAGCCACGGTTCTTTGTCCCTTTCCTCTTTCCCGATAAGCAGTTGGTGCAATACCAGGGAGTAGAGTTGATCAAGCGGTGAAAGAATGAACTTCGGATTATGCACGACGTTGTTTAAATACTCTTCTGGATCGCTGAAGTCTGCGCCAATATATCGACATACGGTGGCAGCGTAGATGAACAGCGGTACAGAAAGCTCTACAAGAGCCTGAATCTGGTTTTGGGTCGGCCAGCCTGCAGACAATATATGCTCCTTGCGTATCACACAGAGCTCATGCTCTAGGAAGAGACGAATGTCGTGTTCAATCGTGCTCCTTGGTACTTCGTGAAGGACTAGGTCCTGGTATATGCCGTTCGGCATCTCCTTGAAGCCCAGGCGGATGTGGAGCTCTGGCCGGCTAGTCACCACGATCCGCAGCTGCACTAGTCGAATGTCTTTTGTCCGAGCAAGTAGCTGAAGGATCGCTCTGATGTCGGCTTCTCGCTCACATTCGTCTAGCGCGTCAATCACGACAACACGCGCCAAGGCCCGCGAACGAGCCTGCTTTATCCCCAAGAGTGGCTGCAGGATCAGCTTCTCGAACTGGTCTTTCAGGGCCTTGTGTGAAATAGTCGGGTCCTCGTCGAGCGTCTTCCTGATGCCTGGTAGCATGCCTGGCTCGCAGGCGACTAGATCAGTGGCGATGGTGGTAAAGAACCGTGAGGCGTTGCCGCGCTCGCCCTCGCCTTTCTTGAAGAAGAAGCTTGCTCCGAGCTGCCCTCGACTGGCGAACAACTGAGCGACCGTCCGCGCTATCGTAGACTTTCCCGTGCCCGCCATGCCGCTCAGCCAGAATATGGACTTACCATCCTTGCTGTTCGCCCATGTTGTGATCTCGTCTAGCAGCTCGGTGCGGGTGTTTGGTAGACATCGTGCGTTGTGCTCTTCGTTGTGGGAATTGAAGGAGGCGCCTATCGCGACAGGCAGTTTGGCTAGATCCAGCTTCTGGTCTATGCTAAACACAACGACTCTGTATAGTCAGTGAGAAGCTGGGTCTGCGTACGAAATATCTAGGGACAGAAGCTTACGTCTGATCGACCTGCAGTGCCAAGCCGAATTTCTGCTCGTATCCTTCTAAGGTCGAAAAGATCTTATCAACCTGCTTGCTCGTAAACGGCCATCTGAGCGCACGGAAGCCGATCCTGTTCATGGTCTTGCGAGCCTTCCCTGGATCTAGCTTTGTCTTCAAGTCCTCTAGGTCTCGAAGGCATTGTTTGAGCGATTCGAACAGACCCTGGGTGGTAGAGAGACGCGTCTTGTCCTGGCTGTCGAGAAGCTGCTTGTTCGTCTCCAGGATGTGGGTGATGTCGCCGACTTTTCTCTGCACACGCTCGATATCGTCCTTTGCGTCCTTGACGGCCATAGAGTACTGGAAGCAGAGCGAGGCGATCTTAGCGGACATGTCGATTACCGCGATGACGCTCGCTGCGCCCGAAAGGCCATCCATGATGCGAGGTCTGCGACGGAGACGGAGTACACCAGTAGATCGCGGTTCGCGTCGTTGTAGGCTGACCGAGCAGCCAGGCCGCTGTCAGGCTGAGAGCAGTGCTGCGATCCATTCTCAACTGCACAAGGCTAAGAAGGGAGGCACAGCTAAGCGCTGCAGCATCGCGGGGGCATGTACAGAAGAGGCGAGACGATGCTAGGGTTTGCACAGCCACAGTTGTGTCAGCCACAGTAAGTTAATTGCAGTCGAGATGATTACGTGTGATGTGCGGAGTCGCTTTCCGCTAGCCGAAGTCTCAAGTGGGGTAACGATCTTGCATAGAAATGGGTGTTACAGCCGACACAAGGCTGGTTATAGCTTACTGCACGATAGTGGTGCTCCTAAGGCTAGACAAAATCCCTCTATAAGTATAGTAGGTAGCAAGGCTACTCCAATAGAACTGCAGCGAAGAAACACTGTTATGCACAAAACGAAGGCTGCTTGTAACTTTCGCAAAGCAAGGGCCATAGCAACATAAGTTTTACTTAGAAGGGGTGGGATATATCTATGAATAGCTATGGAACATTACTAATACAGACTTATGGCAAGCATCGGCGTGTGTGAAGAAAGCAATATGCTCAAAGTCAAAGTGCCCCTCATTTGTCCCAGCACGGAGGGTGTCCCAGCACTCAGGGACGGACGTTATCCATACATCCCCCATCTAAACAAAGCTAGCCGTATCAGGTGTGATATCAAAGTACATGCGTTCCTCATCGCCATTGTAAATGGCATCATAAGTACCCGTAAAGTTAACCGCACGCCTAAAACTATTGTCAGCAAACGTCTTTCTCGCACATGTACATATGAAAATATAACTTACGTTCCAGCCTGCTCATTCGCAGCCTGCAGGAAGCTAACATAGATCTTGCCCGGGTAATCATCGGAGCCAGCCTTTCGCTCGCTCAACTTGGCCGCCACGCCGTTCTCTTTCGGTCCTTCGAGAATCTCGCAGCTCTCGTAGACGTTGTATTTGCGGGCCTCGGAGTAGTTCTCTCGGCCCTTGCAGTGCGCTTTCACGCCTGTGATGTCGCCCACGGCGTTCTTGGCTGACGGCACCTCGACGTCGAAGCCGTATTGGCAGCCGTCGGCTTGGCAGAGGGCTTCCCAGTTGGTGACGTGCCATTTCCAGCTGAAGTCTGGGAAGGTTGGGTTGCCGTCTGGGATGGTGGCGGGGGCTGCGAGGGCGGCGGCGGAGAGGGTGAGGAGGGTGGTGAAGGAGACCATGGTGGATTATGTTGTTTGGGTTGTGAGTGGGATTATTGTATTAGAAAAGATTGCGAAAAGCGAGTGTGAGAAGAAGCCGGCGAGGTGGATAGACTGGATTGTTATCGCGTTTGGATGATGACTTTGGCCCCCGAGGAGGTCTCTCATTATATATACACCTAACGGTAGCAATCGCATGTTGCATTTACATACTTACGTATTCGATCACCCTGCCTTGACGTACCCATACATATCCAGGCATCCATGTTATTAGATTCGGATCTCGGTCCCAGTCTCGTAAAACGTTTACCTTGAACACGACCAAAAAGGGTTCGCACGGAGCCCTGGAGTCTGCCGATTTTGCCGCAAAATTACGGACTGCACCGTTACGGCAAGGATGCCGTGGCGAAAACCCCGGCAAAAAACGTCATTTCCTTCGTTTTAGGGAGGAAGGCGCCGCATAAACAAAGCTAGCGTTCTAAACAACGGCAACGGGGTTGGACCTCGGAGAAAACGTCTTAGTCGGTCTATTTTTGGCATCGCCAGGTCACGTTTGTACTATATTCCCACGTGCACGTACTTTCTGCGCTGGAAATTGGGAGATGCTTTTGATCGCCAAGCTGAGCTTGGTAAAAATAGAATGGTGTTTCGATGGGACGACGGTCGCATATCGCGCATAGTCTACACGACACAGCCCCATGTTTGTCTCATTTCCAAGATCTGTTCTGGCTGCAGTGGACGTGGAAACATCTAGTAGCTTCTTGACGGGAGTGCTTGTTGTTTGTTCTGGCTTCAACCGATGATCATGCGTTGTAACTTATTATGATGAGCCGGCACACTGGGTGAAGACCGACGCGTTGTTGAAAGGAGGTCAGCGATCATCCACTCAGTGATTTACAGGTAAGACATGGGCAGTGAGCATTACGAGACCAACATACCAGAGCTCATTGCGCTTGCGATGCGGCAGGTTCAAAGCAGGTTGTGCATTATCTTTCATGTTACCACAGCCGGCTGGAAGACCCCTGATGGCTTCCAGAGAGATGGCACAATCACTGTGGGGAAAATGAATCGTTCCGTCTTGAGGCATACATGGGCAATCCGATGAAGGATTATAAACTTGACATCGTAAAGTGTTTACAAAGTTACCCATCTTTGACGTGCCATTCCGTGAGATTCCCTTTTGTTGTGAACTACATGACAACCTCTCCCCATTATAGCGAACGTGAGACCACCTCCTCGTGTTCAAACCAGAACCCACGAGCGGCAGAAGACCCCATTTGACCGCGACAGTGATGACCGTACCATTTGCGTCCGAGCAGGCAGAGGTGTTAGGTAACAACATCCCCACACTTCTATCAATAGTAATGTCGATCCATGCGTGCCGGGACGCACGGTGTAACGGGACGCTTTCTCTTCCGGGCCTTCGGATTGTCCCTAGTGTTCTCTAATACAGATAAGTGCAATGCGCATCTATTTTGCAGCTCTTGTTCTTTCAGCACGTCAGTCTCCGACGCTCAAAAACGTGTTGTTAACTGTGCTGTCGCTCGTTTTATCAACACCGTCTCCTAACTCTCCTCTATTACTCCCCTGCTTATTTATGACAGCACATATCTAAGAAGAGCTTGGTAAGCTGGGAAGGAAGCTAAGATAGCAGAGATTAAGACTGCGGTCTCGAAAGGTTGATTTAGAGTGATAAGGATACATCCCAGCAGTTTCTCCGCGTAGATAGCAAATTTGTAAGAACGCGTCCAAAAGGCCTTGCGTCTTTGGCAGCTCTTAGTATGCGGCAGGTTGTCTTCTATAAATTTACTCACACTCGACTCGCCAGCTGCTCAGGATACTAAGCGATAACTGTGTATTAGGGTGTTCCTTGCCAAGAACCTGCTCACGCAGCTGTAAGCATCTTTCTATCAGTGCAAAAGCCTCTTCGTGACGAGCTTGCGACTGCAGCGTGAAGGCGAGATTATGCATGCTGTTCAGCGTGTCAGGATGCTCATCGCTAAGCACTCTCTTGCTCGTCTGTAGCACTTGCACCTGCAGCTCTTCGGCCTCCTTCCATCGCCCTTGGTTCCTGTACGTCGCCGCTAGGTTGGCCATGCTGGTCAGCGTGTTAGGATGCTCGTCGGTAAGCACTCTCTTCCTCGTCTGCATCACTTGCACCTGCAGCTCTTCAGCCTCCTTCCATCGCCCTTGGTTCCTGTACGTCAACGCTAGGTTGTTCATGCTGGTCAGAGTGTCAGGATGCTCGTCGGTAAGCACTCTCTTCCTCGTCTGCATCACTTGCACCTGCAGCTCTTCGGCCTCCTTCCATCGCCCTTGGTTCCAGTACGTCAACGCTAGGTTGTTCATGCTGCTCAGCATGTCAGGATGCTCGTCGGTAAGCACTCTCTTGCTCGTCTGCAGCACTTGCACCTGCAGCTCTTCAGCCTCCTTCCATCGCCCTTGGTTCCAGTACGTCAATGCTAGGTTGTTCATGCTGGTCAGCGTGTCAGGATGCTCGTCGGTAAGCACTCTCTTCCTCGTCTGCATCACTTGCACCTGCAGCTCTTCAGCCTCCTTCCATCGCCCTTGGTTCCAGTACGTCAACGCTAGGTTGTTCATGCTGCTCAGCATGTCAGGATGCTCGTCGGTAAGCACTCTCTTGCTCGTCTGCAGCACTTGCACTTCCAGCTCTTCAGCCTCCTTCCATCGCCCTTGGTTCCTGTACGTCGCCGCTAGGTTGGCCATGCTGGTCAGCGTGTTAGGATGCTCGTCGCTAAGCACTCTCTTGCTCGTCTGTAGCACTTGCATTTCCAGCTCTTCGGCCTCCTTCCATCGTCCTTGGTTCCTGTACGTCGACGCTAGGTTGGCCATGCTGGTCAGCGTGTCAGGATGCTCGTCGGTAAGCACTCTCTTGCTCGTCTGTAGCACTTGCACCTGCAGCTCTTCGGCCTCCTTCCATCGCCCTTGGTTCCTGTACGTCGCCGCTAGGTTGGCCATGCTGGTCAGCGTGTTAGGATGCTCGTCGCTAAGCACTCTCTTTCTCGTCTGTAGCACTTGCACCTGCAGCTCTTCAGCCTCCTTCCATCGCCCTTGGTTCCTGTACGTCGCCGCTAGGTTGGCCATGCTGGTCAGCGTGTTAGGATGCTCGTCGCTAAGCACTCTCTTGCTCGTCTGTAGCACTTGCATTTCCAGCTCTTCGGCCTCCTTCCATCGCCCTTGGTTCCTGTACGTCGACGCTAGGTTGTTCATGCTGGTCAGAGTGTCAGGATGCTCGTCGCTAAGCACTCTCTTTCTCGTCTGTAGCACTTGCACCTGCAGCTCTTCAGCCTCCTTCCATCGCCCTTGGTTCCAGTACGTCAATGCTAGGTTGTTCATGCTGGTCAGAGTGTCAGGATGCTCGTCGGTAAGCACTCTCTTCCTCGTCTGCATCACTTGCACCTGCAGCTCTTCGGCCTCCTTCCATCGCCCTTGGTTCCAGTACGTCGCCGCTAGGTTGTTCATGCTGCTCAGCATGTCAGGATGCTCGTCGCCAAGCACTCTCTTCCTCGTCTGCATCACTTGCACATATAGCTCTTCGGCCTCCTCATACCGTCCGTCACTAAACAGAGCCGTAGCACATTTTGATGCAAGGCGTGTTCTTTCTTCGTCGTTATTATCCGCCGAACTATGTGACAAAGCATACTGGGCATGCGGAAGCAGTCGTCTCCACTTGCTTCTGTTACTATGGTCATCGTCTGGAAACACTTGAAGTAGCTGTGTGATAGTGCGTTGAGTCCATTCTTGGAGCTGTCCCTGCATTTGCAGTCGCTTACGTAGGGCTTGATGGACGAGTCGATGAAGATCTAGCGCAGACTCAGCAGGTCGTCTGGTGACAAGCGCATACTTATCAAGCATCCTAATAGCATCTTCTCTTGCTTGCATCGAGACTGCCTCTAGAAGATCAAGCGAGATGTCCTTTCGGTCTACGCATGCAGCAAGAAACAGACAGTCTGCGGCAAACGCATGATCACGGCTAATCTGGTCTATGGAGAGAAACAGTGCAGCAGCTACAGGGCCTTCCACGCCAGACTCTTGTATTCTGCCTTCAGACGAGTCACCGCTGTGCTCGATAGCTGGTTCTTTATAATCATCTAGTCGTGATCGATACTCTTGCACTGTTATACCGCTAGCCTCTATATAGGCCGCTGCTTGCATAACTGCTAGAGGCAGATACGATAGCTCTCTAAGCAGGTGCTCGGCTTCCAGCTGCTCAATGTTCGCGAGCGTCTTCGCTAAGCGGACTTGCAGCATTCTTAGCGCTGCATCTAGTGTTAACTTTCGCAGCGTTATGATGTTCTGTAAAGCGAGCGCCTGAGCTGTAGCGCTGTTCGTTGTTGTGAAGATGACAGAACATAGTTTAGACTGCGGTAAACAATCGGCCAGATCTGAGGCTTCTGTCGTGCATGAGCCGCTAGATCGCAGGGTGGTGTGCTCTGTATTGTCGAAGATCATTAAGCATTTTCGGGCACTAATCTCTACTAGACAGCGTTTCAGAAGCTGCTTCATGTCGGCCTGGTCGTCGTCCCAGCCTAGAACGCTAATCTTCTGCGCAACACTTGCATAGGACTGGTAGAGACTGTCTTTGTCGCTTGCGTCCATCCAAAAGACCAAGCAGTTCTTGTTGTTCTGCCTTGTTCTGTGCGCAACCTCGAGCGCGAGCTGCGACTTGCCAGTTCCGCCAGGTCCAACGATTGCTAGTGTGGTCGTGGTCTGGTCGTTGCTAAAGAGCTTTGCTTCTAGCTCGGCGAGCTGTGACTCTCGGCCTACAAAGCGGGGGTTTCGTGAGAAGGGAATGATCGACGGTGCGTCAACAGCTCCCTCCAATTCAGCCCGCAGTCTGCGTCGTGCACTCTCCTGTCCTTCGCCATACGTGGTGGGCATAGAGACACCAAGAATCCCAAGCAGGCAGTATACAACGTCTTCCCCTTCCGTTGTTCTGCGACTTTCGGCCCATCTCTCTCGCTCGGATGTACTGAACTCGTGTAAAGGACAGTTACGCAACGCCGCGAGCGGGATGTTAGTAATCTCGTGGATAAGCTGGTCGAGCGACGCTTTGTCGCCTATGGGATATCCTTCACGTGAGAAGAAATCGACTGACGCTGGCGCAATCAGCTCTTGCAGGGTCCATCCCCGAGTGAACCATGCGCTTGCACGGAATAACGCTTCCCAGTCGCTGCGTTGGACCGGCTCTGCCTCAGTCGACACCGAGACGTCTAGCAAGAAGACGTAGCATTGCGCCGCATTCTTGTACCACTGGAACATCGAGTTAATAGCCTTCGAGCGCTCATTGTTGTTCCACCTGTCGATGCAGCAAGTGTCGATCCAGAAGTACTGCAGATTGTCCTGGGCTGCTTGATTAGCACAGAACCTAAGCTTTCGATAGCCTTCTTCCTTCTCCTTGTAGGTTCCGTTTAATATGTCTTCGATAAGGATCTCAGCGTCGCTCCATCTGTGCGACAGAATGGCGTAGGGTGGGATCGTCTTGCCGCGGAAATCCGTTAAGACGAGCCTTCCCAGCGCGTCATAGTGGAGAAGCCGCATAGCGTCTGCAATCTTGGCTTAGCAAAGGAAAGGCGAGGCGAGAACGACTTCGGTGGTGTCGAGAGTAGAAAGGCATCGTCGTGATAGAGCGAAGCAGGTGGAGGAAGCTTACGCTGGGCTGTTGCTAAGGCTGACTGTCGCGGCGGTGCATGCGACCAGGCTGAGCGGATGCTGGGCACATCGCGCCGCTTCACGACTTGCGCTGGATTACTGCGCACATGGGCAGGTGCCAGCAGAAGAATAGTTCTACTTAGACTGCCATCGTAGCGTCTCACGACACTGATGTTAGCGAGGAAGGGTAGTTAGGGATGTAGGTCGTGTTTTCTTGTTGCACGACTGGACCAACAGCTAGCAAAGTGCTCAGATCTGCCATTCTTAGCCACAGCGTGCAGGGTGGGCTCGTGAATATCTTAGCACGCTACTGCAAGCTACTTCGTGGCAAGAGCTGCTAACGTGGATGGCAAGCGAGTGGGCCAGGCAAGCGAGTGGGCCACCCCACCAACTTTTGTAACTTCAAAGCGACTTATCTCAACAACGCGATAATATTATTGCTAGATATTGATACAGTAGATTACTCTATATTAAGAGTATTAGTGTTGCATGTGCGCGAGTTGTGCCCAGTCTCCTTGCACCTGGTGCAGCGCCTTTGAGCGCGCTGGCTAAGGCCTGATCGCGCTCCTCCTTGACGCTCTTCATGAGCAATCTGCTGGTCAGCCTCATTTTGAGCTAGTATATCCTCTCCAGCTCCCTTTGTGAGTACTCCATGCTTCTGTATACGCCTTTTAGAGCGCTGCCTACGCGCTGAGGCTGCGCTGTTAGCCTTCTCAAGACTAGAGATCCGATCGCGCATCAGCTCAGCAGACAGCATCATCACCTCAGCGCCCTTCTTCAGCTGGTCAATCGCCTCAATGATCGAAGCTGGTGATGAGCTCTTATGCTGGCGCACGCGCTCACGTATAAGGCTTGACTGAGCCTCAAGCTCACGCGCGTTGCTCGGCGTTTGAGCTACCCAGGGAGCATCTGGTAGAGCTGCTGGAGGAGTAGGTGTACGCAGCTGTACATCTAGCTTTGATAGAACAGCCTCTGGTTGTAGAGGAACAAGGCCTGCGCCGCGGAAGGCTGAGTAGATATTAGCTGGCGTGAACGCTCGATCAAACGCAGCCTTAAACGCAGGCAGAAACTCTAGCTTGGTGATGTGGTTGATGTGGTTGCGCATGAGGCTCTCCACCTCACGGCTATACGCGCGCTTTAATGGCGAGAAGCAGCCAACATCAAGTGGCTGGAGTAGGTGAGATGAGTGAGGAGGCATACAGAGCGTATGGATATTGTTCTCCTTACAGAGCTCCTGGAACTCTAGAGATTGGTGGCTCCTATGGCCATCAATAATAAGCAGGCGACGCGCGCCTATAGTACGAGCCTGCGTGTGAGCGTTGAAGTGCTTTAGCCACTCAACTCCAAGCTCATTATTCGTCCAGCCATTATCGCTGACTGCGATCGCCCAGTCGCGTGGGATATCCTCCTCATACCACGCTGATAGGTGGTACTGACCAGCGAAGATGAGGAACGGTGGCACTGACCAGCCACCAGCGCTGATGGCAGCAATCAGCGTTACCCACTCGCGATTGCCTGGCTGAATACTCTTCCGCCGGCCTCTTCTCTCTGATCCTGTTATAACCAGCTGCGTTGTAATCTTGCCCATCATAAAGCCAGCTTCATCAAAGTTGTAGACATCCTCATCGCAGATACCCTGCTCAGCCTTTATCTCTTCTACAAGCTTAAACCACCTCTTTATTAATGTCGCATCCTCACACATAGCTCTCTGCCTATCGTACGCTCGGTTGAAACACGTCCGAAGACTGTCTGTACGCTTAACAAAGTTGGCTGGCCACTTCTGCCCAACCTGGCCAGCGCCGCGCGCAGCCAGCAGCTTATCAGCCATATCGCGTGCAGCTGCGTAGGTAGGCGCAAACCCGCGCTGATCTAGGTGAAGTATATAGCTAATAATCACCTCCTCTTCTCTCTGGGTAAGCTTCCTTGAGTTAGGCTGGCAATCGCGTCGTGCAGGTATACCAGCGCGTCGGCGCGTGAGTGTCATTCGGGCGACTTCAAATGTCCGCGCAGCGTCTCTATTAGACTGGAGCTGGTTTCGGGTAGTAGCTGAGATAGCTAGCTGTATATCAGCTTCATAAGAAGGGTTTTGGGATTGTTTTGGTGGAGCCATAATTGATTGAAGTTAGGTAGATGCAAAAAGTTGGTGGGGTGGCCCACTCGCTTGCCTGGCCCACTCGCTTGCCATCCACGTTAACAGCGCACAATTTGTTTTACGCGTTTTGATGATTTTAATGTTTGTGCGGAGAAACTATCGGGATGTGCATTATTCACTTTGAATTAATCTTTTGAAGCGGCAGTCTCGGTCTTTGTTATCTTAGCTTACTTTGTAGCCTACCGAACTCTCCACAGATAAGTCTCGCGGAGGATAAATAGGAAGGTGTTGGAGGAGAATAGGTGAATAGCAGTGACAGAACGGGCGACAGCATAGCTAATAACGCCCTTTTCGGCGTCGGAGACTAACGTGCTAAGAGAACGAGGGCTGCAGAATAGGAGCGCATAGCACTTGTTTGTATTCGAGAACACTGGGGGCAATCCGAGGGTCCGGAAAAGAAAGCGTCCCGTTACACCGTGCGTCCCGGCACGCGTGGATTGACATTAACTACAAACAATGTTATGTTACACTGAAGTTGTCAGCCTGGCACCTCAGTTCACCTGGTACACTGTGAACTGTATCTCACGTGACTCCTCGTCACCTGCTTACTCATCTCGGTTGTGTATATAATCGCTCTATGTAGCTCTCTCAATACAACAACCTTCTTCCTCTCTTCTGCCCTGTCCTACATCCGACAGAAGTCACTACTAGCTGATGACGACACGCATGCTGAGAATTGCAAATTCATGAGATAACTAATAAAACATTCTAGAATCATCTACTCCACCGCATATCCTCCAACCCCCCACCCCCATCTACTCAAACACATCCGTAGCAAACCTCTCATTCCTCAACTCATCAAACCATACCCTCGTCCTCGCATCATCCGCCTCAACACCTTCCTTCTCAAGGTGCCTCTCCTTCGCCACCCTTATAAGCGTCTCCTGCACACCATTGCCTACATTGCGGGACCCGCAGACAAACAGCTTAGCCCCTGCATCAAATAATTTGACCACATCGGCACGGTCGTGGTACACGCGATCTTGCACGTACTTGCAGCCATGCGACTCCTCAGGTTGGCGGGAAAAGGCGTAGCGGATGGATACCGCGCCCATATCTTCCCAGCGCTTGAGGAGATCAGCGTACATGAGGTCGGTGGTGGGTGTGCGGCAGCCGTAGAAGAGGATGGCGGGCGCGAGGTTGCGGCCGGCTGCGACTTGTGCGGCACGTTCTTGGATGAAGCCGCGGAAGGGTGCGAGGCCGGTGCCTGCTGCTATCATGATGATGGGGATCTTCTCCGGGTCCTTGGGGAGGTGGAACGCCTTGTGTGACTGGCGGACGCTGACGTGGAGTCTATCGCCCGCGGTGAGGTTGGCGAGGTAGTTTGTGGCGACGCCGACGTGGTGTCCGCGACCGCTGAGTGCTACGTCGTTTACGACCGAGTATGTGAGTGTGACGTTGGATGGGTTCCAGATGGGCGACGATGAGATGGAGTATTGTCGTACGCGCATGGGTGGCAGCATCTTCAGAAAGACACCGAGGGGTAGCTTGGTAGATGGGAATTGTTCGAGGAGGTCGAGGATGGATACTCGCTTTGCTGTTATCTCTGAGCTGAATGCTTCGTCGGCTAGGCGGGTGAGTTCCTTCTTTTCGGTATCGTCGGTTGTGGTATCGATCAGGGCTTGGACATTGCGCTTGCTCGCTGGTTGAGCAAGCTCCACGTAGGCGCCGAGGACAGCATTGGCGCTGACTGGTATATCGGTTGGTAGTGTGGTTGGGCCATTCGTGGATATGGTGAGCATTGAATCCCAAGTCAAGCCAAAGTATCGCATGGTACGCTGGATGTTCTGCTTGGGGTTCAAAGGTAGGATGGCCAGGTAATCACCCGCCGTGTATGACATGCTTGATGGGAGGCTTATCTCGATATGCCTCTTCTCACTCGCATCAGATGTGGAAAGAACCTGGACATTCTCTACAACGGCCTCGTAGACATCTTGACGGAGCGTAGACGATCTGGGTGCCGAAATTTCGACGTCGAGATTGGTCTCCAATGAGCCTTCACCAGTAGCTTGCTCTGATCCGTACTTGGCGCGTAGAGCTGGCCACAGGATCTGGTCTTCCCAAGTCTCGAATGCAGTAAAGATGTCACCTTCTGCGGCATCAGCAACGCCCATGTCGGCTACCCTAGTCGCAGCGCGTTCCTCCAGAGTGGCGTCAATGTACTTGGGGATCTTCTGATATGTCTTCGCCCAATCACGGTGGCCACATCCGAAGACTGCGTATGAGACATTCTCCAGCTCCTTCTCCTTCAGGGTGGCTAGCCAGCTGACAAAATGCGCTGCATTATCTGCGGGAGCTCCTTCATAAGACGGGGTGACGATTACGACAGGTTTGTCGGTCGGTAGATTCTCGCGCACAGTATCCAAAGTGTCTACCACCTCTGCAGTGAAACCATGCTGTGCAGCATCACTGGCAAGGCGGTTAGCCAGCGCCTCGCAAGTCCCTGTGTTCGAACCATAGTAGATGGCTATCGGCTTTCCCTTTGCGGCCTTTCCGTCTGATACTTTGGCGGTACCACTGGTGCTCTTAGTGGAGTCTGGCCGGTTGGCAGTGGCTGATGCTAAAGATGTCTTGAGGCCTGTAGCTGAGATTCCGCTGCGAAGAGTTGCGCGCATGTAAAAGTCCTTGGGCTTGATGGTCAAAGCCTGCTTGATTTGGAGTTGGTATGAAGGGTCGTCCATTGAAAAGTTCAAGTTCTGCAGCAGGAGGACGAGCACCAGGAGAGCTTCTTGCCAGGCAAAGGCTCTTCCGATACATGCGCGCATGCCGTTTCCAAAGGGCTTCCAGCAATTGGGGAACTCCTTGTTGCGTCGCTCAAACTCCTCATCGAGCATCCTCTCTGGACGGAACTCTTCAGCGTCTTCTCCGTATACAGCAGGATCCCGATGAATCTAAAAGTGATGTTAACAGGCGCTCAGTCTCCATGTGAAGGGTGAGTAATGGATAACGTACCATGGGGAAGAGACAAATGATTGGCTGCCCAGCCTTTACGGCATATTTACCGCCAATGGTGGTGTCTTCCTTTGCGGTAAGATTGATAGCTGGGGCAGTTGGCTGAAGTCGAAGAGTTTCTCGAAGCACAGCTGTCAGGTAAGGAACACGTGATAAGTGATCAACATTGACTGGACCTTTGCCAACGACATTGTCGACCTCTTGCTGTGCTTTTTGGTATACGTCCGGATTCCTTAGCAGGTAGTAAAATGCGAATGACAATAAGCCGGAAGTTGTTTCATGCCCAGCAATCAAAAATGTAATCATGTTGTCCATGACGCTTTCTTCCTATGGGATGTGAGTAAAGATTTGTGCATTAACGAGCGTGTTGGCTTACAGTCATCTTCTTTCCAGTTTTCGGATCAACACCTTTCAACATGCCATTGAGCAGGTCCTTTTTGTCTGTAGGGTTCTTCTTTCTCGTCTCGACGACCTCAAGACTAGTCTTGCGCAGTAAGTCAATATCCCTCCAGTACTTCTGGGTCTCGGCGCTGTAGAACATTTGCATGATGGGGTCTCTCCTTGCTCGGTCCCCGCTGGTCTTGAGGAAATCCACCATTGCGTCGATGAATGGATGCATCTCGTTTGTGTAATACGAGTTGAAACGGTAGTCCATAGCACATAGCGCGATGGTGTCGAGAGTCAGGCGCGTGAAGTCGTCGGTGACGTTGATCTGGTGTCCTGCTCCATATCTCGCCCACTTCATGACAAGCTGAGAAGAAATGTCGTGCATGTCGTCGAACATGCCGCGAATGGCAAGTGGTCCGAGCGCTGGTAACAGCACGCGATGTGCGATGCCCCAATTTTCTTCTTCGGCATGCGCTGTGAAGAGACCATCGTGTACACCGTTGCGCACTTCGACCAGTGCAGCTACAACGTTCTTTCTAAATCGTTCCTCATCGCAAACCTCGTTCATGAGTGCTTGGCTTGCAATCATGATACGTTCGCCGCCGACGCCAAGAGTGAATTTCCATATTGGGCCTTGACTGGTCAGTCTGTTGTTACAAATGCTCAGAGCTTCCAATGCTCACTCACCATACTGCAACGTCAGGTTGCAAAAAGATAATATTGGGACTGTCGGGTCAATGTCTTTGAGATTGCCCAGTAGAGGTAGGCCGGGAGGACCAGGTATTGGCTCAGTAGCGGATGCCATCTTAGATGGTCTCGAAGGTGTGTGTGATGGAAATGAAAGCTAAACATGTGTTTTACCTCAAGGCGAGGATGACTATATCTATATGCCCGAGCCAAGGACCTCAGGCATGTGATATTGTCATAGCATAGACGACCGAAACACAGTAGACACCTTCGCGCGCTCCGAGTGCTGCGTGCTTGATGCACTGGGACCACTATTTGGGACCACTACTGAGGCTCCGAGATCAAATGCCTCGGTTGACGTGGTAGATCTACAGTGCGGCGATTGGCTGCTTCGGTCGGAGTGGGCCATCGGACGTCTTAGTCACCGGACGGAGGGTCAAGGGTCATGTCGGCCGAGGCTGGCGCAGCTACAAGACAGTGTTTGAGAGCATCATGGCGATCTGGGCTTGTTAATGCTCCCTACAAAGTTTGCAGGCTAAGCAGTGTCACTGCGGAAGCGTAGATGGGCATCTCCCGCCTGGTGGCGTCTTGCCGTGTCTGGTGGCATCTGATTGGCCGACGAGATTTGACTCTGTGAGTGCTGCGGGATTTCCCTTGTGCCTCAAACGTTTGCCGCGTAGAGCACCTCCTATCCCGGCTTTGGCTGATAGATGTTGGGCAGTCTCCATGTGCCTTCCATCTCGCTTTTCTTGCCATGCGCCCACGTCGTCATTCTTCTCGGCTCGGAATTTGAAGTCTAATCCGTCGGCGCGTCGACCATTTGGACGCGCTGCGAGCTATCATGTCATGGGTATACGTAACCGTGTTAACTACGTCTTGCCACTCTATACGGACGTATACTCGCTCGCCTGCGACGGTCCGGTGTTGAGCAGTCTGGAGCGCAGCACGGTTGAAGCAATCCGAAGACTACATACACAGCTCCACGCACGCATAGGGCCGAGTACACACAAAGTACGGAGATACGAGGGCTTGGTTTTATGGCTGAGCATGTCTGGTAGCTGTTAGCCATGTCAATAAACCCTAGGATCATCAGTCGTTTCTTTTTCGACCTACTACCACCCTCCGTACTCTAACGTTATAGCCAACTAGTCAACACCGGAAGAAGCCGCTGCAGCTACGTCATCGCTGCCAGTGTACCAGCAGTAGTGAAAA